ATAAAGCAGGTTTTAAATAACACAAAGCTGGATAACTATAATATCTGGAAATTACTAACAGATTATGACTCGGATGACTGACCTTGAGAATTCATATAGGTCACATTTTTCACGTTTCCCTCATATATCCCACAAAAGCATTGTCCAGAGTGTGTACTGTTGGGACTATCTGCCTCTAGACATCAGTTTGGCAAGTTTTTTTTAAGGAGTTTTTCAAAGTCATACATGGTCCTTACCTCTAAAAGTTTGCATTTCTCTAAATTTTATGGTATTGATATAACCTTTTAACTTCCACTGACTTAAATTTTGTTCTCCACTTTAACAAATTGTCTTTATATAACAGGTTATATTCAACTTTCAGTATATTTTCATCATTTTGTTAGTCTTTTATTATTTTACTCAGTATTATTATTTTCTGTCTGTCTGTTTCTGTTCCTTGTTGAGTTAATGTCAACGTACTTATAGTTCTGGCACCGGATAAATGCAAACAAGCAGTGCTCAAACTAATATTAAGACCAATATGAATAAGCTTCAATTAGAGGTGCAGATGATTCAACCTTTTCCTCAAATATCTTCATTCATCATGTTTTTATATTGTTTAAACTGCAGTCCTAAAAGTTAATTTAACAATCATTTAGGGCATGTTTGGCTTTAGAAGAGCTAATTATTTCTTGATGTGTTGAACTTTGCTAATATCTATTGATTGATACAGTGATCAAAACACACACAAAACACGCCTAAATATTTGTATTACAAACTAGGCAAACTCATTTCAGTTTGACTTGTTCACAACAAGCAGAAAACAGACTGATAGCAAGTAAAACAGAAATAATCACATCACATACCTTCATTTTCAGATGTTGGACATGCCACCTGTATAACCAGATCAAATGTTCTGTCTGGATTTTCCCTAAAGAGAGAGAAGAATAATGTAGTCACTGAGGGGGAATGATAGGCAGCTCCCATGGGCAACAAGTGTGCATTAAGGATTACAGAGCAATTGTGTTGATTGTCATCACCTGTGTATAATTTTCTCTAACTATACCTGCCCCACTTGTCAATGACATTCAGTGTGAGTAACTTAAAGGTTAGCTAAAGCTTACAATGAAGTAGACTGAGTGTTGCAATGTTCAGTTTCCCCTGTCTGACAATATACGTGGACACACTTAGGTCACAGGACACGGTCACTCGGTGTCGTGTCCACATGTAACCTATTTAAAGCTGCCTGCTTGGCTAGCGAGGCTGCTAATTGCTGGTCAGCTAGTAGACAGAGCAACAGACTGACCCAAATGCTGTCGAGCCAGCTGGCCTGGCCGTTAAATCCACTGCTGGAGATGTGGCTCACATTACGCCAAACATACCTCCGCGTATACATCAATTTACGCAGCGAGTTCACGCGTTAACAAGTGAAGCACACGCGGTATCTGTGAGCTCGACAGCTCGGTATCAGTCAACGACAAAAAGTCGGGGCTCTTACTTTATTCTGCTGTCCATGTTTTAGCTACAACATCGCGACAACTCGGTGGTGCTGTCGGCGGCGGCTCTGCTCTGCTGCTCTGCTGGCTGTCCGGGTATATGTCCCCCCTCCTCCGTCTCCCTCAGTCCCAGCCGTCGCTTCTTCTCTCTTATCTGATACCGGTGGAAAACTGCCGCGGCTGCATGCTTGTAGGTGGGATAGTAATAGTAGCCCTGTGCCTGTCCTCCTTGTGTGAGTGTGGCCTGAGTGCCCAGCTCAGCAGCAGCACGGTGTTATTTCCCACAACAAACACTCCACTCCAGGAAGTGCTGTCAAAGATTTGGTGACGTCAGCGCGTCAGACGAGCACCTTGCTGCTGCTGCTGCTGCCTGCGAGCATCTTTGACTAACACAAGAGCATGATACACACACACTGAACAAGACCTGAGCCGTATGATTCACGCCTATCATATTAAAGCCTGCTTTCCCGATGAGACTGTGCTAGTACTACAGTAATTATGGAAGCGCTAGCCGTTAGCATTGACTCCCAAAGTGGGGTGCTGCGACCAGTAGGGGTCCTTGTAAGGGCTGCCAGATTGAGTGGTAGGTTTAACCAGAATAAATCTATATTTTTAGCCGCCTGGGAACTGAAACATAAACTAGACATATATCATAATACAGCATATTAACCTCTTATGAGGTTTATGTTAAACATGGTGACTAACTGTGGCCTGTTAACAGATATAAGAAAATAGGCTATGGCTTGCCAATCACTTGTAGCCCTTTTCCTTGCCTTGTGAGGACTTAAGGTTTTACATGAAGCTTTTTCAAGCACAAACCAATATATTTGGTTACTTAGCTGCTAAATGCTTTGAAATATTGGTTCCTATCTTCGCTGGACAACAGGTGCAGTGTGTATATGTGAATATTTCAGAGTCCGCAGCAGGACTTTACAATAAACAGTTCCTTGTTCAAAATGCTCCATTGCTCATCCCTCATGATGGTGAAGTGCCACAAAGGACTGTGACCTCAAGGAAATTAAGCCTCTGTTATACATGATAAATATAATGCTCCATTTTACAGGTTTCTACCTGAAGAAGTTATCTATAAATACAAAGACCACCCTTCTATCTCCTCTTTTTTTCCTGATTAAAGACCTGATTAAAAACCCTTACAAGCTAAGACCCCCATAGGACCTGAAGTTCCTGGTTCACTATGAGTTTAGATTTGAAAGACTGATCACATACAAGTACCATAGGGAAACTTCACCATCTATTAGAAATAAACATTGACAAATAGGTTGCATTGTGGTATAGTAGTATTATACTGGCACCTTTGGCCTCTACATCTTCCTCCAAATACTGCAGCTGCCACGTGTTGCCTGCCGTGTGCACATGGAGGTGACAGGGTAAATACACAACACAGAGAGGGCACTATTTGTGTTAGGTCAACAGGAGCCAAATAGTAACTTTTTTATCCTTACAGGTAAAGCTGGTCATGGTCATAGCTCACCAACCACTGGACACATAGGAAACGCAAATCACACACGCACACATAAAAAGGGCATAGAGTTTGTGGGGGAGGAGTGTAACAGCATTAAGTTGCATGGTAATCAGTAGAAGTAAGATTGATGACATTAGACTGTGGTGGACAGTAAAGAATGGCAAAGACTGGCAGAAGAACTTGACTTAAGCCTCTGTAATTATGGTCTGTCATGTGTAAATGCTACTCACTGTAACCATGCTTAACAGCAGCAGCCCATGCATGAAATAAATACTGGAATTGCATCACATTATGCGATCACATAAGCTTTTAGATTCGTGTTTGTACCACACACAAACCATAGAGAACAAGCTTTTGACTGTTACAGTCTGCTGCAGGACTTTACAATGAACATGACTCAGCTGAGTCGCCGGCTTCTTGAAGGGCTAATCCACCCTAAAATTAGATTTTTTTTCAGAGAAAATTTTTTATGATACATTTATTTGTCAAAATGACAGATGTTCAATCAATTATTAAGTTAGGTGGACTTTAATTTTATTGTTTGCATGTATAAGCAGTGTTTGTCCCATGGTAAACTGAAACCACTGGCTCAGATGTACTTCTCCCTCCTCTCCAGAGAGTCTGCCTGGATCAGAGCCAGATTTCTCCAGGCTGACTGCAAGGTAATTAAGTGGCAGCAGACTGGGGCATGCTGTTTCAGGCATTCGTATGAAATGATAATGGCAGGGCTGCTGCCTTAACATAAATTTTTTTTAAAAATGAAATGCAAAATGACACACAAACACAAAAAAACACGTAAAAAAAGCTCCCATGAGTGTCAGGCACTGGAAGCAGTAGGAGCTCCACATGGCAAAGATCTGTAAACAGTAGCTGTCCTTGAATGTCTTTATTTAGGAAAGCCAATGCTCAAAACTACATGTTTGACCACCTGAGACCTTGAAATTATATAAGACTATTTTTTTAACCATTGTTCAAGGTTAGGCCCACAGTATATCATTGTTTGAATTAAAAATGTAACTTCAAGGTCCCTCTCTCTTTCTTTCTCTCTTGGTGAAATTAACCTAGCCATAGAGTAGCCAGCACTAGCATTCCCTGGGTCTATTTAACTGTAAATCTTCTAAATATCTGCTATGTTTTTGCTTCATATTTCTCAGAGGTTCTTATACACTGGCATATATTTTCTCCAGTGATGTGTAATTTGTCTTTGGGTAAATTGACCTCACAATGTCACTCAAAAGACACTTGTCAGGTCTCATTATCCAGAATTCTTCGCAGACACATCATCAGAGGTGGCTTACAGCAGTGGATAACCTTGGAAGGACTCATTAATGTCCACTCATCAACCTTGCAGTGCTTCATCCAAGACACTATTTTACTGTAATATAAGGTATAATATATGCACTTTAAAATTGCAGGAAGGCGTCTTTGTTACCACTGCAGTGTCATTGTCACAAAGAAGCATATGGCTAGACAAGTGTAGGGGGAATGCAATTACGCAGTATTCACAGTAATAGAATAATGTGACAGCAAAAAAATGGCATGCATCATTCTGCATAATATTGTTTTTATTATTGTGGCGCATTATCATACAAAAGAGGGAATTCATTAGGTCACAGGGACGTTGAGTTTTGAAGCACAGACAACAAAAATACAATTTTGATAGATAGATAGATAGATAGATAGATAGATAGATAGATAGATAGATAGATAGATAGATAGATAGATAGATAGATAGATAGAAAGATAGATCTCCATAGCAGACCACTTTTTTTTGCATGCTATATTATCAAGATAGTTGTGTTACACTCATTCTGTTGGTTTGCAGGGATGAACAACATCTTGAAATATATGCAGATACACTAGTTAGAGACAAAACTGTGATTGTCTTGATGTAGTGATTTGAAATATGAAAAATGGCTCATCTTACCCCACTCTCCCTTGAGCTTTTAGTCCCATTCAGGTTTGATCAGTCATTGGTGTCAGCTGATGTTGGACAGCAGGGGCGCTGTGTGCGCCAGCAGACCGGTGTTACGACATAGGTCACATGTCGTCATCGGTGTGACGACGCAAAGGCGGAAGTAGTACAGTCCCTCTGCAGAAAACGCCGAGTGAAGGAGGGAACAAGTTAACATGCGATAAAGACTAACTTTTCCAAGAACAAATGGCGTGCAGTCGTTGGCTTTTACAGGGAGCTGGTGTGTGTAGATGTGTGTCTCGGTGTCTCCTTTCGGAATGACAAAGTTTGGATCGATCTGAAAGAAGTCTATTCAACTTGTCCCCAGTTTTCAAACCGGCAACATTAGTTTACTACCTGTACAGGAGCATGATTCACCAAAACTACCCGGGCAAAGCGCTGGTCAACAGACTGATTTCCCTCCATATCCACTTTAACACACGACTTATAACTATGTCAGTGTCGGGTTTGTCAGAGCAGAGCTCCAGCAGCAGCAGAGACAGTCCTCAGACCTCTGCAGACCGGAGAGAGGAAGCAGACTTCAGCTCCGACAACGGCCAGGGTGCAAGAAAGTTCACAGAAGAAGAGATGAGCATCCACAGAGTCCACAAAGAGGCGTGTGAGGTAACAGGAGTAACTTAACAGACATGACATTCACGGATTTCATGCTGCTTTGTATGATAACACGTGAATAATGTAAGGCAGATGTCTCTGGGTGGATATACTGTTGTGTTATTTTTCTGATTTGACATAGTGATAAAATTTCTTTTAAAATAGAAGAAAACAAACAGCACAGCATATGGTAATCTAAAACTATTACATCTACAAGTCTATAATTCAGAACAGTACTCAAGTAAATAACATTATAATTCAAAACAGTACTCAAGGCCTTACTAAGATCATGTTTTCACAAAAAAAGGACAGGAAAATGTCCTGAAGTTAACGCTCCTATGAGCAGTTTGTTGATATTAATGAAACAGACTGAAATTCATATTGACGTCTGCTCATAATGTGAAAAAGCAAACAAGACAATTATCATTTGTGATGCCCGAAACTGGTGTGAGGGGTGGGTGTTTTTTTAACAGTTTTCAAACTTAAGATTCACAATAAATGATACATTCGACAAAAAAGTGAGTTTTTTTTTTTCAATAAACACAACTTAATATACAGAAGACAAAGTGAATAAAGACTGCTTTATCCACAAGGGGCGCCAAAACGGATACAAATTAAAACCTCCTCACAGGAGCTTTAAAAAAGTATCGATGCAGAATGTCCACTTTTAGTGCATTACGCTTATACAGAGCATGCTAACCTTGTATCATTGAGCTGATTTCACCCCAGTTATCTTACTTTTGTTACCTCAAAGAAGTGTAGATTTTTTATTATCACATCTTTGTATTAAAATTTTAATTTACAACAGAGCCCCGGAAAAAATTTACTCTTACATTTAGTGGATAAGAAGTGACCCATCAAACCCAGACATCAGAGTACTGAGTAAATGTAAATCTGAGGTTAAAGGGTGGGTACTGTTGAAACAGCCAAACCTTTGCCAAGACAAATCCAACACATGAGGTTAGATGTAGGGGATATTTGTGCATATACAAGTGTTTAATACACTAGCATTATTTACCAAAAAATGTCTGTTAAAACATCATTTCCCATTTAGGGCTTCAAGAGACAGAAACTTATTTCTAAAGTCTAAAGATCACAGTTTCTGCTAAACTTCCCAATGGCAGGTTCCTTGAAAAAACCATGCCACATGGTTATTCTACATAGGCCAAATATCATCAGTACAAACAACAACACACTAACAAAAGCCGTGTTTACTTCAGCTGATATCAGTGGCAGTATGATAATATACCAGCTGTTATACATCTCCAGAGCCAGCTTGTCTCCAGGGCAAGGTTCCCCGTGGGTCCTTGTCAGAGTGATATTTTACTTTGGCTTTAATTACAGTGAGGAGTACTATTGTTCAAGACATGCTTTTATTCTTTAGATTTCAGCCTTCTTTTCTAAATCATAAACACAGAGATTGGGAATAGATCTGGGATATCTATAAAAAAAATCAAATTACAGAGTGAAGCCATTAAGGAGGAGTTGATATATGTAATTTTTAACAATTTCACTGGTGTTTTGTCAGATTTGTCACATTCACATTCACTTGTTCTTCCATGAAGCTCAGCCAGCGAGCTCTGTTCTGATGACAGTAGTACATAGATGTCATCTGCATGCCTTTGGGTGTATCTGTTGTAAATATTGTGCGTCTGAGTGAAACTGAAGCATGTTGGCCGCGACCTGAGGAGAGTGGTAGGGCCTGGGTGGGAAAAGCACAATAGAGAGAGGGAGCCCAGCTATGCCAGCTTCACTATGTGGCCCTGGAATGCCATGTGAAATGACAGGCTGTGTCACTAAACAGCCTGGGGCCTTTTCCCCCTTTGTGGCCTGTCAGAGCTCAACAACTAGTGGGCTCTCAGTTTGAAACAGACTGAGAGGTGACATTTTCGAACTTCCTGAGGGACGGCACAGGAGTTTAGTGTTTTTCACGCACAGACGGTGTTTTCGTGTCTATACAAAATGAATAATTAGTCAAAATGAAAGAATGATTGTGTTTAAAGTATAGTTTTAAGCATATGAAAGGTATAAAACAGTGCTGCCATTTGTTTAACTGTTGCAAAACCTCATCCACAGAATGATACACAAAAGAGCACTAATTAATTAGAACCGTTATCAGAGTGAGACTATCTTACATCTGTTTCTATGCATACAGGTCATGCATTCCCTCTTCCTGTGACCCAAAGCAATCTGTCTCCATGTATACGTTCATATTAAGTATTGTGCTTTGTGTTCGGGTGTGTAAATGTACTGTATATGGTTATGCATGCCGAGGTCACACTCCGGCATATGAGTTTGTATGTCATGCTAATTAAATAATAATACCTTCATTATGTTCAGGCAAAGAAGCAGATGTATGTCGACCCTTCCAGTGGGTACAAGGTGTTCACAGAATATGCCCACCTTCAGAGAGGGAAGTGCTGTGGCAGCGCGTGCAGACATGTGAGTGTTTTCTTTTTCTCTTTTACCAGGTTACATGTTGCTTCATTTAATTCTGTTTATATTTTGGAGCTTTTTCGTCTCTGTTGAGTTTGTCTTGTCCCTTCCTCTTTTTTTGTGCCGGACCTTGTTTCCCAAAGGTTTTCCACAAGTTATTTACACCCCACATATCACATAGAGGCAAGTTAATGTCCATTTTAACAGGGTGCCTCAGCTGCAGCTGTCACAAAAGTGCTGAAGAGATTTTTTAATTGATTATTTCTTTTAATTATGTTGTAAGCAGTTTACACCTTTATTATCAAGACAGCAGTAGAGAGACAGGAGATACAGGAAGGAGAAAGTAGGAGCTAACATACAGCAAGAGGCAAATGTTTGAGTACACAAACGTTTTAAGATAATTTCTCTTAGTATCGCAACGTACTCCAATGTTAAGTCAATTCTTTAATCTGCGCTTTTTGATTGTGTCTTTATTTCTCTGTCAGGGAATTATCCTTCATAGAGATATTTCAAAAAGACTGAATTACTGTAGTTTTGATCAGATTTGTCCTGCTGCTTTTGCCTGTTGCTCATAAGCCAAAAAAAGAAAAAGAACAGAAATCTCAAAACAAATGATTTCCAAGCTTTCTTTGTTCAAGCGTTGTCACATATTTATGTAGGCGTTGTCATTCTGTTGTGACATTAACCTTTCTGTATTAGAGCTGTGTTCATAAAAAGTCAGTTAATTAATAAATTCTTAAAACCAACACAGCCGACAAAGAAACAGCAGAAGAGAGGCTGGAAAAAATCAAGAGATGGATAATGACTCATTTTGAGTATCATTACATTAGTTGTAGAAGTATATTTAGCTGTACTTTGTAGTTTGTTTACTGAACTAGCAAAGTCTTGGTATGGGATTGAGTCCAGTAGATGATCATGTGAACATTATTGCTGCTTTGGCTTTGACACCTTCTCATAAATGAGAGAAGGATGGTGATGGATCAACTCTTGATGCTTCTGCCTTCTCCATTACATATTTGTTAAGCAGATAAGGTAGAGATGTGTGATTTAGAATTTTTGTCTTTATCTGACATGCAAATATTTTCAAATCTATAGAGATACTAATATATACACACCTTTTTATTTTGAGGAACACCATGTTTCTCCTGTAATAAACTGTTACTCTTATTGTGACAGTTTTTTTTTACATAGAAACAGACATAAAACAGGACACATAACATCTGATTCAACTGTTAATGTATTCTATTTCAAATATAGACATTTAGTAATGTATCTGCCGTCTGTTCACAACACTTCCTGATACTTCTATGCAGCCAAACAGGCATTGTACATGTTGGCACACACAAGTTGTTGTTGCACTCACATATTTAATTCATCAATTTTTTTCTGCAGATAATTACACCTGCCAAAAATGTATCCAAAATGCTCCTGTCTGCCGGTATAGATAATTAACTTTTTAAGTGCTTACTCGCCAATACAGATAACATTGTGCATTCCTATAATAGGGACAAAGGCGCAACATGTTTTCAAAGATAGTTGCTGCTCTGTACAGATTCCCCAGAGTTTTCGAAGCCAGATTTCACTTACGTTGCCAGAGTGAAAGGATTTCACCCCAAACTGTGTAAACAGGTTGTTGACTGAGAAAACAATAGAAGAGGATTTAATGTAAGAGAGTCACATTGGGTTTAAAATGACTGGGGCAGACAGTGGACAGACAAACAGACCAACAGAATGACACAACAGCAAAATAATTCCTCTCTTTTTCGTCCACATGGCCTGTGATTCGTCCACATTTAAGGGAACCACATAAGCAGTTTGAAATTCAATGCAGAGCACAGCAAGGTACCCAACATTTAAACTGTTCAGGGCCTGTCTGTCTTCATGTGCTGTTCCTACACTCTCTGCTGGTCTCAGCTACTTTTAACACCCCACTCTTTGACTCTGAAATGACATCTGGTTTGTTTTCTACCATCTGCTGGAATCCATGTGAATGCAGAATTATACACTCCGCAGACATCGATGCTGATGATGTTAAATCTTGTGAAATATCTGGTGTAATCGGTAACACCAGTGCTTTACAAGTTTATTAAGCAGTGGGAAACTTTTCTCACTGTGGCAACACCAGAGCCGGTCTGCAGAACAAATGGCCTTCATGGCGCATGGGAACACTTTATTCTTCCTGAATGAAACCAAACTCCGAGTTTATCCCCAAAGAGATGATCTCAATATCTAAATATTTACATATGAATGGGAGTAAAAATAAAACACACTTAAATATGTCAAATGGCTCACAGTTAATCCTGTTGCCGTTGTCAGATGCTACATTTTACAGTTTACCAGGAATCACACTCAAGTTTGTTTTGTCTGAATCCACAATGGCATTTAGCAAACAGTTAAAAAAAAGATGTTTGAGCAGAGATTTCATGATCTGACTCGTTCTGATCAGTTCAGTCTCTTCTTTACAATAACTTCCCCATTCTGCTCAGCTCTGTCTTCTCTTTCATCCCATCCTGTTCTGTCCTCCCTCTTTTGCTCCTCTGGTCTGCTGTGCTCTCTACACATGTCCGTGTCTCGTTCTCTGTGTGACTGATGTTCTGCTCCACATGCAGCCGTTTAGCACCATTTAATTATTTCATTTTCTCCTCCAGTGTCCATATGGCCAAGTCAACGTGAAGGACCCGGCGATGAAGAAACGCTTTAACTCTCTCTTTTATGTATAGGCCTAACATGACCAAGGTAAAAAAATCCCTGTTTAGAGTGGTATCTTGTCTTTAGCCTGTCGTCATTTGGACTACTTGAGAGTCATTTTTAGAAGTGTACTAAATGATGAAATATGGGTAGCGTCTGTGCAATACCTACCTCATATGAATCACTGTTCTTGGGATTGTTTTCATTCCGAGACAGGGAAGTAGGAGGATCTTTTCACTAGAACCCTATGTAAAATAGTCTTTTATCAAAATTGTGATTTTGCTATTTTTTCCTAATATATTTCTCAAATGTCCAATGTGATGCCTTGAGCTTCTTTTCTCGTTTCTCTTTACGACTTGTTAATATTTTGTGGTATTCTGCTCCTCTGATGCATTTACAAGGGTGGTGGGAGTATGGAGATGAAAACTGAAAGAGCATTTTAGATCTTCGCCCTCCAGATAAAGGGCATATGAGCGAAAGTAGCTGCAGATAGTCAGATGGAGTCTTGTGCTCTTTTTCTTTGCATCTCTTGTTATTTTTTTCTCTCCCAAATGTACAACTGCATGCATATTAGCATCATTTACACTCCACAAGTGCTCGACTTAACTGTCTACCTTTGACTGAAAAGACATGTTGTTAAAAATAGGCGGGGGGCCATGGGTCAGCCCTTACACTTGGCTGCGCTGCTTTTACACCACTTGATGGAATCAGGCTGTTAACAAACATGCCGTGGACATCAACAGCAGCCCTCCCCACCGGACCCGCAGCTCAGCCTCCTGGCAACACTTGGCTACAGCAAGCTCTCCCTGCGGCTGCTCTCCCGAGCTGCAGCCTAATGAACTCCTGGGCCCTCTTCTCCCAGCCCTGCAATACATCAGCTCATGTTCTCCAGCATGCTTAGACGTACACAAGCATACAAGTAGTCTTACTCTATCACAACACCCTGTGGCTCCTAATAGGCCAATATAGAATAAAGGTTGCACTAAACGCTGCACTTTGTAGCCCACAGTAATAGCACAAGGTAAGGTCAAGCGCTCATACAGTTCTACCTGTGCGTGCAAGAGCTGTTCAGGAAAGATGTGCCACTTGATTTGTGATTTGTGAGTGCATGTGGGTAGGCAGCGCAATGCCTTCAGGCTCTGGCTGTGAACCTGCCACACACACTCGACCATCTCTGCCTGATTGGGCAAACAGCGTCAGGATGAGAGGATGTGTCTGCCGCTGAATTCTGTTGCAGCCACCTACCGGCGCGGCCACAATTTTCCTCGGCAGGTGGGTCCCAAAGGCAAGTGCTTAGTGATCGGAGCAAAGCCCTGTGAGCGGCTACAAGGAGATTCATGATCTCAACAGTGCTGGGGAGGACAGGTTCTCGGGGACGCGTCGTCAGGCGGGATGAGAGGCGAATTTATTTGGTGGTATTCTAAACCGAGGCAGCGGAGCGTGCGGCAGCAACATTTCTGCAGCGGGACGGTGAAGGTGTCACACTCATCAAGTACCTGGGCCCGCTCGCCTGCCGCAGCTCTGCGGGATTTTGCCTAGGGACTTGTCTGTCACATTAAAGTAGATGCATTGCCATTCAGGGCCTCGGCGGTCCCGCAGCCTGACCATGAAATAGGCCAACTTTCATGTCTGCCTCATCCCTCCACGTCTTCCCAATCCAGTGATGGCACAGTTTGAAATGTTTTTTCTTTTTTCTTTTTTTAAGCATGTTCTTGCCTCGTGGTTGATGACGGAGACACAAACAGCACAGCGATGCCTTTGGCAGATTTATGGAAGATTAACTTTAAAATAAACCCCACCTTCCACCACCAAACAGGTCATTCATCATCATTTTCAAGTCTGTTTAGGGACAGTGAGCCTCATGTGCACCCTTCAAAGGTTGTTTTCTCTTTTTCACAATAATGGACCTGTTAACAAAAAGTTTTATCATCTAAATTTCACTGAACTGTTTATTCTAGCCAGTCTTTTATTATTTTTAACTGATGTTATTGAATTTGATTATTTTTATTACATAAACGGTAACTCTTGAAAAATATTCTGATTGTCCTGGTTTTTAAAAAAATGTTTTTTCGGAGTAGACAATGACTAAAAGATGAAAGATCTTATAAGTTTCCTACTTTAATAAAATTCACACATATAGACCACACACACACACACACTTTCACTCAGACCCATGTATTCCCTCTGTGGAGATGTGCTCCCAAGCCTCTACAGCACATCAGACGTGTGAGGTATTTATTTCAGGCATTTTGGACTGAACATCTCTGACCTTCAGCTTGTAACATATGCTGAGCTGGAGCAGAGTGGCAGCTATACACCGTGTGCCTTTCTGCAGGACGATGCCACTAGCCGCAGAGAAAGAGAGAGCTGTCCAGTTTGGATCTGTGACCAGACAGGCTCGAGTCACAACCAGTTGACAGGCCAAACAGCCCCCCTCCACCCTCCCTCCCTCCCTCCGCCCTCCCCTCCTCCCTGTCTCAAACAGGCGCAGCAGCCCTGCGGCCAATGGCCCAAACCACAGTCAGTTACAGTGTCTCCATCACTGCTGGCCAGACCAGCCAGGAACTGACAGAAGAGAGTTGGCGGGGGAAAAAAACAACTTGAGTGTCAGCCGTATGATGGCTGAAAGGAACATCAGTCTCAGCAATTGGCCGGGCACCACTCTGCACGTTTGTGTGCGTGCACGCACACATGGAAACTTGCACGTGTGTCTTGATATTCAAGCAGCATTTGAGCAGCCCCTACATCAACGTCTGGTCTTTGTACACAGACAATGTCAGCTCGCCTCGGGGCAGCAGCCTCCATCGTGGTCATATGGACAACCAGATCCCTGTGGTAGAATTAGTGATAAAAAACACACGCGGCTGCTGAGTGACAGTCAGGGCAGTAGATTCCTTTGGACAGACAGGGCTGCAAATAGCACAGAGGAGCACTTTCTCCTTCAGACCGCAACTGGTGGTCAGGCTCATGCCAGGCCAAGCCAAGGTTGCCAGATGAGACCAGATAGAAGGAGAGTTGAGGCCAGAAACCAGCTCGTAAGGAGCTCTTTGGCCTGTTTATCTCCCTCCGGATTTTGCATCAAAGAAGTCCTATCTGTAATTTCTCCTCTACTTCTGCAAAGCAAGTGATAAAATCATTTCCTCTTGTTTGTTTTTCTGCCTTCTAGCCTCAGACTTTTCTCACATTATGTCCCCCGCTGTCTTCAATGAGTTGTTGTTTGAAAATATAACACAGGCATCACCTAAACCAGTTTGTTTCCTCACTAAAAGCCGCTCAGCCCTGTAAGGTTATATAGCGTTAAAGAACATCCATCTATTATGTTTCCATGTCCTTTCTAGTGTGGCCAGATATGGACTAATACGCTCACCATTCCCCAAGAGGATATGCTGTCCCCAGAGGAGAAGGAGGGGTGGGGAGGGTGTGTGGAGGTGGCGGTGTGCTGTCGGAGCTGCTCTGGAGGCAGGGAGGGGAGGCAGGCAGCAGTTGGTGTGCAGGGAGCAGAGGCTCAGGCTGGCTAGTTAAGAGCTTCTCTCTCCTATCCTCCATCTGCCAGGGACCGGGGCTGTGATTTGAGCTCCAGCAGAGCAGAGCAGGGAGGAGATCGAAGGAGGGAGGGAGGGTGGGTGGAGGAGGAAGGGAGGTAAGGGATGGGGGGTGAAAGGGAGGAGGGGGAGCGTTGGTTGGAAGAGACAGAAAAGGGAAAGTGGAGGAGGATAGGGGAAAAAGTGAGGATGGAAACCAACAGCTGAATAGAAGATGGAGCTGCCCTAAAAATCTATTACGGTCTTTTTCTGATTTTTCTCGATCACTGTTGCTGCCATATTTCAGATTTCCCCTTTGCTCATACGTTTTTTTTTTATATCGCCTTTCCTCCGATGATTCTGAAGCCATGTCCTCGGTGTGTTTGTAAATATTTCCAGGATGTCTCACCATCCTCACACACCCACCCTCGCCTGCCTGGCTCATGTGACTGGGATTCAGCTTTTACTGTGCTTCACTCCTCCCTCTGTTCCTCCTCCCCCTCCTCACACCCTCTTTCCCCTTCTCCCTTCCCTTCCCACTCCTCTCCTTCATTCTGTCAGTGTTTAGCCTGTGGTTCCCTGTACCACAGTGGATCTTCCTCCTCCTCTTCCTTTTTCTTCTTCTTCTTCTTCCGTCCTTTTTCCTCTACCTCCCCTCCTCTGCTCCTTCACTGGCCTTTCTGTGGGAGTGACTGAGAGCTTCCTAAGTGTCACTTGAGGTGACCCAGAAATGATAACTCCAGATGAACCCTGGATGTGTGGTAATCTACCCAGCATGCCCTGGGAACCAGGCAGGCAAGGAGGCAGCCAGGCAGGCATCTCGGTATGATGCTCCGTCTGTGGTTTCACTGCTGAAGCACGCATCTGGGTATCACGCTTGCAGAACGCTGTGTGCACAGTAAGCATGGTGGTACACAGTGAAATGGATCTCAGTGCCGTTGCATTATTGATGAGATACATTGTGATGTCAGCCCAGGCGGAAGCAGCAAAGCAAAATGACTGTTAGCAGTATGGCTCGTTATCATTTATGCAGGCAGTACAGAGGTGTAATTAATTGTCACCCTTTTCGCTCTCATCCCTGGTGCTCGCTCACACACTGTTCTATTCACTGGTTGTCAATTCAGATCTGTCCATCTGTACCTCACTGTGGTGTATTCTGGATGACCTCTCTTTGTGGTGTTAACTTTGATTATTAAATCCAAAGAGAAGAGCTGGGCACTTGAAATTGATTTGTAGGCTATTATGAATTATGAAAATAATAAAGTTATTACTATTATTTAATATAATGTTCAGAATACATTATTTGGCCTGTCAGGTGCAAAATAATCTCATGATGCAGATGGAAATAAACAAGGTAATGAATTACTAGATCTTTTTTTTACAGTTTGAAAATAATCAATATTTCATGTAAATGTAGTACGAATAAATAGAGGTGAATTTTCAATTAACAAAATTAACTGAATCTGTACATGTTGTAACATTTGGCTAAACTGCCCTTGAATGAAACCCACTTAAATGCTCTAAATTCTCCACTGAATTTCTGGAAGTGTGTCAGATTGTCTAGACAGGTGAGCAGGATGGAGAAACACAAATTTAGAGGGAACACATTATCAAGTTATTAAAATACTTTTACTACCTCTGGAGAATTAGTTATAAACAGAGAAATAAAGGAAACATGCAAAAGATTGGCACATCCATAAAAATAAAATGTTGTTCTTTAATATAACCTTTTTTAGGTTTGTACTGATTTAGTCCATATTAAATTTAAAACTAGATTTTTTTTTCTGCTAAAAACGAAACTGTTAAAATACGTAAAATTTAGAAACTACTCTCTACTTCTACTTTTTTCGTTTTCATGCTTCGAGTCACAGTCCTTCGTATGTAAAGTCAAATAGTTAAATAATCAATCATCTCTAATTATTTATTTATAAAAAGCCTCACTTCTTACACCGTAAAAAAACGCACAGATGCATTTCAACTCATGTAGATGACAAATCTGACCAAACATTTAAAGATTACACTTTTAGTAGATCAACCTGCTCGAACCTTTTCAGAGACTTTGTAAATCGCGATAAACTCGTATTTTTTGTGATTTTAATGAAACTTTAAAATCTTCATTCAGACATTTATAAAAAATTAAAAGAAGCCAAACGAGTCCAGTGGAGGAAACGTCTAATCAGATTAAAGTATTCCCTAATATTCCTGAAGATAATGGTAGTTGAAGTGTACGCTGACTCCAGATTAGTTAATCCCTCTTTAATTTCCATTACTCAGTCTAACCTACATGCTGGAGGAGGCCATTGGCTCGTGCCTCTCCGCTCCTCTGTGCGTTATTGTGTGCGCGCTGTGCTGTGCCGTGCTGAGCTGAGCTGAGCCCTGCCTGCTGCTGCTGCTGCTGCTGCATACGGGAGAGGAATATTTAAATGTCTTGTGTTTTAATTGACGCTCCAACTCCAAGTGTGAGCTCAGAAACGAGGAACAGCCCCCATCTACCGGCAGTCTCTCCTCCGCACCGCGCGCACAGTCCGGATCTGCTCAGCTTGCACGCGGCACAGGGATCTCACACACAGCCTCAGGTAAGTTAGACCCTTTAGAAAGATCTTCTTATGGAATATATTAATATTTTGGAGCAGCTTTTTTGAGCAGAAAAATAAAGACGAAAGAGAAAGAGGCGCGGGCGAGTGGAGCAATGCGCGACGAATCTGCTGCGTAAAAACAGTGACAGCTCAAAATCTGCGAAAATAAGAGAGATGTGGCGCAAAGTCAACCATTAGAAAACCCTTTCTGGGTATTTCTTTACCAACGGGATGTTTTGAAGACTATTTTCTCACCTCTACTAAATATGTAGATGAATATCCAGGGAGTTTGTGAATGACACCGCATGATGCAAGTTAAATGTTGAAGAGGAAATGTTAAAATTTGACGTGTTTGATGAAATATCAGTGTAGTTATTTTATTTTATTTATTGTTTTGTTGTTGTTGCAAAGATGGTTATATATATTTTTTTCTTATTTATCGTAAAAGCAAGTTATCCACTGAGCCACCCTGGTTTTAAACGCCATTTTAAAAAGGATTTCTATTTTATTTTTTCTTTAAAGGGCGTAAAAAGGTTTCAAAGAGCGCGTAAACACAGGGGTAATCGTGTGTTTTTGGAGCTTTAATCTGGACAAATTATGACATAGCTAAAATATATGATTGTTCTGTCTCAATTATTTAACAAATAACAAAAATTACATGTTTTTCTTTTAATTCAAAGTCACTCCTGCAATCATAAATTTGACCTATTTCTCCAAATTAAAGCAGACATTTAGAAAACCTTTCAAACGAACCCGGTGTTTTCATTGTGCGATTTTAAGCTTTTGTTTCATCAGTCCCCACTTTCTCAAAATTACTCACAACTTGTTAAAAAAAAAATCCAAACAAAAAAAAAGAGAGAGTATATTTCGGAGCAGGTAATATCCTAATTAGATCCAAAGGAGAGAAAACAAAACGAGAGCACAAAAGAGATGATTCCCTCAGCCCCTCAGTGTTCACTGACACATTGTTAAAGCCTCTTCACTCAAATGAAATGTCACTGCTGGAGGCAACGGGTCAAAACACAACTCTTTATCGACATTAACCGTGGAATAAATGCACCTTTTACACTACAATAACCCCAGTTTTTTAGGATTCAGAGGTGGTTTTTAGTTCGCGGAGGATCGGATTAAATATCTCAGAGCTGCATGAGTTCATCTCTCCTCTCAGGGCGTCTTTGTCCAGGTGAATTGAAATCCGTGTGTCCTTTTTTTGTGTTGTTGTTAGCGTCTCATTTCGACGCTCTGGGGTGCAAATGAGCGATGTGTTTTTTCAGAGCAGCTGTGGGTCCAGCAGTCCGTCCACGCAGGAGGGGAAGGAAAGGAGGAAGGAGGGTTTAAGCCTCGTCTCATAGCGCTGTTATCAAGGGGCCTCCAATTAAAGTCAACACAACTTCATGGTGGGGTGGTGGAGGGAGGTGGTGGTGGTGGTGATGCTGGTGATGGTGGAGAGTGCACATGATAATGTAACACGTCTTGAGATGAAGCATCCACACCTGCACACCCCCCTGAGCCTCAGTAAATCTATTAATGGGAGCTCAGCTTTTAGAGTGTCTTCTATTGTTTTAAGGAGAATTTCTCAGCTCTCCAGCTCGTTATCCTCCAGTTTCAAGTCAACACTGTGTGTGTATATGTGTGTGTGAGTTGCACAAATTCAGACCCAGAGCTGGCCTGTTTTGGGGTTTGTTGTCACCATAATTGGCCTGTGTGCAGGACAGGACAGCCTCTCCTATAATATGCACGTTTTTATACGAGCTTTCACACCCTTTAAATCTCACACACATCTCTAGAGTAGCTTCATAATATAGATTATAATGGAATTTACAAAAACATGCCTGTTAGAACAGCAATTTTACACAGATACTTCATCTGATTTTTATTTTAAAAGCTTAAAAAATGACTTAAAATGTTAAAAGTTTGTGTCTTTTATTTAATATTAGTGTCATTTAAATTCCCGTTTATATAGACGAGATTTTGGCCTCATTCCTGTGAGTGGATGCTTCCGGTTTATTTAGGATTTAATGAAGAGAAAATTGACTAGTTAACCTCTTTAGAGCTTTCTTTGTCACCTTTTTAATTTAAGTCTATTGAAGAAAGAAAAAAAAACATCAGCTGTCACGTGATTATCGCATTTATGTAAGTGGTTAAGGTGCTTTTATTTTGTAAACAAAATCTTGTTCATTTCTCTGTTTAAAAAAAAATGAGTCTTTAAAAAAAAAAGAGTCAAATGTAGTCTGTCCCCACCCCCAAGACTATCACTGATCACTGCCCCGCCCCGAACAATACATCTATACCACACATAAACACACACACACGAGACCACTGCACACACAAAAACACACACAATAGTTTTGTTTTGATGCTGTGCTATAAAGACCAACAAATGCCTATTAAAAACAGTGCAATTATTTTAGATTTAAAAAGTAAATAAATAAAATCAACCTGAAAAATGAAATCCATCACCCTCCCTGAGCTGTTATCTCTCTATCCAAAACCCTTAAAAAATTATAAAATAAATACTTTTATTGTACCAGTTATAGATGAGTGCTTTTTGAAACCATGTTAAATTAATAAATAAAATATCTTTTTATTATTATTGTATGTCAAAACTTCCCGTTTATAAATGTGGGATTGAAAGTAATGAAAACGTCAATATACCATATAAATAGTGGTTCTTCTCTCAGCGCCATTCTGGAGTTTTTGAGTGAAGAGTGACAGCTCTTTGTTGGTGAATAGAAATCAGTGGCGATAGAGAAAGAGAGAGAGAGGAGAGAGAGGGAGGGAGAGAGAGAGAGGGAGAGAGGGGAACTCCTCCTACCAAATTATTCAGACTGGGCAGGCTTTGCGGGCTCTCCACAAATAGGACACGGTTCTCAAATCCAAGCAGTCCCAACCTGACCTCCGAGCACCACGGAATCTTGACTGGGAAAAACTGGGAGAGAGAGAGAGAGAAATATCACTTTAAAAACAGAGACAAAAACTTTGTGTCATTATTTTTGGCGAGTGTTCACACTGTAGCCCCCCCTCTCCCCTCCTCCCTCCCCACCACCACTACTTTCTTCCACTTCCACACCGGTTGTTTTGTCGCATCACTTGGACTATATATTTTTTTTCTTGGAGGAGAGGCATTCACGGGCAGAAGGAAAAAGCTGCTGCACCTCTACCGGCAGCACCAACCCTCCCGTCCCACCCATGCTGTAGTTTTCTTTCTCTTTTCTTCCAGTTGCCTTTGCACTGCGTGGAGGAGCTGATCTGAGTCTCCGGGGGTCGTGTTGGTGGTGGTGTTGTTGGTGGTGGTGTGTTGTCTCTCTAAGAGCCCGTTTGGATGCGCTGAGAGAGCGGGGCGCAGCGCTGCGGTACAGTTTATGGAAGTTGTGGGCTGCAAGACAGAGGCAGGCAGTTGCACGTTGCGTCCAGGACCGGGAGCCATGCTTTTCCACGGGATCTCCGGGGATCACATCCAAGGAATCATGGAGGAGATGGAGAGGAGGTCGAAGTCGGAGTCGCGCCTGGCGAAGGGCATGCAGCTGAACGGGAGGGAGTCGGTAAGAGCCCGGTCCAACTGGGGTTGAATTCATGGTCAAAGTCCCTCTATAGACGACTAATGTGGCAGATCTAACCTGAGAGGATGTTTACACTTTCTGTGGGGTAAGAAGGAAATAATTCAAAAACTGATTAATTTTATAGAAAGGTCGTTCTTCAAAATGCAACTTTCTCTTATAGAATTAATTTATATACCCTTTCAAAATCTGCCAAAACTAACTGTAAAAATTATATATAAAAATAAAAACTATGAGCAAATTTAGAGTTGACATAAATAGAATAAAATTGAACCAATTTTTTCTAGATGATTAAAATATTTTACAATCTAAATGCATATTTTTTATGTTGACATCTTGAGTAAATTCAGTCTTCCATATTATCTCTAAAACCACCATCAGGCTATGTGAAAAAAAAACCAGCTGATTTAATATTTTCTTGTATCATTCTACCTCTTGTTCATAGTTTATTTTTCAGTTTGATATTTTCATCTTTTTCACCTATTTTTATAAGTTGGACCAATTTTTGTATTTTTATTAATTTTTATTTCATCCACTCCTCAAAAAGCTTTTTAAAAATAAACTATTATCTCAGGTCCATATGTGTCTTAATTTTCCACGACATAGCATTAAGCTGTGTGTTACAATCCACGTGTTTTGCACCATCCATGGTGTGTTTTTCCTCCTCCTTCATGAGGCCTGTAAACACACAGAGCCTGCATATATTTATCAGCCTCTTTAAATGGCCTCGTCCTGACGGATGAAAAGTTAAATTCATGACCAGAAAACACCTGAATGAAGGACTCTTGTTTCTGTGTTTGAAAATTACAATGTCCAATATCAGCACATGCACATCAGTCCGGTCTCTCTGAGCACTCCTGTCTCTCCCTGCTGCTTTAGACCATGCCCTCCATGAGCCCGGAGAAGCCTGCCCTGTGTGCCGGCTGTGGTGGAAAGATTTCGGATAGATACTACCTCCTGGCCGTGGACAAACAGTGGCACCTGCGGTGTCTCAAATGCTGTGAATGTAAACTCGCGCTGGAGTCGGAGCTAACGTGTTTTGCCAAGGATGGGAGTATCTATTGCAAGGAGGATTACTACAGGTAAGAAAAATGAAGGTTTCTCTTTTTATCGATATCAACGTTGTCTCCTTTACGCATACGGACACGCGTGTATACCCACCCATTAGCACATGGGTCTCTTAATCTCTGAGGCTTTTAAAGATGTTTAATTTTTTTTAAATAGTCCCTTTTTGACAAAACTTTTCCTGCCAATATCTTGGTTCAACAGGCCGTGTCTGTTCAGCTGGAATTATGGTGAACCCCTCTAATCCAATTAGGCCTTTCCAGTCTGTATAAAATCATTCAGTCACTCCAGGCCCCCCTGCATGCTTTTCATTGAAAAGAAGTTATGATATAAAAAAATGTACTTGTATTCATTGTCTCAGTTACAATAGTGTCTGTGCCTCTGAACGAAAGATAATTGTAAAGCTGAATGTGAAGGTTAAGTCACCCAAACTGCACTATTATACATTTTTTCTGTTTGGAGAGAATTTCCCTATAAGCTGCTTTAGCAATAGCAGGTAGGCTAGTGGCCCAGTGTGCTCTAATGTAAATAAAACCACTGGAAAAGACCTGTGTAGTCAAATATACAGTCCAAAATTGAATCAGACTTTAACAAGATATCATAATTTTATTTATATTTCACGTAATAATAATAGAATAGAATAGACGGGGTGCTGTTTTGTTATATTTGGTATAAATTTGTTAGCTATCCCACCGTTTAAAGCTAAGCTCTGCTTTTAGCTCACCTGTCAACTTCAGCGTAAAAGTCGATTCTAGTGTCAGTTTTATTGACCAAACTGTAAAAAAGCGTTTATTTAACAGACACGTACATTTTTTTGGTGTGAATGTATTCTTCGACGTGAAAACGTGGCCTTCCTCGTCCTGCTATATTAGCTTCGTGTGTTCTTGTTTCAGTATAAAGCTATATTACATGTATTACCTCTCTGTCACGTGATTGAACGACGATATTAGTGACAAAAACTAAATTTGCACGTGATATTTTTTCGGTAACCGTGTGTCCGGGCCTTCCTTTTTCACGTTTACCACACCTGCTCTCCATGTATGAGGAGTCTTGACGATTTGTCTGTTCCAGAAGGTTCTCCGTGCAGAGGTGCGCGCGCTGCCACCTCGGGATATCGGCCTCAGAGATGGTGATGCGGGCGCGAGACTCCGTGTATCACCTGAGCTGCTTCACGTGCACCACTTGCAACAAGACGCTGACCACCGGCGACCACTTCGGCATGAAGGACAGCCTGGTGTACTGCCGGCTCCACTTCGAGACGCTGGTACAGGGACCAGACTACCACCCTCAGCTTAACTTCGCCGAGCTGGCAGCCAAGGGAGGCGGCCTCACCCTGCCCTACTTTAACGGCACCGGGACGGCGCAGAAGGGCAGGCCGAGGAAGAGGAAGAGTCCGGCCATGGGGATAGATATACCGAGCTACAACACAGGTGAGCTCGACACAGTAGGAGCAAACGCAGAGAGGAATTTAGATTGTACCAACTCCTTTTTATTTTTATTTTTATTTATACTTTTTTTTGTTTTATGCTAAAGTAGCTACAGCATTAGCAACAATATTGTGAATTGACAGCAAAATACAGAGCTGTAAAATAGAAATTAAACACCTGTATTTTTTGTTTTAATGTATTTGGCTCATTTTATTTTCTCAGTGTTGGTTGGTTTTACTAGTTATAAAGCTTTAAATAGCCAAAACTTTAACACATATAGGTAATTTTTAATCATTTAATTAATTTTTTATTTTAAAACTAAAACATTAATAGTGGTCAGAGTATTATAACACAGCTCAAAACAGACAAATGAGGTGTAAAAATATAAGAGTAGGTTTATTTTTTCCTCTGTGGGTCACGTTAAGGCCCTCGCTGTCGTATCTCTATGTCCCAGCATTAACAGTCATAGGGATGGATCTATTATATGTCTGATATGAATCCATCTGTGCAAATGTAGGTGATTGTTGCCTGAGTGTAACCGCGTCTGCAGCCGTGGGCTAATTGATCCGCAGCTCCTGTCCACGCGCCTTGAACGCACCGTTTTTTTGTGCTTTAAACTGTGGCGTGTGTTGATCGAAGTTTGACCTCCCCGCCAACGTGCCCATCGACTTCCATAATTAAGAGTAAATCAGGTCAAAATAAATGTACATTTCAATAGGGAGGGGGTGGGTTTTTGTCGCACTTTCCAAAAATAAGAGTGGGGTCAATTAATTTTTTTTTTGCACGAGGACTAAAACAACTATAATGACAAAAAGTGCACTGTGTTAAAAGTAGGTTTCATCGCTGTGTCATAGCCCACTTCACCCCCCACCACACCACACCACACCCCCGCAGCGTCCCCATTTTGTTGTCGCTTTCTGTGAATTAGTGTGCGGTTGAGAAAGTTGCTCATTGTGCGCCAAGTTTCTTCTGTTCCCGGTGAATAGGGAAGAATAAGGGTAATCTGCGCGTTAATTGTTCTTCGTTAATTAAAGGTGACGCTGGAATCTGTGGCCTCCTGTGCGCCGGTCAGCACAGTTCTCATGCAGGGAGGGGGGAACACACCGAGCCGTGCACAGGGGGGCCTGCTACAGGGAACACAGCGCTGTACAGTCCGGTTATGTGGTCTATATAGTTTGTTTCTCTGAAACACTATTGCAGGAGATTATGCAAATTCTTCAATTCTCATTGGTGTCCTAATGGGGGGATTACTATTTTCTTAAAACCAGGTTACTGCAACACAACATATGTATAAAATGCAGCCAAAACAGGTATACATAGTGGGGGGTAAAATAGTGTAAAATGTGCAAAACACCACAAAGGGCCAATGGTGTTAATGCATTAAAAAAATGATTTATTAAAAAGGATTTCCAAATGAATATCACAGAATTCAGGAGGCAAATTAGTGCCTATTTGCTTAATTTTAATATTCCAATTTTTTTTATTAAATTACATGACACAAAACAGTCAAGAAGTCTTGGGCAAAATAACAATTAAAACCATTAAATTTAGGGAAAAATAAAAGATCCATTTGGTGCTGCACCTATGTGGTATCTGTCTCTATATTTCCACAAGCAGCCCTTTCTCATGCTGCTCTCAGACTGTTAGGGTTAATGTATCGCTCTGCACATCAGGAGGCTCATATTCCTGACAAATAGGCTGAGGTTTTGTTTGAGGTTTTGTTTCTGCTTTAGCGAGCACATTCATGTTTGTTCTCACAGGGGAAAAGGTGTGGGTCCACTGAGTATTGCACACCAATCGGTAAAGTTTGGTCTTGTTTGGATACAGAGACCCCTAGTGGGTAATATCAAGTGAAACACAATCCAGGGTAGGGCTGAGAGAGAAAAACATACATGTCAGTGATAGATTATTAATGGTGTGTATGAATGAAAGAAAAAAAAGGTTGTGTAACAAAAATGTGATTCATGTCATAACACATAAAACAGTTAAAATGCATCACACTTTATCAAATCTTACTTTTTAAAATGGTTTGTAAATGCTGTAAGGAATTCGCACATTATCCTAACTGCGGCATGATGGTACAATTTTATATTTTGACAATCATTCAGACAATAACAGCTGGTCATCATTTCAAATTAAAGTGGCATAATATCACCAAAATTTGCCTCACAATTAGAAATCTCATGCTTATGGTTTATGGCCTTCTTTGCTCTCTCTGCGCATTTATTTAAGATAAAATCTTATTAGAGCTGTTACAATATGGTAGATTCTACAGAAAAAAGCTGAGTCAATACACGATCATGATTATTATGCAGTGCGTGACGATTGCAGACATACCCTAAATAATTTGTCATGTGCTTATTCAACTGCAAGAACTAATCTGGTGTTGGAATTTTCTCCATTACAGCATAAAAGAAAATCAAGAAAAATTAATAGTGGATGTTAAAAAAAGCATAATGTTGCTATAAAGTGTAATTTTTTCACACCTGCAGTCACTGAAGGTTTTAGCAGCAACATTGAGACACATATGACTTTAATTTAGTGCATCCGTTTTCTCAAGTGTTTTACAACTGGGGTTTTTTGCAATTGAAAAATGAGGCCTATTAGGACAATTAGTCATTTTAAACACAGATATTATAACTTTGCTCCATATGCGGGTAAAAATACATCATTTTACTAACAGAAAATCTAAGAGTGCAGGTTACAAATGAAACCACAATAACATTACAATACAGTTTCCAGAGAGGTGACACTCAAATTAGCTGCGTTTCTTAACTTTAAGTAATTACTATTCTTGCATTTGATATTTCATAACACAGTAAATACATAAGCTTGATTTGATTGGTCTGTCTGCGATAATCTTCATCATTTACACTTGATTCTGCTTTTTCCCCCTTTAATATCATGTAAAAACAACATACACTTTTGGTTGAATCGTGAAATAACTGTAAATCAGTCGATTGAAGCAGCTTCCTGATTTGAATATTGTTGCTTTAATAGTGGAGTCACTCTGCTTTGTTAGCACTTAATTGACCATCTCTTCTTTCTGTTGAAGGGCAAAATTTAATTTAGACACAAAAGGCTGAGTTTTCAGAAAAGGAAATAACCCACAGAGTTTTTTTTTTCTTGACTCTGACGCCTCCCTGTGCTCTGCTCTCTGCCCTCTCAGGCTGTAACGAGAATGATACAGATCATTTGGACCGGGACCAGCAAGCCTACCCTCCAACGCAGAAAACCAAACGCATGCGGACCTCCTTCAAGCATCATCAGCTGCGGACAATGAAATCCTACTTTGCCATCAACCACAACCCTGATGCCAAGGACTTAAAGCAGCTGGCCCAGAAAACAGGGCTGACTAAGAGAGTTCTACAGGTAAGCAGAGAGGCATCTCTTCTTATTTATCGTATCACCCTCATACCTGTGCCTGCACCCCTCCCTCTCATTTCACTCCAGTATTACCATTCAAGTCATCTCTTTGATTTTGTTTTGGTCCATTTAGTCATTAGATGTATATCCACGGGGTGTTATCTGAAATTTTCTAGATTTTTCAATGTAATTTTTTTAGAAAAGAAGTCAAACTTAATTTAATTTTAAAACGTCAGGTTATCTGTCTGATTCTCTGAGTGCACATGTTCTTTTTTTTTTATTTGTGGGACAACAGAGGGTGTAATTCAGCTCTCTCAGAATAAAAAGTGTAGAATTATTGTTTAATGCTCTACTAAATCTACATAATTATATTCAGTGTCCAGGAGCTAACTGCTTCATTGTTATCTGCCCCATGAGCTCAAAATAATGCATTGAAAATTGGCATATTAAGATTTATATACTTAAAGACAGGGCAACTTGATACCGTGATAACTTGGTATGTCTTGATATCTTTTGATAAATTAATCGTAAACTCAAAAAGTAAAAGCCACACTGGGATTGGTTTGCAGGTTTGGTTCCAAAACGCAAGAGCCAAATTCAGAAGGAACGTTTTGCGACAGGAGAATGGAGGTGTTGATAAGGCTGATGGCACCTCACTCCCTCCACCCTCATCTGACAGTGGGGCCCTGACCCCCCCCTCCAGCGCGGCCACACTAACAGACCTGACAAACCCCTCTATCACTGTAGTGACCTCCGTCACCTCTAGCTTGGACAGCCATGATTCGGGGAGCCCTTCACAAACTACCTTGACAAACCTTTTCTAACAGGCTATCTCTAGCAGACTGATTTTTTTTATCTGGTTTATTTGTTTCTTTCTTTTTTTTTTTTTCTTTTGTCAATCTACATTTTATTTTTTTAAGTGACACCTTTAAATCTACCAGAGACAGCTCCTTGGAACAGAAAGTGCTGTACTGTGTACACAAACAAGAACAACAAGAGCAAGAACAGCAGCGACCACATTAAAACACATGGAGATCATTTTAATGTGTAGCATCTGAAACCACATGGCAGCCGTGTCTGTAGTTGAGTTACAGTTTGCAGAGATTGATTTTGAATGGGACATTTCTGAAGTCGTGCAGATTAGGAAAATCTCGAGGATTCCACAACCAATTCGCCAGGAAAAAAAATGAACTTGAAAATTAGATAAAATATTTGATTTGGTTTGTATATTTGCTTTGAATTATGACAAAAAAAGCCCTTTCTAATTTATGGTAAATTGGTAAATCTGAAAATAACAAATATTTCGCCCTCAGAATCCTGTACATGTATGCACTGTGTTCGCACTATCCAATTTTAAGATTTTTTCTGTTTCTGTTTTGGATAATTTGGGAAATAAACTTGTTGAATGTTCTGTATATGGGTAACTCCAGAAAACAGGCTTTAATTATTTCCGAATGTTTCAGTCTGGATGGACTCAGGCATTAAAATATCTCACAGAGCTACATGTGAAGTGTCTAAATTGTATTGCGAGCATCTGACCACTGCAGCTTACACTGCGGGTAGATGCTAACCCACGCATATTTTTGTCTTGATTAATAGATCTACTGTGATCAAGGATTAGAGCAAATCCTTCATTCTGTACAGTGGTAACTGTTCAACATGTAATGCAGTCAACGTTGATAGAAATGATCTGAAAATCACAAATCGGCCACAGTAATTCAGATTGGAAAATGGTTAATGGACACTGTTGTCATCGATTGTTTTCATGACAGAGCACTTTTTCAGATTTGTTGGCCTCATAGATTAACCGTAGTCAAATGGATAAATCCTAGCAAACATATCCATAGATCCACAGCTAAACTCAATTGCACAGTGACAATATACTGCCCAGTGAAAAGTGCATTATTGTTTTTATCATGTTGCTCAGGGTAACAATGTGATTTTAAAAGGGAAAGGAGTGGAGGTTAGAAACTAAATGGTTGCTACGTTGCAGATTAGATTTGTAGAGCTGACATGAACATTCAAATGACCTCAGAAAGGCGGAGTAGTACAGTGAGAGGCAGCCAGTGGGAATCATTGTCCATGTGTTCTCCTTTTTGGCCATATTTATACTTTCTTTAAAGACACTTGCCACTGAACAGACCAAAAACATGTTTCTTCTGGCTGAAAGATAGAGAGAAAAGAAAGAAAGAAATCTTCAATGGAGTTGATACATTTCATTGTGAGCGTCACAATTTGTTCTATTGTAGAACAAAGTGGTTCTCTAAATCTACTTATTGAAGTAGATGCCTAACTCAGTTCTACTATGTGCCTTATGCTATAACTTGGGAGAAAGTTTGTGAAATTCAGGATCTATGTGTTCTTTGTTAACTGATTCACATCCTTTTGACGCCTCACTAGTTTTGTACTGTTTTGCATCTTATTTCCGAAGATCTTTTTATGGTGTATCCTGTTAAAAAGGGGGCAGCGATGTCATAGAAAGCATTTGTGCACTCTTTCAGATATAGTTGGGTAATCCAAGAACCTTATATATTGATCTTCGTGTTAATAGTTGAGTACAGTAAGTGTTCTATCAAGATTGTCCATGTTTCCCTGTTTCTTGATAAAGATGGTGTATAGAAACTATTTCCCCTTAAATATTTATGGACCAAACGGTTGTTATATATCTTATTAAATTTGTGTGAATAAAAATACTTTGCTTTAAATGGGTTTTTATTTTTCATTACACTTGCCATTTTTTGTGTTCTATATTAAATACAATTTTTGTTTATCACATCAACAACTGAGAAAGCTTTCAGTTATTAATGACCAGTTAAATGTCCTCATTTCTGCCTCCATTTTTAATTTCTATTTCCTATTTTATGATGTTTATGGTTTTTAACGTAATGCCCCATGGATTTGCATCTAAACCCTGCAGTCAAAAATATGAAATTGCTTTTTAATGCATGAACATGGCTTTAAAATTTAAATCAAAGGAATGCTTCAAAGCATATATTGATATATATCTATATCCATTTATAGTATATATATATTTATATTTATGCATAGCATATTGGTAAACCTTAAATGAGTTAAGAGTTAAATGAAGACCCCGTAAAGCCAGGTTGCTCTGTAGTTAATATATTCTTACTCTATCGTTTCTTTCAGGGAGAACAAATCTTGGGGCATTACAGCCATACATCCCGACGTTTGAAAATTCCCTAAAGTATTAAGAGAAGGGGAAAACTTTGATGGGAATTCCTCACCATTGAAGACAAAGACAATATTAGGATAAGATGATAGCATATTGAGAACAAATAAACAGACAGAAACCTGTAACAACAGATGATTTTTTTTTTTAAAACAAAAGTTTGTCCTGAATATTTGAATCCATCAGTGGAGAAGAGCCCACAATGTATGATATTTATGACATCAGTGTGGAAAAAATACTGTATTGGAATGATAAATGCACCAGAAATGAAAATAAAATGTATTGTATTATAGTTAAAAACAAAGGTGCAGGATGTGGTTAAAAGACAGCAGACATCCAACAGCGAAACAGAGACAGTATGGATTTTACTGGTATGAGCACACACACACACACACACACACACACACACACACACACACACACACACACACACACACACACACACACACACACAACCTTTCTCCCACTATCTTTCTCCTATATAGGCCTAACATATACAGAGCATTCCCTCAATTTTTCACACACACACGCACACACACACACACACACAGACAGACTACAACACACACGCTGCCCCCGTGCACCCACCCCAGAATCAGCTTGCTAAATAGAAGTTTTCTTTTGTCACAAGTGTCATTTCATAAACACATGGCCTCCTTGAAACTCGGCAGCAGGACGCCCATCAAATGTGATGAGTGTATGAAGAGGACTGCAGAGCTGGAGCTTTGCCATCTGGCTGTACCGAGGGAAGGAAGTGAAAAAAAAACAAAGCAGATAAAGAAGAGATTCTCATTTTGCATGCGCCTTATCATCTTGTTAACATTTTTCCTTGAAATGTATATGATTTCCTTTGATTCATTGTATGATTCACTGTCAGCTGCAAAATAAAGTATATGAAACAATGTCCCTGACAACAATATAGTACCTCACAGTGGAATACTCCTATAGATTATGACTATTTATAGTGTGCAACAATTCTCACAGTATCCTCTGTATAATCAGAGATTTTGAAGTGTGGTAACGCTTTTAAAAAAATCAAGCTACATTACACTGGCCAGGTTGAATCATATAAAATACATATGAAGCCAATAACGGCTGGTGTAATTGAAAACTGTAACATAGGCACAAACATGGTTGTTTCAGTGAGGTGTTTGGCAGTGTACTGTCTCGTTACTCGGTACAAACGCTGAGTATGTATGCCATGTAAAAAAAAAAAAGGTGTATTCTGGAGGCAGAAAAAGGAGAAAAAAAGGGAGGAAAGAGGGGAGGGAGGGGGGAGAGAGAGGGAGACTGAAGCCACATGGGGACCAGTAAACAGGCTGGTGTTGAATTCCAACAATGTGGGAAACAGCAAACACTTCAGTCAGTCCAAGAGGAAACCTCAGTCGCTGGGGTGCCTGTGCGGCTGTGGCGGCGGGACTGTATTTCTGTTTCTCCGGGTCTGATGGGAGGACAACGGTGGGCGGGTTGACACCACAGAGCTACAGGAAGCCGGACCGGAGCAGACGCACAAACAAACACAGCCGGCCCTGCTCACTTTTGGGGCTGCAGGAGGAAAAATTCTGGACAGCATCATGGCCGTGTTGACAAGAATTTCAGGGCTTTGCTGCTGGGCTGGACTGCATCTGATTGGTATAATATGTGTGTTTCTGAGCGTGTGTGTGTGTGTGTGTGTGTGAGCAATGCTTGACTAGACACCCTCTTTCAAGACAGGATTGCTCCACCTTATTCCAGGTATATTCTTAATTGACATCAATTTATCCAAGATTGGGATTGATAAAAAAATAATGTTTCTTGCTTCCTTCAACTATTTAAGCATCAAATATACACACAGTCTCCTGACTTCCTGTAAGACCAGGGCATTCATTTGTATCATAGTGGGATGAACTCTTATATCAGCCTGCAACTCTTACCCTTGCAGTCATGACAGAGTACAAGCTGACGTCATCTGTATGTGCACAGACTACAACAGGTGAGAAAGGATGGATTCAACCAACTGTTTTTTCCACCTCCTTCACTTTTTCCATACTGTACAAAAACAGTTCAAGCATCCCTATTTGACGTCACATATAAGTAGGGCTGAAACGATTACTCGAGTAACTCGAGTAACTCGATTAATAAAATTCCTCGAGGCAAATTATATGCCTCGAGGAATCGTTTAAATCCGGAACCATGTGCAGCGCACGGTGTTTGACACGGACGGTTATTTCTGTTGCGCAGAAGCGTGCTCTTTCCGCTCCTTCCGCTGCCGCGCGTTTGGTTCAATCATGGAGGGAAACGAGGACAGACAGAAGCTGTGTCCGAAATGGCATACTGCCTGCTATCTACTTACCTACTCAAGCAGTAGCTACTGCCTACTGACTACTCAAAGATGATTTGAGTATGCCGCGGCTGCCCGAGCGTTTACACACATACATACTAAATACCCCAGAATGCATTTCGTGCCGGCCGGACGCAGCGCCGGGAAAATTTAAATAGTCCTACCACAAGCTACATAGAACGACTGCATACCGGACAAATTATATAAATTCATTCAATAATAATATTTTTTCTAGCGAGAAAGTAAGTGTTTACATCACGATTATGAGCCCAGTTGTTTGAAATAGTGGCTGTTTGTAAATTTGTCTCGGCGTTTTCGGAGACCGAAGCGTCCACTTGGTCGGTGTTTGCGTCTATTTACCGTAAACACCGGGCAGCAGCAGCTCCCCCTTCACGTTTCCAAATTATTGCGAAGTGTTTTCATAATCAACATCTACACGACACAAACCGGGCGGCAGTGGATGAAAAAAATCACACAAACATCCGTGTATCCATGGTGATAATGCTATACACCACCTGCTAGGCGTGTGATGAGCAGCAGAGGGCTGCAAAATGACCAACACACAACAACATGTAAATAAAAATGTAACACTTTTATATATTGAATAAATGTACATTTGCTTGTCAAATTATGTTAGTATCCAAGAATTATATTATTTCAGCCTATTAATTAAACAAGTAAAATTAGATCCAAAGCCTGGAAATAGTTGTGACTGGTTTAGTGAAAACTGCAAAGATCATTACCATAGCAATTAAAAGACCATCTGCAGACCTTGCCTTCAGTAGTTTCATGTGAACTACATGGTAAAATGTAAAACTTTTGGTTCCTGATTAATGCAGTAAAAATATTCATTTGAAAGACCTGGCCTATTTCAGTTTTGTGTGTTACTGATGGTTTTTAATGAGGCAAACGTGATTCAATGCAAAGTATTACAGTGAGAGCAAAACATTTCTTATCCGATTACTCGATTAATCGACAGATTAATCGATAGAGTACTCGATTACTAAAATAATCGATAGCTGCAGCCCTACATATAAGCGTATGATACACCAAAGGATAAAAATACATACAGGTGCATTAATAGGCGACACATGAGCAGGTTAGAAAAAGGTAAACATACACAGCTATTCTGCATTTTAAATGATTTCAGTTATTTCCACTTAAATGATGTGCACTGATGAACCATCCTCACACTGGCAGGAATCAAACCGTGACAGTCTCTGTAATCTAACAAGTTTGGACTCAGGTACATCTAGGTGTATCAGGCTCAGGTTTTTCAGTCACACTTGTGGTCTCTCTCTTGGCTGAGGCTTGCCAGTAAAAGAAAACGTAACAGCCAGACAGGGGCGTGTCCAAGCTTTTTGACTCGGGTGGCCTTACCTCTGCGCCACCTCTGCAAGTCATCAAAGGTGGTGCAGAGGTGACATTAGGAATATGCACACATACATACACTGATAAAATGCAAAAAGTAACAGCGGCTGATCAGTTGGGATCAGATTGGGATACTGGGGTGGCCAATCAGACTTCAAAGATCAGCAGAGGTGTAGCCTTTCTGGTTACACCCCTGCTATTAAGCAAAGCACTCAAATGTCACTGAATACATTTAGGAAAATATTCATTGTTGTCGGTGCTAAAATCAAGCTTTTTGTGTTAGAATTCAAATTTAAGGGGTGATTAGCGGTTAAAACTACTCAGTCGTAGGTTCGACTCCTGGCCTCTATCTCTGGTCTCGTCACATTTTTTCAATTTTTCCAGCTGTCCTTTTCAGTCAAACTGAAACATCCTCAAAATATAACAAGTGAGACGTTAACATAGTGTTATATTTGTATTTTTTTGCATATATTATTATTAATATCAGTATTAACATTATTGCTTGTTGTTTGTAGGTCTCTTTTCTCTGGCTTTTCAGCTGATGTAACAAGTGATGCTCACTAATTGTAGGGTCATTTAATTTGATCTTATATAGGTCACATCATTAATCACTCAGTAACACTCAGACAGGGTCCCACATTTTGTAGACAAAGGTTTCTGAGGTTTTGGTTGATTTTGACTGAGCTAGGCCAGGAAACAACGTGTGTGTGACCAGAAAAAGTGTGGTTGACACACACTAGTGAATATGCTATACAAGACGGTGTGTTTGCGCAGGCACACACACACACACGCACACGGTCACACAGGCATTATCACACATTATACACACACAGTGACAGGCGACAGGGTCAAAACAAAGTATGGGATGATCACTGAGGCATAGGCCACACCTGCAGTTTACATGTTGCTCTGATTGTGTTGTTTCTATGGTCACTGCTTGTGTGTGTGTGTGTGTGTGTGTGTGTGTGTGTGTGTGTGTGTGTGATATTCTGCCAGTTCCGCCTCAGCTCCTTCCTCTCATTGCTAGGCGCCGATTTAACCTCACCTCACACACCAGCCTGGCCTGCTAACACAAACACACACCGGCGCAGGAACACACACAGACACAGACACACTCGGGCAGATGTCAGAGGGGTGACGATGTGAATGAGACACAGCTAAACTGTGATGTGTGTGCAGATGTGTGTACTTTCTGTATGTGTGTATGAGAGAGACTCAGGCCTGCCCTGCTGGTTGATACAGAGCAGGTGGAGAGATCCTCTGTGCTGGGTGTTTGCCAAGAGAAGAAACACACAAACACACACGTGTACACACTTGACAACACAACACAGACACACAAAAACAGAAAAGCAGATTTTATAGAGTGATCTAGGCAGAAATAATATGCTGTTTTGTCAGTTTTGTCCTTCACATTATCACAGACTATCTCTCCTGTGCCTCATTTGCGCAGAGCTCTCCACACGCCATAATCCCTTTATTTCTCTGTTGTGCCTCTATTCTATATTTACAGGTATTTGTTGTGTGACGGCTCACATCTAGACAACCTTGAAAATGCTGCGATCAAGGCTGATAACTACCGGTTGCAATTGCACTTTGAAGACAAAGCAACATTAATTAGCGTTGAAAATGGAAATGCAGGCGTCACGTGCATGCTGCCTCCAAGTTCGCCTGGGTTTGTGAGGAGAGAGAGACAACATTTCCTACATATTTTCATCTGTAATCCCTCTCTCTCACCCTCTGATAGCTGTGCTCAGCGTGGTACATAAACAGGAAGCTCTTCTGCATTGATATACAGCATGTTTCAGCGTGTGACAGGTCAGCTTTGTACTGGTGGAGTGTAACCTCTCAGTTCTTGCTAAACCTTCAGGATGCACGCAGCTCTCTCTCTCCCCTCCATCTGCTGGTCTCTATGAAGTGTGCACCCGATCACAGGAGCTTTGACTGCAGCTTCTGTCTCTACCACGCAGCAGTCATACCTAACCCCTGAGCCAGATCAACAACACAGAGGGAAATAAAAAAGACATGAGTGAAAACATCAACATTTTTTTCTTTTTAAGTGTTTTAAAATGTGCTTTCAGCCCCTGGGTGCAAAATTTCTGCATCCTTAGCGATGAAAAACACAGGTAGGAATGCACCAAAATTTGTAGGTTGAAAAAAAAATGGTGCATGTGGTATAAAAATATTACAAGCCTTAAAAAGAGCTTCTTTGCACTTCGAATCTCTTAAGCTGCCTGCCTTGATATGATCTCAAATTAACCTTTTCCTCTGGACTTATGGATTTATTTCATCAAGGTAAGGGCCATTTTAGAAATTTATGAAAAAATTATCACCATCGCATTATTTGTGGGTCATTTAGTTAAGGAAGTGTCAAAATTATGAGCAAGATTTGCTCCATCACATCAGAGTTAAATGCCACGTTTACAGTAAAACGTCTCAAGCACCTCCATAAATCCAGCACTTCAACCTTCTACATTTCCCCTGGAGGGAGAACCTTTTCCATTCTGGTTACCTGCGAGCGACACCAGAAAGTTTGAAGAGGAAAAGAGTGAAACAGATGAGATGACAATACTCTCTTTATGCTCAAAAAATATCCCGCGACTCAAAGAGAAATCTTCTCTTTAAAATAAACAGTATCAGCAAAAAGAACACCAAAAGTTTGCTATTGGTTTAAAGCAGCCGATCAGTGCAGACAGCCGCTTTTAGAACAATGAATCCTCTGCACGATTATTAAACAGTTTTCTACCAAACAGACATAGAGGTATGCATGTGTTGAACTAGAGGATCTCTGGGTGCAGCTCCCCTCACAGACTGATGCATTACTTTTCATCCATCCATCTAATTATTCCCTCAGAAACCTGAAATTTGAAGATACAAAAGACCGTCCCTATCTGTCACAGAGCGCCATTGATCTTATTGAAAGAAAATGTGGGTGTAGAGGAAACCCAATATAACTCATGCCATTAAATTCCACACAGCATTATTCACATACAGAATTGACAGATTTCTGTGAGACGTTTCTTTTAATCTTCAACTGTTGTTGAAGAAAAAGGGGGGAAAATCCTACACTGCAGGCATCTCTCCCTTCTCCATATTTGCAGTGAGGTTAACAAAAAAGGCTATTGAAGTAGGGAGAAAAAACACAACCCCACCTAACTTGTTGATTATTAACAATGGGAATGGGAAGGAGACAGATGCGTTTCCTGTGTATCAGCAGTGTTTGAATTGTCAGTCTGAAATCAGCGCTGAAGCTTTTATCAAAGCAAAGTAAGCTGATCAATTCCAGATGCTCTTGCTGTCCATGCGAGTCAATCTGCAATACCATTTTTTGTCAATCAACACTCACGATATTCCTAAGTAGAGATTGTGCATGTGTGTCATGGGATATGTGGGTAGCCTGCATGCATGTGTGTAATGACAACGAGCATGACTGTGTGTGGATTAGTTTGTCTGTTCAGGAGAATCCATTAAGACTTGGCTGCCTCTGTCTTTCTCGGTGAATCACCATGCATGCTCAGAAGAAAAGACAAAAGTCAGAACAACAGATCTGTCCATTTTCTCTTTTGCATTTAAAATTTTTGGCCCCTTGGTGGTTGAGAATCACTCAGTGTATTTACTCATCAGCCAAACTTCAGCCAATTCTGATGTGATGCAGCTGTGTTTATTGAAAGTATTTGTGAATTCTAAGATGAAATACTGTACCTTTAAAATGTAATGAAATAACTTGTTGTATATAAAAGATTTATTTGACAAAATTTACCCTATAAAAATATCACCAAATAAAAAAACCTGGCTTAGTTATAATCAGCAACAGCATACCAAAAAAGCTGCCATAAATGGATAATGCTGCTCAAACCCGTCAACTTTTCAAACACCTCTTGGCAGGGGCGTGTCCAGACTTCACTCAACAGGGGCACTGACTAATGCAGGCTTGGCACCAAGTATGTGGGACAAAACAAAATCTCAACACAGCAATATATCATCAACCTGACTCTTTAGACTCAAGTTTGAATCACTGGTGCCCAAATCAGATTTGCATCTTGTGGTGCTTGTGGTTTTGATTTCGGCTTCAAATCCGGAAGACAGAACCAAGTTGTTCATAGTATATACAGTCTATGGTTGCAACCCAACCAAGGTTGTTGCTTTTAACACAAACACTATCTCTGATCAACTTATCACATCTCAGGATTTTAGGGTGGCCGATCACTTCTCAAAGAAAGGGGCCATGCCACCCCTGACCATCTCTCTGGTCGTGCCTCTGTTTCCAGGTGCCTTGAATTCCCCAAATTCATTACTTTTTTGTGATCTGTTTTTGTTTTGTGCTACACAAAGCCAAGAAGCGACTAAGGTAAAAGCTACTCAGTGATCTTACCTTGTAATCCAGGATTGTAAAAGTTTGCTCCAGAACGACTTTTCAAGCTCACTATCCCATCCTTACACCATGATAAATGTCATATCAACAGCTCATGCATGTTTATGTGGCTAAGTAAAAACTAGAAAGGGAGTGTTATGTTGCCTCAAGTTTGAGTCCCACTGTTAAATCTCGCGGTATTTGGCAGCTTCCCTCCACTCTTTGACACTCGCCCCTCCCCTGCGCTCCGGGAATGCTGGGTTGTTTACATTACTGGCACACGGGTCAGGAGTGTGGTGATGAGAGGGGCCTAGCCAGTGGAGAGGAGACCATCTGAAAACACGTACACACATCTCGACTGGCTCAACTACAGCACAGGCTCTCTCTCTCTCTCTCTATCTCTGCGTGAAAACTTTGTAACGCTCGGGAAACAGTGCCACGCAGGACGAGAGGCCCGCAGACTCAACTTTTTTTTCTTCTAAAGAGCGACCTTGGAAAGAAAGGGAAAGTCAAAACAAAGGCAACCGCCATAACCATCAGCAGAAACCCTCAACGTGAAGAAGAAGTAGGAGGAATAGCTTAGCAACAGGCTCCCACTTCCTGGTAAGTCATGAAACACCGTTAAGTTAGCTGACAGTGAGCTCATGAGAATGTACTAAAACTTCACTTGGACGGCTCAAAACTTTCATTCAGCTTCAGTGGGAGTTTACAGACTCCAAAAACGCTTTCATACGACATATATTACGTGCACTAGCTATGTTGACACACTTGGAAAAGTTTCTACGAAGTTCGCTAACTGGCTGAGTTAGCATGTTAGCCTGTTAGCATGCCGCATTGCTAACTTTCACTACCTGAGAGCTGCTCAGTGAAGTTCACACTTTTAACATTTCAAATGACAAATGACGCCTTAATGTCGACATTACGCAGAAAATAGCTTTATTGTGCTACCACTGTCTGTACCGCAACAAAGTTATGAGATTATACTTGTTATTACAGGTTTTATCAGCACAATAAAGTAGCCATTAACTCCTGTCATGTCATGCTACAACACTGCACTAATGCTATAAAACACATACTGTATGAATGCGGCCATACTTGTGCATCTGTAGATTGTGACAACATTTCTGTGACACTGCAAAGTCAGACTCTACTCTGCAGCTTTACAGCACATACTCTGACCAGACTTTCACCTCATTAAAGGGATATTCCGGCGTAAAATGAAGTCATGGTCAAACACACTGTAACACCGAGTTAGACACCCCCCAAGAGATGAATGTTGCAGACTACTTTCTTCTCTAGTTATACCAACTTTAGAAACGACCACATGATAGCAATACAGAGAGCCATGCACTCAACCAAAAAGCCACTCTATAGCCACAAATAATGCTCAGAACAGCACCTAACTTCATCAACAGTACATATAGGGTCCTAGCCACCAAACATCTTTTTAGCTTTGCCTAATTTCTTTAGCAAAGAGACGGAACACAACTCACCTACTCTCTTCCAGCAGCCTCTTGTTTGTAGCGAGACCTAAGGCCAGTCCAAACTGACTAAAGTGGGGTGACGCAGCTCAAGGAAGAACATTTATGATCATTTCTTCATGGAATTGCAGTCAGACCAAGACACTAAGGCAAAAGAACTACCGCGTCAGCAGTGCAAAATGATAAATATGATGATTATTACTTCTAGTAAACAGCACTAGCCACCAAACATCTTGACTCACCTTAGGTCTCGCTGCAAACAAGCGGCTGCTGGAAGAGAGTAGGTGATTTGTGTTTAGTCTCTTTGCTAAAGAAATTAGGCAAGGTTACAAAGATTTTGGTGGCTAGTGCTATGGCTGGGACCCTATATGTACTGTTGATGAAGTTAGGTGCTATAGAGTGGCTTTTTGGTCGAGTATGTGGCTCTCTGTATTGCTATTATGTGGTTGTTACTTAAGTTGGTATAACTAGAGAAGCAAGCAGTCTACAAAATTAATCTATCAACGGGGTGTCTAACTCAGTGTTATGGTGTGTTTGACCCTAACTTAATTTTAAGCCGGAATATCCCTTTACCAAACATGAGAGGACCATAACCCTTTCAATTAAAGGCACTCCAGTACACCACCAACACCTGCTACAACTTCGTCACTGAGTTTGATAGAAATTATCTGACCATGTCCACAAGAACTGAAAGTGTTTAGCCTTCCTAAAAGTAGAATTTTTGGTAAAGTTTTTTTAGTAGTAGATTGCATTTGGTTGCCCATAAAGTCATGGCTGTTGGTTGTATATGAGTGTATATTGCTCATCATCTTCAAATGTGGTATGTTATCTTGAAATGTTCTAACTAAATGACAAAATAATCTTTATTTTCAAAAAGAGGTTCTTGGTTGAGTGAAAAGCTCCAGGGATGTCTGCATTGTACATCCAAACAACATTTTTCTTTCATGCTAAATCTGAAGTAGAGAGAAGAAAACACATCTACTGGCAGCACACATTTCCAATCTATGCATGGACTAAGCTTAACTGGCAATGTCAGCTGAATGATCACTGAGCTGTTCAGGCGCTTTTATCATCTACTTAAGTGAGAGCATCCTGTTTATGTGTATGAAAGATGGAACAAGAAATGCAATCATTAAACAGTCCGTGTAAGCAGCACTACAAGGAATAAAAATGCTCTTGAATAGCAACCAAAATGAACTGATTACATGAGGTTTGATTAGATAAAGTAAAAGATGAGGCAGAGGTGTAAACCTTCAAAATCTTGATTTATTGACTTTGAAGGTTAATGTTTTTGGTCAGGAAATTTGATAGCAACAGTTCGTAAACTGAGTTATGTTGAATTGGTCTGATTTTTTTAATACTAATGTTGAGTAAGGAAGGGAACAAAAGTAACTTTGCTTTGGTTCTCTGTTTCTTTGCCTAAGTTTATGCCTTGTTTTCACCCAGAGAGTCAAAGTAGTTGTCATTCTCATACCAGGGTTGCAAATCTTACCACCGAGCACCTATTTTTTTTTCTGTGGCATTAAGTCATTTTCATGTGGAAATTGTGCAAATATGTATAAGAATGTGTATGTTTTCTGGACCATCCTAGACTGGAACACATCTTGGCTCGAGTGTCGCTTCCAGCCGTTAAGCACCGTAAGAGTTATGGTCTGGTATACAGGGTTTATTTGGACGAGAATGACCAATAGATGGAAGGTAACGGCTTATTTGAAAGAAAAATAAAGCAAGAACTGTGTTTTTGAGGAAAAAAGGTTTTTACTTTATGACTCACTGCTTTTTTTATGTGAGTCAGACAGGTTATTGCAAAACCTTTACATAGTGATTACATTAAGAGTCCTGTTCAGACCTGTGTGGACCTATTTGTAATTGCTCATCTTCCAAATAATCAAATCAGATACTACTTAACGTTTGAGGAATCAAATTATTTAAAAAAAAAGGGATACAAGCCAAAAGGATAAACACAAAAAGACTGAGAGCTGAACCGTACAGGTGTGACGACAGAGCTCCGTCTCTCCTGAGCCTTCACATTTTGGGACTTGCACATAGGTTGAAAAACAGTACCTCATGCCATGTTGCTGTCGCTGCCTATCACAGCCAAATATTTCAGGCGTCATACCATCACATTTGGCTCCACTGCAGAGAGATGATTCAGACGAGAGTTAGTGGGAACTGACATACCTTGTTGACCCAATTATTACTCACTTCTGTGTTGCCTCATTCGATCATCGTCAAAGACAACAGGCTTGAGTCTGCCGGCGTCATCAGGTGATGGAGATGAACACCGGCTGGCTCTGTGAAGTTGACTATCAAGGAATGTGTCACGAACCGGATGATCAGCAATTGGCTGCCAAATGTTTGCATCAGTCTCTGTGGTGAGGGATTTCTGCCAGTACATCCCGCTCTGATTTTCAGCTGATGAGAGGTGGGATACTTTTGACAGGCCTTGGCAAAACTTAATTGTTTTGCCTGGTTTTATTGCTTGGATTTGATTATGACAGGAGACTAAAGAGTGGTTAAACAGCGGTGAAGAGTTGTGTGCAGCCTCTTTAAATAAATAGAAAAAGAACAATTGGTTTTTCATTTATAGTGCAATCCTTAAAATGAGCTACACTTGCCTTGTAGGATAGTTATAATGTATATTTGTTTGGTGTGGATATCTACAGGAATTTTCGCCCAACCAGAGCTTCTGTGTGTATGTGATGTATGTGTGTCATTACTGTTCTCAAAGAGGCATTGTACAGTGAGAAAGTAATCCTCCTCTCTTACTGGTTTTACTGGTGTAGCAACTAAAAGAAAGCGTATAGCCAAGGTAAAGTAATGAATACAGTGTAGCTTTGTCATTCTTACCAATGTGTATTCGTTTTCTCTCTACTCCCCCCTGGTATGATGAATTATTTGGAGCGTTTAGAGAATATTTTCTGGGTCCATTTCTGTATCTATTTGTTGTATTATTTTTTTTAAATCTCTTGGCATTCTGAGCCTTTTTCTGGTAAGTTTACAAAGAATAACCACCAAAGTTGCAACTGTTTTTGCAAGTTTCACACGCTCAAACAATTTCTTCCAAATATACTTAAAAATAGACATTGAATATGTCCAGATAATCCAACATTTTGGGTTACAGTTAGTGTTCTGATTTACCTGGATTTTCCAACAATTTAGCATGGGCTCAAGTGTTGGCCTAGTCTGTGCACATCCTCTCTATCAGCCCAGATTGAATGGTAGGAAGTCTTCCTACAGCAGAGACATTCAGAGTGAGACCTAAAATGCCTTTCATTGGTGTGGAGGAATCTGCAGCACCCAAAGCAGTGATTTAGCGCTGTGGAATTTACCAAATCGCTCTGTTCTGTGAGAGTTTGCTGTTCTAGCCCTGGAGCTGGCCCCTCCGCTGCATTAAAGATCAGAACAGACATTTGTCATCTGACCACTTTAACAGTCATCTTGCCTTCGGGTTTCACAAAGAACAAAAATGTTAACTCATATCTTTTTCTTGCACAAAGCATATTTGAAGGAGGATGCTTCCTAAGGCCATTTTTTGAGCTACATTAAACACTGTCTTTTGCATGATGTCAAAGACCATGGCCAAGCGTTGCACAGAAATGATGCCGGCAAAGGTAGCAGATCACTGCGTAGAATAAAGTCTAGTTTGGTGCACTTTTCTTTGTCATGAGTTGTTTTATTATCGATATTAAAAAGCAAGAAATAAAATAAAATAGAAGCTTTAAGCTTCCCCAGAAGAATTAGGAATTGAGTCTTTCCTTTTCAGGCTCAGTTTGGTTAGAGTTTAGAGTAAGGTCTTTGGCAATGAGAGTGGGCCGTCTTTGCAGCCTCTTATATTCCTCTCAAACAACCAGCCAGTCAATATTTTTCATATCTATCTCCTTTCTTTCTTATGAAGGGTCACTGATGTTTCACGCATTCAGATATCCTTGGAGGATGCCTTGCGGCTGCCCATGTCACGTGAAAGTTCTCAATTTCACTGTGGCATTGATGCCTTTTCTCAATGGGCTCTGAAGTGCTCAGGGGGGAAACAGACTACAAAGACATGCAAACACAAAATTACTGACCTAGGACCCTGTTGAAAGTTTATGAAACGCTTTCAGTGCCCCTGGGTCAGCTTATGCCATGACCGCACAATATCAGTGCTTTATTTCACTGGAAAAGGCCTGTGATTTTCCCGTCTTTCTTCTTTTTTCCTTTTTTTTTTTAACAACCACGGTCTAGTCTTTGGCTTCCTTATCATACTGTTAGAAAAAAGTGTTTCCATTAAATAAAGTTGTGGACATATTCATGATTTAATCAAAGCAGCACCATTAAATGTAATTTTTTCTTCTGTAAAAGCTCTTTGAGATGAAGAAATAAGAAGCCCCAATATGCCAGCCTTTATGAATTTGATCAGGATTAAGATAAGAAACTCTTAAAAGTGATGATTATCCTTATATTTCCTAGAATAGTAGTAATTTATCAAAAAAATAACATGCAATGTGCCAATCATAAAACACTAACTCGACCCTTATATTATAGTTATTTAGTTTTAAACCTGTTAAACTTGTCACATCTTAAATCGAGTAAACTGTAATTAGCCTGTTTGATGGCCCTTTGTAGGTATTTCTATTCATTACTGCTACTCTCTGATCATGAAATACTGCAAATATTATATACTGCGACGAGCAAATACTGCGAATACTAATGGCTCATGCTCTTCTGTGACAGCACTAACGATCAATCAAATACCTCATACCAGCTGTGTCTATGTTTTTGGGTCATGCAGCTGTTTGTTACCATCTAAATAAAGCTACCAAATCCAAATTGGCACTTTGTGAACTGGCTCTCCAGCAGCATCTCCCTCTTTTTTTTAATATATACATATATTTATTAGAGATCACTCTCCAATCGGCCCCTCTCCATCGCTATCTGCTTTGATTATCCACACGCAAAAATACAAATCCCTCAGGATACAAATTCACTTTCACAGAATAATTACAAGATGCTTTGTGCCACTGTAAACACCACATCAGTGACAGTGACAGTATGCATTTGTCATGAGATGAGACAAAAGCAGAATGAATTTGCACTCATGAACAGAAAAAAAAGAGAGGAAGATTTTTTCTCTTTTTGTGCGTGTGTTGCTTGCTGACTGTGCTATGGGCGTTTGTTCCTGCCTCATCACAAATGAGCCTTAATGTTTCACACGGGATTTGCTGCAGAAGATAACAAATTTGTATGAGAGCATCTTGTTTTGACAGACTGTCGGTTTTACCCTCCCCCTTTTCAGTGAGAAATGCTGAGGACGTTTCACTGTCTCTCGTTTACTTTTGTATCTGGTACATTCTGTTTCTTTTTTGGGACATAAGTTAATGCAAGGCAGGGGCCAGCGAAGGGACCTTACTGATAAACAGTATCATTGTTTCTGATTTCTGATTAACCTAATTCTTTATTGATTGTGGAGTATACCAGAAAACTGGGTGTTGATGAGCTGAAGCTCTGTAGACGTCCTCCACAGTGCAACACAAACCTTCCTGAATGTGGCTATCATGCAGAATCTTATGTGACACACCAAACAAAATAAGATCGGAAACTATCAGAGAAATCATTGTGATGCAAGCTATATTTTTGCAGATCTTTTAATGCATTGCTTTTCAGCTGTTAGATGTATAATTTGTGCAAAACGTCCAAATATCAGCTTGTTCTTGGCAGGAGTAAATACCACTTCAATAACCGTGAGCAGCATAGGCCAAACCTCTTCATTTGTTAAACCCATTTTCCGTCGATCTTGTGTCTCGCTGCCTCATCTGGGTGCATCGGACGTCTTTCTTCCCCTCCCCTCCTGTCCCCTCCTCTGCCTCTGTTTGTACCCTGACTCACATCACTGTTCCTTGGTCCCCCTGGTCTCTGAGTTCGGCTTGGGGCTTTGAGGTTGCGGTCGAGGCCTGGGGGCATGAAGAAGGAAGAGGAGTCATAATGAGAAGCTCCCCTCGACTCCTGCTGCCTCACCTGCCCTCCAGCCCCTTTGTCTCAATCCTATTCCACGTCCATGCCACCCATCTCCTCTCCTCTCTTGTAATTCTCACTTGCTTTTGCTTACCAGAACCCCTCTTCGCCTCTTCTTCCTTTTTTTCCATCCCTCAACCCCTGTGACTCTCAGTCTGTCCCCCATTCTCGCCTCTGCTCCACTCACCAGGGGGGGTTCACTCTACCCGTAGCCTCCCCTCAGCCTCCTCCTCTCTGCCCAGCCTGGCCCACAATCAACGGGAGGCAGGCAGCCTGACTCTCTTGGAGCAGCAGGAAGCTGCAGCAGCAGGGGTTAGGCCTGTATGGCGCTGCCGGCTGGCTCTGTCAGAAGTCCTGCCAAGCCAAGGATGAGAGACCTTTGCCAGTGCGGTATTGGGGCACCGAATGAAAATATTTTGCAGATGTCTGAAGGCAGGAATCAGGAGTCAGCAGCAGCATACTCGGGGCTCAGAGCAGAGGTGTCTTTTAAGTGCAAACGATGTGAATAGTTATGTTTTTTGCATAGCATAGATGATAAAGACTTTTAAGAATGAATGAAGGAGAGGGACTTAATGAAGTGGTCCTAAGGAGTCTTGGCATTTCAGGAAGGGGGCGTGTGCCAGGAGGTTGGTCAGAGTCCGGATTGGCTGAAGGGGAAGTGATTGATTCGGTTTGGCTTGGTTTAAAGACGGAGAGCATCCAGTGTTACTGTACTGTGAAAGCCTGGCTGGGTTCCCAACCAGTTCTGGCTTGATAGTTTAACAGTGAATATTTAACACTGCGCCACACTGCAGGGTTTGGCTGTAAACAGCAGTCAGCAAACAGCAGAGCAGCAAAAGCCTGCGTGACGCTGGGCCTTGGTTGTGAAGCCCACCTAAAAACAACGCACAAGCAGGAAGCACATCTTGAAGTTCCGATTTTAGAAAAAGGCAGATGGCACTGGCTGGTGGTGTCACACTGTAAAAAAAACACCAGGATCCCCTGATGAAAGCAACTCCCGCTTGCTTTGAACAGCGAGTCTGTCATGGTTGGTGTCTGCTGTGTGGCTCCGGGTCAAACTGTGATACGCAACTCCTGGAATTTTCGCTTTTTAAGTTTTTCATGTTCAAATCGTCTGAGAGGGAAAACAGAGGGAGGAGGTGGGGGGGACAGGAAGTTTCATTAATATTAATATTCTAATATGTGCAGGAGGCAGGGAAGACCTATCTGATTTAGCTGCTTTCAACCCCTGTTGTGGAGCTGTTTTTCTCTCCTTTTCTCTCTCTTTTCTGCGCTTCTTGTATTTCCTTCTGTCTCTGCAGTTTTAGCGACTTGAGTCTTCATTTACAGATTATTATTAACTCTGTTTTGTAACACTTTGTGGCAATAGATGATAATTAGGATTACATTAGTTATAAAGAAATTAAAATGTGATCTGAAGTATTATTATGTGATTCAAAGGTGATCCTGATTTAGGTAAAAGTGTTATATTTCAACTTGATCTGACAAGTTTATTCAATTACACACTTTAACATTTCAATTTAGCTTTACTGATTGGATCCCATTTTGCTCATAGCTGCCTGAAACTAGCCTTAAAGTTGGAAAACAAGATTAAATGCTCGTGTCTCTGAATATCTGTGAGTGATTGTTTGGTGTAAGCACTAGGGCTAGGATGGCATGCTTTTCTCCCGATACGAATTTTTGGATGCCAATTCGATTTAATTTGCGATTCTACGATATTGCAGATTTTCTCGATTATTTTAACACCAGTGAATCAATTGAATGATTATGATTGTCTACTGACTATTTCAGGAACCATATTTCCCCAAAAAAATACACATCACACGTAAGTCAGTTTTTAAGATTTATTCTTAAATTTGAAAAAAAAAAAAAAGATTTTTGAACATAAAAAGTCTATTTTAAAAATTGTAAAACAAAAAAAATGCGATACTTATGTGAGTTGATTATTTCTCCAACCCCTAGTAAGCACAGTTTGTTCCTGTTTAGAAGGTTTATGTTTGTCTGGGATGTGTCCTGCTTTATGATTTTAATACATGAATGAATTCCTTTCCAAACCACCTGCTGTTTAATTATACAATTTCTGTTCTTGGAATCGTGACATCCCGAATAAATACAATCAAAACCCCTACAAGAACATTTAATACATTTATTTTTGCTGCTGAAGTTGTACCTCCTTCTGCCTGCGATGTGTCTCTCTGCTCTGCCCTCTGTCACAGCCACAACACCGCGAACTTTCCTCATTCACTGGTAGACAAATAGGAGGTGTGTTAGACTGTTGACAAAGATCCTCACACAGATGCTCAATGATCTATGTTCACACAATGACCTCCTTTGAAATAAAATCAGAAAACAATTGAAACAGGCATCAATATATAACACGTATTAGAGAAATACTGCATTTGAGGATGAGGTAAAGATGTGACCTTGTTAATCTCCTTTTTGTCCCGATATCTAGAAATAAACTAGATTTGTAGACTTTTACAGATGTGATATGAAGGGGGGCTGAGTCCAGCCTCTGTGTGAGGGATGGTGGAACAGGTCTGACATCTCTCCTGAACTGAAAAGGGAAATCCCTGCAGGCACAGAGTAGAGAGGAGGCATAGGGGAGGGAGGGCGAGAGTGGAGAGAGGTGCGACCCCTTAGGGGCAGCCTTATTCTCCGATCGTCAGCTCCTTACACACACGCTCGCACACATACTAAGACTCTCTGTCGGTGTGTCGGATGATGCACTCATGCAGAGCAGGATGAGTGCCTGAGGAATAAAAATAAACGTTGAACTCATTGTGTGTGCATCTGTGTGTCTGTCTATGTACGTGTTGTGTTCACATGCTTGTTAATACGTTTGTTTCTGTTGAAATTTCGATGCAGTTTTGAGGTACAGAGTAATCAGATATGAACACAGGAAATAAACTTGAAATGCACTCCCAAAAATATTGTTGCTTAATTGACAAGTGGAAGCTAAAGAAATGAAAAGCAACAGATTTAGTTCTTCCAGCACCAAAAATGTTGACTAGCTTTTTTTTAAAGTCACTTTTGTCTGATTTATTTTCAGTCCCAAGTTTTTCCTCAAAGATACACCTACTCTTCAGACAGCACCATATGTCTTCAAATGAATGACGCACGTCTGCCAGAGCCCTTGTTAAAAACCATCACACAGTTTCCAATTTTATAATCCAAATTCAAGCTCCAACAAAAATTACTTTGAGCTGTTAATTAATAGGTCCACAAATGTCATTAAAGTGAGTAATCACCATACGACTCGACTTTATATTAAGCCAGAAGAAATCGTGTGACCAAGCCGAAATATCAAATGTTCTTTTTTTTTAATTAAAAGGTGTTCACGTTGATTTGAGTGTAAGGACCATAATCTTTATATACAATAACATTCACTGTGATCAGACATCAATCAACCATGACAACAGGCAGAAACCTCGAATGAGACCAAACTCATTGGTGGGCAGCTGTGTGCTGCAACCTGATAGGCCATGTAATAGATGCATTTTCGTCATTTCATTATCAAGAGTCATTGCTCTGGCAGTGTGACAACTATTTCAGTGTGCATATACAAAGCAAAGGAACTGGATTTGACCTTTGATTGAGTGGCTCTGGTCAGGAGATTGTGTGTGTGCAGCAGGCAGCAGACCTCGCCGCAGAAGCCACAGCAGCCTGAAACCAAACCAGAGCCACAGCCTAGTTTGAGTTTTGTGGAGCTGCATTCCCATGGGGCCACTGTTCGTATGTTTTCAGTACATGTGTACATGAACTTCTTTGTCTGCATCTGCATTTGGATTTGCATCTGCAGCTGCGTATAATCTAATTTAAAATCTAATCTAATTTCAGTCAGAACAACAACAACTGATGATGTGATTTATATCATTGTGTTGATAGCATGTTGTTTATCCTCTCTATTTTTCCCTCATGGAGCAGTTGGATTGTTTCATGTTCAGGGTCAGTGGGATGTTCCCTCTTTTAACCTCAGAGATGCTGGAAAGTTGAGGTCCCTTCCCCCGTCCCTCACTCCGCACATGAGGAGGCTCAGGCCCAGAAGAGCCCCAACACGAGCCCTCAGCCCTCACGTTAGCACTCAGCTATGTAACGAGACATGCCTGGGAACTGCTCCTCTCACATTACTAATGATTTGGACATCTTGCTCTTGTCATTTCCTCTTAGTCAAACTCCGATGCTGACGAAGGGTAACTGCTTCAAACTATCCAGGGAGAAGTGGGGGGAAAAAAACCCAGCTTGAAGGGAGTATAAGAGACTGGTTCGTATGTGAGAGGAAAATAAACTACACTCACCAGATGTTTTTTGATGGTTGTTTCATAGATGAGAAACTCAAATGACAGGCCTCATCGTCTCCAAACAACAGGGTCAGCAGTTTCTGCTTGATCATAGCTATCCTACAACCCAGTCACAACCAGAAATGCATGCTGGGTAGGAGACACTTACACTGTTTGGTGTAGAATAAAACACATTTGATAGTGTTTGGTTTTGTAGCTCAGTGATCTCCTTCTGTGCTCCTTTTATACTTAAATCTCTTATCTAAAGAGTAAGTGAGGCATTGCGGCTCCTTTGTAATAGTCGTCATGCTTGTTCTGCTCTATTATGTTTGTACTCCAACCGCATCTCATACAAGTTCCTGTAAACGCTGGTTGGTTTGCTTTTGTGCAAGTGTTAGTTCGCACAGGCCACGTCAAGAATCCTCCTTTTTAGCAGATCCATTTCCTCCTTTATAGATATTAATAGGACTGTAGAAAATAAAGGCAGTGTGTTTTTAGAGCACTGCCCAGATGTTGATGCTCTTGTTTGTTGTCTCGTTTAAATCTGATCATGGAGTTTAGCTTCAGGAAACACAGCTGCTCTGCACTGAGGTACCCAAACACTTAATGGAAATGCAGTTTACAGCAATCCTCTATTTAAATAACTACAAAAAGTTAGTGTGGTATTGTCTTTTTTACTTAATTTTTAAACCAAATTTCCCCCCATTTGTCCATATTTGATGTCTTTATAAACCCTGCAGCAGTGCAGACAGAGACAGAGCCCGGCCCTGCAGTACAGAATGTCACATCTTATATCCTGGTGCCAGAGGTGATGAAGCTAATTTGGTGGTCAGTAAGTGACATGGCTAACAAACAAAGCCCTTATTGGTCCTGGAGCAACTGGGCTGGCTGCTCAGCTCTGCTGTGTGTGCACTACTCTTGTTTTGCATTGTGAAAGAGCACGAGTTGTTGCCACAGGCCTCTCATGCAACCTAAAGCCTCAGGATGTTCGTCATGCAGTTGTGTGTAATTCTGGGCGTGGGTATTTAGTTCAAAGGTTGAAATGAACTGAGAGGTGAGCCCCTGAGAAAAAAAAAACAAGTAGCCACTTCATAAAAATAAAAAACAAAATCTACAGAAAGGTTTATTTTTGTGTAACTTGTATTCAGATGGTTTTTGGGAGCTCACTTAAAAATAATTCTGGCATGAAAGCACTGAAATAAAGGAGGGACCACTCTACTGTTCTTTACTATTTCAACATATCAGCAAACTTAATGATTGCGCCACTGTCCCTTATGTTCCCTGACTGTTCCGTTAAATCTTCAGAGGTTAATTCCAGTTTAAGTGCCCGAGCAGTTTCTGTGAATATTTTTCTTGGACCACATGAGACTGATTTTTGAATGTACATTTATTACTGTTTTCTGATGTTAAATTGAGAAGTTTGTTGATGAATCCAAAACAAATCTGATATTTTAAAATAAAATAATTATGTATCAAGGCCCTTCAAGGTTTAATTGCACTGTCGTTGATCAGGCGTGTTTCTAAGTGAGTGATCTCTGTGTCACTTACAAAAGAAATTAGAGCTCTGACTGACAAACCTGCTAATCTAAACATCAGAAAAAACTGAAAAGAGGTCAAAGTGGGCAAATCTACTGAACAAGCCTGAACTTGGGATCATAAAGACTACAGGTAAAAAAAGTCAAACTGTTTTGCCAACATGAGCTGATCTAGCACATCTAGTCTTCAGCAGCCCTTGCTTGTTACACACTGCTCTGGTTGACTGGTTATATGCCAGTTTAACCAGACAAAACCTTAACACATCTTTTTCTAGTTTAACATACTGCTACCTGTGCCCTACTATAAGACAAGGGGTGGGAATCACTAGTGGCCCCATGATATGATATTATCATGATACTTGAGCCAATACAGTGAGTATTGGGATACAATATATTCCGATTTATACGTTTTTTTCAACTGTTTAGCTAATTTAGCATTTGGCTTTCTTTTATGTTTGTCTTATTTACGCTGTATTTTATTTTCATGTGGAACATCTAGCTAACCTTGTGTATATATATTTGTTGCACTAACTTTCTCCTGCTCTATGATGTCGCCTCTGCCAGCCTCACTGGACAAACAGTTGATTTTAGTTTTCCATTATCATAGATTTGACTTTAATTTAAAAAATCTATACTTTGTAAATGAGACAATACAATATTATCACCAGACAAAATATTGCGATACTATTCTGTTTTGATTTTTTCTCCCACCCCTATATGAGATCCCATCTGTTATCTGTGATTGTTTACATCCAGGTAGTGCAGTAGTAGAGCATGATGGCAGTCACCAGAGCTGCATTTTCTGACACCCCTAAAGCGCTCTCTTTCTTCTCTCTCTCTCTTAAATGTATAAAATATATACTCTCAGATTATGATGAAACTAAGGGGCGATGGCGATACAGCATTTTGAATCGCTGTGAGTGTAGTGAGGGTGTGAAAGCAAAGCCCAAACCCCCAGGGTCTCCTCCCCTGAATGCCTGGGGGGGTTCTCATCTTCACTCAGCCTGCGTCTTCACTTGCTAAGCTGGTTTCTAAAGGGATCACACAGCTGTCTCAAATGCAGGACTCTGTTTTTTTTGGCATACTTAGCCCACATGATTTTGTTTCATTTACACAGTCAGCAATTTGTCAATAAACCTTGTTTATTCTGCGTGATTGACAGAACGAATTGGTTTCACCTCCATAAAGAAGGGTGCCGAAGGAAAAAGAGAGAGGGGTAGCGTGTCTGGCGGTCTTTTTGTGACTGGTACCATGGCTGTCTGTCATTCTTCTTTTATCATTGAAATTGGAGTTTATCTTTTACAAGCTTGAGTGGAATGTTTTTGTTTTTCAAGTGATTATTAGCATCCTCCTTGGCTGCCGTCTCCTGGCTGATGAAATGAGTACATCAAACAGAGCGCCGTGCTAACGAAGCAGCTCAGGCTGGCTGGTTGGCTGGTTGGCTGGCTGGCTGCTGCCTTTTGCTGTAAGGCACCTGCTGAAGTGACAGGCTGGCAACAAAAGGCCCCTTTGCCACAAGAGAGCCGTCAGTACCGCTGTGGAGTGGGCAGGACAATAGAGCAGAGGTGGCCTGAGCTTTTAGACACGTGCCAGCTCGTGTCGACACCACACAGGAGCAGGAGAGCGCCGAGGAGAGAGGGGGAATGAGAAAGGGCTGACACCTGCATGTGCTTGAGCTCCGTCCTCAATGGTGGACATGTTTACTTTACATAGGGGCTGAAAATGGCAAAGGAAAACAGAGATAGAAAGGATACAAACGCGCAGGTGTGTGCACAGGGGCAAACCCACACACACAGATGAAGACAGAGGAGGGTGCATTGTGGTTAATGGGATTACTGGCTCATGGAGAGTCAGGTGATTGTGCAGATGTGTTTTTTTTATTTTGTGGAGGCTGCAGAGGGTGAAGTGAGAGCACACCGGAGCAGAGCAGTGAGCTAGTTTTACTTGGATTCTTGGGGTATTAATCAATTTAGGCCTCACATGAAGCACGGACTGTTTGTGCTGTGCTATTTACTTCTGCAGGGAAATAATCATTAGCCTATAAAAATGTGAACGTGAAAAATGTAAAGAAGGCCCTATAAATAGTTAGCAAGCAGCGTTATGGATCGCTGGCCTTGTAGTGTCCCCACGGACCTCAGCGGTTTTCTTTGTCTTAATTCCCTTTTTTATCATTTCGCTGTGTGTCCTCCACTTGGGAGAGGGTGAAGGTCTGAGTTGTGTAAAGATATCACACACAAACATACACACATACTTCAGATTCTTTTGTTAGCCTTTTTTCTTCATCTATTCATTCCTTCTCTTTTATGAACTACAAAAGAGTGAGACTTAGCTCGAGTCTGACAAATTTGAGGAACCAGTAATTGCAAGTATTTCTGTATCTGCTATCTCTTTTTTGTTTTGTGTGTGGCAGCGAGAGAGCAGGAATTGCATGTAGGGAGAGATATTTCTGATGTAAATCAAAACATGTCGGCTTGTTTCTTGTGCTGCCTACATATAGCAGTCAATATTCAAAAAATGTGTCTTTTTTTAAAATTAATTTATTCAACCTTTAATTAACCAGAAAGTCCCTATGAGAATAAAAATCCCCCAAAAGAGACCTAGCTACGGGAGCTGCCATAAAGAATCAAAAGAGGAAGCTATAAGGGGATGCTGTGGATCAGTGGCAGAATTGGTTGTATAGGTCAAGAGTTTGATCCCAGGTTCCACAGTCCACATGCTAGTGTGTCCTTTGGCAAGACACTTGCCCCTAACTTGGCCCTCTGGCTTCGCCCAGTGAAGTGTGAATGGTGTTAGTCAAAAAAGAGAGTGCTGTACACAGCAGTCTCTGCCATCAGTGTGTGTGAGTGGTGTGAAAGGGTAAATGTGACATCCCTTCACCATTGTTAAACATCATTGTGACTCGCTTTATAAATACAAACTTACCAGTGGTGCTAGGAATGTTGTCCAACCCTCTGAATCTTAACAAATGCAGTGGTGAGTGAGGGATTTCACAATGGTTAGAAAGAGATGCATGATACAATGAAACAAGGCTCTGTAAACTGGATGATTATAAACAGTATATAACCAGAATCACTCACAGACAGAAATAAAGCCTATCAGAAGTTTTATCTTTGCTTTCCAAGTAAAGCAGAAATTATTTCTAAAACAAAAGTTGGCCCTCAAAGTCAAAGTTTGAGCTTTTTAACGAAATCGATGATATGATAGTTATGCAGTTTATTGAGCCAGGTACTTCTTAGAGGTCTTGTTTCAATGGGTTTCTTTTGAGAGGTAAAAATTTCAAAATCACTGACCGTTGAGTGAACTTCAGTGAGCTTTGATTTTTGAGCGTGTAAAAGTCGGTTTAAACTCATCGTAGATGTTAGCTGTCTGAAGCTCTTGTGCTGCTGTTGTTATGAGGTAACATGGGTGTTACCTGTAGACTGTATTATCAGCATAGAATTGTAGTGTGACCTTGCCCAGGTCATTCACAAGAATAGAGAGCATAACGGGTCCCAAAACAGAGCCCTGGAAGACACCTCAGTTATCTTCAGAAAATATAAGGAGAATGATGCACTGAGTTCCATTCGCAAAATAATAAATCAATAAACCAGCACTTCCATGTTTGTTTAGCTGTTATTGATGGTCACAAGAAAACCATTATTGTTCTCTTTTGACTTTTCTACCACCACTAAACTATTTCTCTTTTGATGAGGTTAAAGTTGGGGTTGACTTTGTAGCCACGATCACTCCATGTTCTGCTTTTTAATGCAGCCTCTCAGGTGTCATCATTGTTGTTGTTTAGAGCATTGGTCTGAGATACTGTCATTCTCATGCTGCACCTTGAGTAACTTAATAGTTGAAAGCAGATGTGGTTGATAAACAAAGTCTAAATGGTGTGACTTCTGAGTATGTTTGGCTGGCTTTGGCAAAGTCTCTTTTCAAAAGAGTCTTGATTCATCTTCATGTTGTTTCTTCTCCTTTTGAGATTGCAGGACAATAAAGTTTCCTGTTTTCATTTCCTATTCTGTCAAATCTCAGACCATCTCAAAGAGCTTAAAAAGAAGCTCACATGCTGAGGTGTAGTTGCTCATCTCCCTCTCTTTCTTTCTTTCACTCTCTCCCAGCTCGTGGTCTCCCGAACTGGAGTGCTCACACATTTGGGCTAATGATTTTGAATAGTGATTAAAATGAATTGTAGAGTGCCCTGCTTCTGTAGTATCCAGACCCCTCCATCATTAGCGCTTCTCTTCCTCTCTCTGCCTTTTTTCCTCTCTCTGTATCATCAGTGTTAGCCGAGCGGGGCTTTCAGACAAGGCCCGGGGTGGGCTTTCATGAGCACAGACTCAAAGATTTCCCCACTTCTTGTAATCATGGACACCACTCTTCGAGCACTTTCACTGTCGTCTTCTGGCTCCTCAAAGGTGCCTTTGATTCCCTCACATCCTACACCCGGGCCGGATAGTGTCACATTATATTTTTCCTCTCTGCTTTTTAACTCCCCCACCAACCCCTCTCTTCACGTCCTCTTCCCTTCTCTCTTCTCCGGCTTTTTAGACCCAAGCTCATCAGTCTGTGTTCATATTTATTGTCCTCAGACTGAGAGCTGATTTAGCACTCTTCTCTTTGGGGCCGCTTAAATCCAGGACCCTTCCCCTTTGCTTCGGCATTCATTTCCCCTTTCCCCCTGCTTTGCCTTGATCCACCTTTTTCATAATCGGCTCCCTCTCTTTGTTTTTTCTCTTCTTCTGTTTTAAATGAATAATGCAGAAGAGAGAAAATGGGGATTAAAGAGGAGCTAAAGCCAGTGCCGACTTCAGTGGTGCACAGCTCCACACCGTCTCTCACAGGACCATGAACACATCAGGGCTAACAAGTTTCTTTTTTTCCCTCTTCAGCATTATTCCTCAGTACTGTATCTGTCCCACTCTGTCCTACTCCATCCCTGCTGAGCTGTCCTCACATATGCATCCACCTGCTCAGTTTTGCCCCACTCAAGTGAAGATTTGCTCTTTCATATCTACATTGAAAACCGTTTTCCTAAAAGCCAGCTTGAGCAAAGCTACTTCTCAAATTAGTTGTTCAAAATAGGAAACTGGAACAAATCAGGGACACAGTCGATCAACAAACAAGCTACAAAGAAAAAGAGATAAAAGAATTTTCCCTATGGGGGGCACTTTCACAACCTTACTGTAAAAAAAGACAGAATGACTGCAAGTCCAAGGACTGAGTGCAATTGCTGGATTTGAACCACAGCAGTCTGATCTTTCACATTGGACTCAGCTACTGATGACTTTTTTGACTTGAACTCATACTGAGTGCACTTCGCCTCACTGGGAATGGTCCCAGCTGTGCCTGCTGTTATCATTTGTGACCATGTGAAAATTTGTGGAGCAGTGAGCATTGCCAAGTAAAGCACTTCCATCCACTTTCCTCTACAATCAAAATATCTGTGGGAAGAGTGGACATCACAAACAAACAGAAAAAATATATACACGGAATATCAAAAAGTCCTTACAGAGGAACTGAACAACACCATCATAATTATAAAAACAGAACTATTGAAAAGGGTTTTAGTCTCTAATAACTGTCATTAAAAAGCAGCAAAATCGTTGACATATTTGGAGAGAATCCCCTAATTTCACAGGATTGAACAGCACTGACAGCCCAGAGCTGACAGCCTCATTTGCATAAAACTCGAGAGCAATCAGCACCCGCAGAGCAAGATGCTGGTTATGTATTGTGGGCTGTGTCAAGTTAAGCAGACACAGCCTCAAATAATCTTTATCCCAACTGTGCTTGTTTACATCCAGATAGTAGGGTGTTGGAGCATTATTAGCCAGAGCGGTGCGGCTTAGCCTCATCATATAACACACATTTTAGGACTACAGTAAAAAAAACAAAAACAAATTTTAAACCAATCAATGGCTAATAGATTAGGGCGGGAGAAAAAAAATTATACGGCATGGTATCGCAATATTTTGTCTGGTTATTTATTGTATCGTCTCATTAACCAAGTATTGATTTTTTAAAATTGTCGTTAATATGAAGTCAAATCTATGATAATGGTAGAATAAAATCAACCGGTTGTCCAGTGAGGTTGGTTAGAGCAAGAGGAAGTTAGTGCAACAAAGACAGCATAAATTGGACAAACATAATGGAAAGCCGAATGCTAAATTAGATAAACAGTTGAAAAAATGGTATAAATCGCAATATACTGTATTGCAATACTCATTGTGTTGCAAAATGTTAATAATCGCAATAATATCTTATTGTGGCCTAAGTATCGTGATAATATCGTATCATGGCCCAAGTATTGTGATAATATCGTACCGTGGCCCAAGTATCGTGATAATATTGTATCGCAATAAAATCGTGTTGTGGCCCAAGTATCGTGATAATATCGTATTGTGATAATATCGCATCGTAGCCCAAGTATCATGATTATATTGTATTGTGATAATATCGTATCGTGGCCCAAGTATCGTGATAATAATGTATCGTGGGGCCACTAGTGATCCCCCCTATAATAGATTATGTCCGGCTTTATTTTGGACTAATTGAATGCAAAGAGAGCTCACTGCTGTGAATAAAAAGATTGCACAAAATATACAACACAGTTCAAAGTTTTAATGCACAATTATTCAACAAGCAGCAAAGTACCTCACAGTAGAGTTACTGTTACTACCATTTGGAGTATTGATAGGAGCCAACATACCATGGTCTTTAAAGGGCCTTACAGTGACGCCTATCCCTAACTTTTATTCTTGCTGAGCGCAAAACTCGTAATCAAATGCAAGAAAAATGGATGATTACACATTTGTCACAGGAACAATACATAAAAAAAAAGAAAAGAACCAACAGATTTGAGATGAGTATGACTGAAGGTGAGAGATGGATATGTGTCTGAAGTAAGTGGAAGGAAAAAATCAAATTAACAAATGAGAAGTGTGCTGGAAATGTGAGAACAAAGAAGACTGCTGAATAGTTAATATCCTTTTCTTTCCTCCTCTTGTTCTGCCTTATTGTCTCTCCCTTCCCTCCTGTACCGTATAATTACCTACGTGTGATTGGGCCTGCTGTGAGAATGTCAGCCTGCAGTCTCACATTAGATGGAACACAGTCAGAAAACTGGGTTTGTTTACACTGACTGGTTGGTGGTCTGGGTGGGGGATTTTTTTTCCTCTTTTCCCTAACAGAAAAACAACCATCAGTTTGTCAGGGAGATAAATGCTTCTCTTGCTAGCACGCATTCTGAGGATTGTGCAAATTTTTTTAGTAGCGGAGAAATAATCCGTTACACCTGACAGGCTGACTGTTACGGACGTGGTGAGGGTGGTTGTGGATACTTAATCAACTTTTTTTTGTTTGTTTTAAGTGATGAGATGCCACCAAACGCGCTAAATTATGAGCCTGTGTGAGAAAAATGAGCCTGAAAATCTGTATATTATGAATGGAGGTACACACTGAGCATATTGTGTATCCACTCTATTTGCTTGTGATGATTCTTAACCAGCCAACCAAATATGAGCCTGCTCTGTTGTATATTTGAAGCTCTCTCAGGCCAAAGCTCTGAACGAGTTACTAGCATGTGTCTATGAATAATTGGGGGATTTAGCTTTTAGCCACTACACCCCCACTGTTGCTAAAACCTAGACAGTTAGTCAGCCAACATTTGTTGTTCCCATGACAGAACGGCAGGCAGACTGGTACCTGTAATTTTCACTCCTGTTTGTGCTTTCACTAGTGAAGGATTCGTCCGTGCTCTGGGATGTGGGAGCTGGACCTTTTGTGGATGAGAGACAATCAAAGAAACAGGGGAGCTGGGTTTATGCAGTGAGAGATTTAGTAGATTTAAGGTTCACATGATGAAAGTTAAAATCAATCTCTGTGTTTGATTCCTCCAGTCGCTAAGGCAAGGTTCTGCTTTGATTGGTTGCACATAACTTGAACTGTGCGAGCGGAAGCCTCGAGAGTGTGACCCTGCCTCGTTTGATTGAGTTAGCGCCGTTAATTGTGCTGTTTCCTGGCGTGTGTTAATCTGACGTGGCAGTCTTAATTGATCCCGTTAACGTGAGATGTGGGAGGGTAAAACAACGTCAGGGAGCTCTGATGCCCCCTGGTTATTTTGACACGTAGACAGTCAGAAACACAAGAGGGTTAGGGAGAGGAGCGAGGGTGCCAGCACCAATCTAACAAAACATGAGGCTGAAGTGCAAAGAATCACAGCGAGAGGCGGGGAGGGCGCCCGGGTGGATGACTTGTTGTGTCCCCTGTGATACTGAAATCAAAATGCCACAACATCCAGCCAGTCAGCCGTCTAGTCATCCTCACTAATAGGCTCTAGCTCCATGTGGTTAAGAAAATCCCCATGCAGATTAAGTCTTGATAAGACTTGAGGTGAAATAAAAGCATATCTGCTGCAGATATGAAAGGCTAGCATGTATCCTTGTATGTAGGGCTCTCTAGACAGAGCTTAAAATCAGCACTGGTGCTCCCGACTCTTAAAACTTCACAGCACTATAAAAAAAATCAAGAGGAATCCATCAAAAAAAAAAAAGTGCTTCACAACTAAAATATACTGCAAATGCGGTGATACCTGCACCCCTGTCCTGCAGGTTTTACAGTGAACACGGTGTGTTGCCATATTCGAAATGAAGCCATTTAAAGTTTCTTCCAAAATTGCAAAGCCTCTTTGCTGTTGGTGTATTTATCACATCAGCATCGGCATCACCAACTCAAGGAGATACATTTTCTGTAATGTTAGTGGCCTACAAAAGAAATCCCTCAGGGTTGTCTCCTTCTTTCTTCAGCTCTTCTGATTTCATGCTCGGTAGCTCTCTTTCATGTAAAAATAAAGCAGAGTAAAAGGGAGTGATTGAAGGCTATTCCCTTTTTCCAGCTGACATTGGTTATGAAAGTGTCTGATTGAACGTAATGGTGGCCCATCATCGGTAATGTCTGCTCAGAAGTGCACAATACTCATGACTGATGTTAAAACACTGCGTCTCTTCGCAGGCACTTATAGTCAGGTCATAGTAACAGCAAATGCTTCATAGAAGAATAACAAAGAAGCACACAAAAATTTGCTCTTGCATACTTATTTACAAAAATAGTTTAAGGTTGAACAGGTTAGAATTTAAGTGCATTTACAACCAAAATGTGGTTTTATCCACAATTCCATCTTTGAGACAAGAGTTTGGATTTTACAGAATTCATAACCATTTCTGACTTCAAGCAATGATCCTCTTAATTGGGTTCATGAAGTTAAAAACAAGATCCAAACGATTCAGTATTTGGTATTTAACAATGTTTTTGTAGTCTTCTTTTTGGCCTCAAGCAGTCAGTGCTTTTTTATTTTTTTTTTGTAAATATAGCTTTTTTTTTTACATTTGAATTGATTTAAACTTGTTTGAATGTTGATTTCGGGGAGAAAAAAAAAAGTATTCCCAATACAAATGTAATCCCAGGAGAAACAGTGTTGTGCAAACACTTATTTTAATGATCTTCAAAGCTTACACGAAGGCCAGTGAACACCCGCAAAAAGCTGAACTCATCTAAAATAAACAACCACAGTGTATGCAAAATACACGCCTTTTATGCACACACTTATACATGCCTGCATGCATACACAAAATAAGACCCCCGACTCACATACAAACATGCACACAGTGTACCATGCATGTCTATGTATATCTTTGGCAGATGTCTAATTAGCATCATTAGCCTTTAGTGAATGGGACTGAGGACACGAGCAGAGAGACGGCTCCTCAGTGCCATTCTCCTCTCTATTATACCAGGGGATTTTTAATTGGCCAGGGAGGCAACAGAGACTAGAGACAGTTAGTAATACACAAATGACAGACTGACAGGCCTGCAGACAGACGGACTTCACTCTAGTGGAAAAACATGCAAATGTCCCACTGTGAAGTCTGTTGTGTCCCTTTCCCTTTGTGCACCACTTCACTGTGTTTATGTCCATTTGTGTGTACACACATGTACAATATTCATGTAAATGAGACAGTTTTCAATAGATAGTGGATAAGTCCTAAATATCCACTCTATGATTGGGATTAGAAGACCGGGAGTAGTCATTTCTACTTATATTTCTTACTGACTTTACCAAAGTCAAGACTATTTTAAAATGAAGCTCCAGCATTTTCAAGGTTTTTGGCTGTTAATGTTTCCCAGCATCAGAGATGTCCTTTTTCTCCATAAGGATATGGATTGAGTGTGTGTGCACCAGCAGATATCCATATCTGCTTAAATACAAACAACACTAGGAATATATGTGGTTACATTTCGTCCATTTATTAATCCTCATTGCAAACTAGATCTTTTCATGCTTACAGTGCCCTTCATACAGGCTGCAGATTTAACAAATCAATGTTTCAAGCTTTCATGTAACATCCTTTATGAATTCAAGACTTTAATTTTAAAATTTAGATTTAGAACATTGTTTCTCACATTTTAGCCCAGCAATCTTTAGCTTGTCCACACTTACGCACCCTCATGGTAGCCACAGCCTATTTCTCTTAATGCTCAATCTCTCATTTGGCTTTTCAGACACTTAAATCTGCCTCCTCCTGCTCCTCTCCCTGCTCTCCACTTTTCGCTGTTGAGAGGAGCGGCTGCCTGATAGTTTTACCATTGTTGTTCAACATGTCCAAGATACAGCGGTCTACCGTTACTGAGCAGGAGCCACAATTTCCTGGTGCTCCAAAACTTTGTTTTTGCTGTTATGGGGAATTTTGTTTAGGATGTTACCAGGACAACAATATTATTCAGTCTCAATTATCAAGTTTTCGTGATCAAATCCTAATTGAAATTGAAATCCAATTAATCGTCCATCCCTATGCAATAAATGATTTCGCATACATGTAACAACTCATTGAGGATGAATCCAAAACTACTCTTATGTATGTTTTATATTCTGTGTTAATTAAAAGTGATTGGTGTTAATTGTTAGACTATGTAACCATATTATTTGCATTACTAGACAATCATAGAGCATCTGTCAAAACCAGATTTCTTCCCACATGCATAAGCTGAGTGGAGGCTCTGAATTCATAAGCTAATTGCATGTGTGAGTATAATTTTTGCATCATACTTATTTTTCAAAGATTGGTGTAAATTATTCATTCAGGTAACATCTCACATTATGGCGCTGTCTGTTTTTTAAGTACAGAAATAAGCCGAGCAACTAGTGGTGGACTTTCTTATGCAATTAGCTTGCTTCTAGGCTGCATGCCAGAACATGCAATTAAACAACACCGTGGCATACACCCATACCCAGCACACTCACCTCTGTGTGACCTATATTTTCTCAGAAAAGAGAGAAGGACGTGGAGCTGCTTAAATGCTGGTCTAACCAGTAATTCCCAGGAAAGATCTCTTGGAGGGATGCCAAAGAAATACAGAATGGTATTACCTTGGCTTTGTTCAGATTAATATCACTGCCTGCTGAAGCTTTGCCATGCAGCAACTTGAGAGGGACCGAAACAAAGAGTGTCAAATCCACAGGAATGACGTAGGATCCAGTTCTGCTGAAACAGGACACTCAGGCAGCAACAAGCTCTCCATATATCTGGTTCTGAACAACAGAGAGCAGCGATCCAGTTGATTGAGGTCATTCTTTGGTGTCGTGAAATATTAGCAGGGGAAAGAAATTCATGTTTAGCGTTTTGTATGATGATCAACGAGGAGCTCTCACTAATCAGTACCTAAATCTTGTGTGTTTGATTCTCAGAGGTGCGAAGGATCGAGTGCCTGACACCATGGACATGGACACACAGCCGCAGGGACAGCAAGCAGCCGTGCCCGTCTTTCAACCCCAGGTAAAAACACACACTCACACATGAACACTGACCCAGCTGCTGGATCGGATTGTGAAGCAAAATGCCATAAGTGGGATATTTTTAAAAAAGTGTAAAGATCATCATTTACATCATTGATTTGCCTTTTTTTGGTTCTTTTGCTATTACCAGTGTGTTGATTTTATGCTTTGTGTTGTATTGAAACTTCTTATGATGCCATCTTTATCAGAAACACTCAAACAGAAACATCCAGGAATCCTTGACAAATAAAGGAAAATTAAAAGTGAATGAAATAAAATCAACAAAAGACAAGAAATAACTGAACATCAAACACTGGAGTGAGAAATACAGCTTGTTTTTATTTTAACCTTACATCTACATGTTATTTGACTGGCCAAAACTGTGTACTCTTAATCTATTTATACATTATTCAGCATGATTTCTGTATAAAACTGGAAACACCACTATAACAAGTGAAGTATTGTTGATAAAACTATGAGTGAATTGAAGATGGTACCAGGATAGAAGACGTGGCCGAGGATTTGCATTTCAGTTTGTCCTTTACTGCATGATTAGTGCAGCGATTTAGTTAAACGTTTTATGGATTTTGAAGTTACAAACAGTTTCCCTGAAGATCCATTTGTAAAGAGAAGCTTTTAAATAATTAATGACAATACATCACATTCATTTGTTCTTCCATTCGAAGCAATAGCCGCCCTCTTCCTTGGAATCTGAACTTGTAAATAATCCTGTATCACCTTGTTTTCCCGTGTCAGTCAAAATGTGCAAGTCTGAACCGCCTTCAGACCGGTGCAGCTTGTGTGTGAGATAGACAGCAGAGGATGAATGTTGAGTTGTTTCTATTGATCAGAGCTCTGGAGGCTGACAGAGCCTGGCCTCCCTGCATGCCTCTCTTGGTTCGATACACCTCAGGTTTGCTGCGCGCAGATCTGTGGTCACTGTTGGATTTGAATACCGCCCTCCAACATCAGGCCCATTGATTTCTTTCCAGAAGGATGTTTTTGCCTCCATAACTATTGAATAGACTTTAAACAAAGAGGATCATCCATATGCCCCAGAGTAAATTTGGATTCTTTTTTTATTGAAGGCATAACACTAAAAATAGGTCTGTTCTTTCAGTTGTTGTTTTCCTCGTGTATGCAAGGGCACTGCAGCATTCACATTGGAATTGCCAAGGGGGTTAATTTATCCTAAGATGTGTAATTGCAAAATTAAAGATAATTGGGTTGCCCACAGAAGAAAGTCAGATAAAAGCTCTAATGATTAATTTCACTTAGGCAACACCCCCCCACGCAAACACACACAGACACTAGATCTTCCACCCTTCTCCCAACAGTTGATTGTGTGTTATTGTTGAGGCTTAATGATTCCCTCCTCTGTTTTTCAGTCTATTTCCAGCAGTTTACATCAGTGTTAATTCCAGACCCACTCTCTCTTGCGTAGTCTATTGGTAGCACAGTGAACTTTCCATGTTGCGTCAGGTTTTCTCGATCTCACAGAGAATGTCTGAGCTGATTTCACATTTAGTGGGAGATGGAGAGAGTCAGTAAGAGTATGAAGATAGCTGTCTAACCAGCATCCAGATGGATGTCTTTCAACAAGTCCTGTATCTTTTTCGCACTTTCCCAAGGTTCAGTCTGCATGCCAGCTCAGGGAGGGAAAAAAAAAAGCGCCAGCCTTCTCCTGGAGAAATCTGAATTGTATATCTGATGAAGGATGTTCTGTATCGCTTGCAATATCATTTCTCTTGGTCCCCGAGGTATGATGCATATGCATTAGGTAAACGAGATGAGCTGCTAAGATGTGCATTTTTAATGGTGCATTTGCTCTTTGAGTGAGTGGGAGGGTTTGCGAGGAGGCCCCCTCAGATCAGATTTCGATAGTCGCTGCAAAGTTTGACAGACGCTGATCTGTCTGTAAGCGGCGCTGCGGCTGTGGAGCAGATTGAGAGGAGAGGAACGAGCAGCACCTTTGGGGTGAATCCTGCCGGTTTGACTGCCTGGCTGGCTCACTGGCTGACTGGCTGGGGATGAATATTGCATGGTACCCTGCTCAAGGGGGCAGGTGACTGGTGAGGGTGGAAGAGATAAGCCCCCCCTTGCCTGCCACTTCCCCTCTGTCTCTCCTCGTATCCCTCTCTATCTTCCTTTGAGACTACATCCACAGTAATCCCACTAACACTGGGCACATGTGGAAACAAATTGGTTTTGACACTTTGAGATTTTAGATACATGTAACCATGGAGATCCTTGTCCAAATAAAATATGAGACAATATCAAAACAAAGCAAACGACAAAATTCGTTTTCATCCGGTTTGAGTCAGCAAGCCATCAGAAGTTCATCATAGGGATAGCAGGAGGGAGGCGAGAGTACAGATGTCTGCCTGGGTCTGTTTAAGATTCTGGGACTGCTCAACTGGAAATAATTTGTTTTTTAATTTGAACTTTTTTTTTTGCAATTCTGCTTCTCAATAAGCTCAAAAAGTTTTCGTACAAATGAGAGATCTGGTATTCCTGAGGTTACTTTGGAGTGCTGCAAAGAGCTTCATTTTCATTTGAAGATAATCAGTGATTCATTATAAAACAATGAATTACACTGAAGAGCATTAGTGATTCACAAAATTAAATTTCCTTTTTTTCCGGTGTAACTGCTAACTGGTGTTAACTCTCAACTGTTGAAATGATTCGGGCTTAAGTTTTATGCTTATTTATCGTTGTAAACAGTTGTGGAAAGCCAGTCTGAATGTTGAATGATAGATCAAAACAAGCAAATCAGTTTGTAATTAAAACACTGCAACGAAACAGCGAAAAACGTGAAAAACAGAGTAGAAACAGAGCACAGAAAAGTATCCTTGATTAGAGAAAATGTGCTCTTTTTCTTGTTTTGTGAGGTACCAGTTTTCCATGCTTGGTGTGTTTGCTCAGAGAAATTAGCCAGTACTTACATGGCACCAGTACTTTATAAGTGTAACAAAAGTGCCAGTACTCATTTTAGTCACTTGTTAGCGTGTGTGTTGTGCAGCAGTATAACCTTCAAAAATTCTATTTGTAATCAAAGCCGCTACAAAATACAGCTTATTTTCACAGTTTACAGCTTATTTTCACACCATACATTTATGGGGAAACTATTTTAGTTTGTTAGGTAAATAAGAAGCTCTGCATACTGTGCTACTGTCAGTAAGGCTAACTACAAACTAGGGGTGTCCAGATACAACTTTGTTACCTCTGATACAATACAGATATTGTAGCCTTCAACACTGGTCGATACCGATATTGATCTGATATTAGCACCGACTTCTGCATGACAAGTTTTGCACTCAGCTGCAGTGTCTTTTTCGGACTTAACTGAAAAAATACTGCTACAGGGCCGACATCAGTCCTACTCCTCAGGAACTTTGTTAGTACGTCAGTACACACTGTTGTTGTGATCACATGGGCTCTACATGCTGGATCTAGGTGCTGCTAGACAGAGGTGCCGGAGTGGAGTCTGGATCAGAGTGCTGATATCAGAGATTTTAGATGCAGGCCGATATAATCCGATATGTGAATTTTAGCTGATATCGAATCGATATCCGATAATAATATTGTATCGGGATAGCCCTACTACAAACAGTAGCTTTTTCTTTCAGTAGGTCACTCTTTGGTGAAAACAGACAAGGCAGCCTAATGTAATGGCATGAAATTTAAAGTGGTGGTACCATTTACTGAAATGTGCAAGCTCACTCAAAGCATTGTATTTGTGTTTTTACAGTTTATCAGTCACTGAAGTTCAGACACAGGCTTTTCCTGTCATCTTTGGCAGTAGTCATGTGCCAAATGGGTTCTTTGCTAGAGGAAATCCAGACCCCACTGCGTGTTGGTCAGTGTGATATGAAGTCTAGTTCACCTGACAGAAAACTCAGCCAATGACCACGCAGGTGTGGTTGAGTCGGTTTTATCAAGATTGAGATATGGGGATTCAATGATGTGTTTATGGCCCAGAGACTGGGAGAATAACTGTGAACCACACCACTGTGGTTGTGTCGCCTCATTATAGAGGAGTGGTATTTTTTCCCATTCGCACCAAAACAGATCACCAGAGTGTTTCTGCTTCCTCCTCCAGAGGCTGCTGTAAAATCACGATGCTCTGCTTACTTTAGTACGTAACTTGGACATTGTTCCAAAAAACAGAGATGTTTTTCTGTTTCTTTTTTGTGGCTGGTTCAGGGTGGACATGTCCTGAGTTTCTTTCCTTCTCTCTGTTTCTGTTTCTCTCTCTGTCTCTGTTTCTGCATCCCTTCCTCTTTCTCTCCACGGGAGACGGCACCTCTGTGCCGCCGCTGGCCTTTCTGTGGCAGCCGCTGGCACTGCTGGGCTGTCACATCACACCTTCTCCCCTCTGTTGCTTGTCTCCCCCCCTCTGTCCCTCTCACTCTCTCTCCCTCTCCCTGTCTTCCACATTCCCTCCTCAGCTCTCCATGTGTCTTGTCAGTTGTGTTTGGCAACGGTGTCATTATTGGGCAGCCCGTATCACACTTCCTCCTCCGACGAGCTGTCTGTCTGCCCTCCCTCTGTCTCTCGCTCTCCATCTTTTCTCTCTTTCAATCCCCCTGCCAGTGACTTGCCCGTGGCGCTTGTATGTCACCTTTATACCCAAGATGCGCTGTCCCTCACAGATGTTTCCCACAATGCCTTGCATGGCTGCCACTTAATCCACATCCCCTGCAGCTTGTCCCCATCACCAACCAGAGGGATGAGAGTGAAAAGAGAAAGCACACCACATGATACCGCAGAGAAACGTACGTCAAAGTGAAGGAAATTCACTTTTAATGTCTACGAGCCAAACACTTACTCTCACCCTTTACACAGAGTACAACCCTGGATTAATTCCTAAATTATTTCCCTTTTTTTTTCTTTCTGATGAATGGACACATATACAAACTTCTTTTATACCTCGCCTACTCCTCATATAACTAGACCTCTTATTTTGAAAATAAAGCTCGGGTAACCCTTAATCTATAAAACACGTGTTTTAATCCTTACAAACATTACTCTCCCTAACCTTTCCTCCCAGTGTTGTCCAGACGCTGACCCCTGCGTCACTCAGGGTCATTACTTTGTGACTTCTCCTCTGAGTGTCTGTGTGCGTGTGTGTGTTGTGCGTCAGCTGGGAGCCCCTGATTGTGTGACACCCGTGTGCGGCAGATGAGACGGCCTGTCAGTCAGCCTTGGCCTGGCTGCCCTTTGAAGGCCAGGCCAGGGGGCGAAGAGGTGCCGCAAATGGCCTGTGAAGTTTACATACACTGCCCACTGCTAAACAGATTAGCTCTAATGAAGTGTCTAATGCCGGGGCCGCCGGCTGACATAATCCTGCCTGGCAGCCCGGCCCCTTGGCTGCCAAAAAAGCCGCCCTCCCTCCAGCCCTCTATTCCGCCCTCGCATGGCCTCTGCTGCCACCCAGGGCGACTCCACATGGGGAGGTGCCCACTGTTAATCATGCCGGACAGTGTGCGATCTGACATGCAAATGTAGGTCATTGCATATGTAAATGTGTGATTACGGGGCTGGCATGCCAGGACACATTAGCAAGACTGTGCTCTCAGCAGGCGGTTGTCACAGCGCTTTAGAGGCTCATGCTAACATTTGTCAAGCTACCACGCAGCGAATGAAAGCAATGCCCTCTTGTCCTCCCTCTCTCTCTCTTCCTCTCTTTTCATCCGTCTATTTTTCATTCTCTCTCTCTCTCTGTCTAACTGTCCATCTTTCATCTGTGCACAAATGCTTCTGTCACCATTCATGACAATTCATTGCACAATCTGGCCACACTTTCAATGTCAGACACCTTGTAGCTCTTTGTGATTCCGGTTTGCATTTAATCTTAAAAGTTATTATTGAAACATAGACAGAGGTAAGAGTTAACAAAAAAAGAAGTTGAGCAGCTTCTTTAAACCTGCTGTAATGTTGAGCAATGGGCTGAAGAGTGGTGTTTTCTGCTCTGTGTCACAGTGACTTTTCAACAGCGCGGGATAATGATGGTGTCATGCTGAAAAATACACACACACCTCCACGGTGTTAAGTGTTAATTGGACAGGGCATCTAAATGGTTCTCGCCTGTTTTCTAACTTTCAACTTTCAAAACAATAAAACGCCGCCACCTACCCACCCAGCCCTACCCATATCGATCAGCTGTGCTTTCCTTCCCTGAACTGTGTTTGTGTTTGTCTTTTGGTTATCAGCTTAGTTCAGATCAGTGATTTTATTTACCTGACTTGGAAACTCGACGTGCAAACAATGAGAACATAATAAAATACTCTGAGACTGTATTAACAGAACACAACATTGTGAGAAAGCACAGCGTGTGGGACAACTCTGTCCAATCTTTCCATTTAAATTGGTGGTTTTCAGGGCATCTTTGATGGAAGTATCGTTTAAGCCTGCATATCTTCATAATAATGTCACACAGATACAGACAGCTCCCATACAGTTTCTGTGTTCAACTGAAAAGCTGCATTAAAGTGACTTCAGACAGACGCTAATCTAATTTAAATCAACGAGGTCGTGGTGACAGCATGATGTGACTCAGGTCGCGAGACTGAAATCGCACATCCTGCAACGTGACTATAATGCATGTGCACACGTTCAAACCACATATAATTTAGTCCTGGTAATTACAACTGAGTGAGTGACTATGGCAACCCAGCTTATTGACAGCACAGAGAACTTAGTATGTGCATGTTTATTGTTTGCATTGAATGAGATATAAAGTTTGAATTTATAGTTCGCCTCCAGTGCTCATACAGTAAGTGTGTTTAGTAGGGGGGGGGTCACTAGTGGCCCCACGATACGATATTATCACGATACATGGGTCACAATACGATACTATTGTGATTTTTAACATTTCACAATACAGTGAGTATTGCGATGCAGTATATTGCGATTCATACAATCTTTTCAACTGTTTAGCTAATTTAGCATGTAGCATTATAGTTTATGTTTGTCTTATTTACACCGTATTTTATTTTCATGCATCACATCTTGCAAACCTAACATATATTTGTTGTACTAACTTTCTCCTGCTCTACGGTGTCACTTCTGCCAACCTCACTGGACAAAAAGTTGATTTTATTTTTCCATTATTATAGATTTGACTTCACATTAGCAATTAATTTGAAAATCCATACTTGCTAAGTGAGACAATACGTGTCACCAGACAAAATATCGCGATCCTATGCTGTATCATTTTTTTCTCCCACTCCTAGTATTTAGCCAACAGAAAATGAGTTAATTATGTTTTGATCTGAATTTTTTTTAAGACCAAAACTGTAAGGTGAAGATGGAGACAGAATTGCTTTGAACATGTTGCATGTTTAAGTGCTCAGGAGATAAACTTTTGACCTTCTTCCCCTATTAGTCTTCCCTCTCTCTGTCCTAAGTCGCTTGCCCCAGAGCTGCTCCCAGCGCCACATTGGCAGAAGCGCTGGTGACATGTGGCATTCTGATATCTGTCACCTTCTGTTTGCTCCCTCCGTCGCCTGGTACAAGTTTACCAAAAGGCTCGAAAGGTCAAGCAGCCTGCTCCGTGCTTCTTTTCACACTCTCCATCTGAGGGGGTCGTTTTAGTTTATTTTTGACTTTTTTTTTTTTTAATTGTGGAAGGTGAGTGTCCTAGCCTGCGCAGGCAGTCATGTGGCGATAAAATGCGGGAGTGCTACTGTCTGTGGCTTGGTGCCAGACTTTCATTTATAGCATTTGGCAGACAGAGGGAAGAAGAGCGTTTACAATTCTGGTGAACTCAAAAACAAGTCAGCTGGAGTGATACAAACACTGTCATTTTTTTACAAGGATATTTTGTTTGTAATGTTTTTGTAACTCTCTTACTGGAGGTCAGAACTCTGTTTTACAACCTGCGATGTAGGTATCATAAGGTTTATTGGACCACGTTTAATTGATTACCCAAGAGCATTGAAATATATGTATATATACTTTAACTCGGTTGGATCAGAAGTTGGATCATGGCGCCAGCAGGGCAGCCGCTCACAAAAACACCCGCCAGGCTGTTTATGATGCTGTCCTGCTGCATATAAAATGTAAATCAGGTAACATGTTGACTTTCCATTTGCAAGTTCACACTTTGGGATTATTGTGAAAAACATCAGCAGTCCTGAACGTGTCGGTGCTTTTTGGGTATTAAAAGACAGTCCTCTGTGTATTGGTTTTAGTGAAGTGATGAGGTGCTGCACTTAAGCTTGAGCACATTCCTCAAGACCTCTCACAGCATGACACATCAGCCTATTGCCAGTCAAATCATCAGCAGCCTCAAGCTTCCTCTCAGCAAAACAAACTACTGAAGCGGTGTCCTCACCACAGTTTCGCCCACATCCTTCAGCCCCTATCCTTTCCCCTGCCAGTCAGGTGGAGGTAGCCACACCTGATGTTAGTGATATGTATTTGGTTTCTACTACATGTTTCCTAATCTTGAGTAAAAATGTAAACTGTTTTTTTTCCTTCCAGAAACCATTGCAGCCAGACATGGGCCACAACTCGCTTGCAAACTTCCAGATTGAGAAGAAGATTGGACGTGGACAGTTCAGTGAGGTGTACCGGGCGAGGTACCTCTTAGACAACACGTCAGTGGCTCTGAAGAAAGTCCAGGTAAGAAAGCAAGATCAACAAATAAAATTCCATTCCAAGACAAGAAACGTGTTTGTAAAAACTTTTCAGACTCCTATTGATTTTCCACCATTAAAGGCCTTATTTATCATTATTTACTGCTCTGATTGATAAGACTGATTCTCTATTACTCCCATATTTTAGTCATAGCACTTGCATTATGTATGAATTTGGCGTGGTTAAGCACAGTGTGCATGCGCCGATTTATCTGCCTTCACAGAATGACTCAGCTTTTACAGAGAATGTGCACATATAAAGAAACACGCACTTCCAGTGAAAACAGTATTCGCTGACATTGCGTACACATGTACACAGGAGGAAATGGTCTCAAGGTGAGCATGTATACACATAGAAACACTTTTCGCACACACACAGACATAAACCTTAAACAAGGACATGTGTGTCTTACTCAGATGTGAAACACCTGTAGTCACTCCAACGCCACCCCTCCAGATAACAGCAACCATGTTTTCTGTTTAGTATTTTTTTCCTGTTTTGAGCTGTTTCTCAATCTTCCCATTTCTTGAATTTGTCATAACACCCTCTCTCTCTCTCCCCTCTCCCCTCTTTCTCTCTCTCTCTCTCCTTTTGATCTCTTGATAGATATTCGACTTGATGGATGCCAAAGCTCGGCAAGATTGCATCAAAGAGATAGATCTCCTTAAGGTAAAGAACCAGAGAGGGAGAGACGGCGTCATGTGCTGCGTTCTTTTCTCTTAAGGTGCCTCAGCTGAGACCTTCCACCACAGGAAAACAATTGATCTGCACCAGACGGCTTTGGATTTGTGTGTTGGTGTATGGGCACATGCACGCCTGTGCATGCCTCTTTGCATGGATATGAATGTGCAGGGGGTTGTTTGAGTGTTTTGTGCGCACAAGAGAGAATATGAATGAGTTTGTGTGTGTGGCTGCACAGTAGATGTGTATTATGGACTCCTTCTATTCCTGGGCTTGTGTGTGTGTGTGTGTATTTGTGAGTGTGCAGGGTACACCAGTGTTACATCCCCCCAGGCTCACATTGACTCTCTTTTTTGAATGCCAAAGCTATTGTTTTTATCTTTTTTGTAATGTTTAGAGCCGGTCTTCAGTGCATCAGCATGGAAATTTAGCTGTCTCCCACATGCGTCTCTTGATGTTTTACCTCCCCTCTTTCCTCATTTTTACCTTTTTTTTTCTAGTGGTGTGGTTTCTTTTCTCAAAATAGCTAAACATGTGTCAGCTGGGTTTCTTTTAAATACTAATGAACAGTCTAATGGCGGCTCCAATCTTTGCCCCTGCAATGCCTCACATGTGTGTCAAAATTGTGTATGATTGTGGTTTGTGCAATCATGCAGTCCTAGTCCTGTCTCTCTACATGGATGAGGCCTGCCTGCAGTTTTGTGCACATACCGTATGAACGCTCACATGTACACATAAAGAAAAGAAAACAAACCCAATTAGTTTGTTCAAGTGGAGCTCTTCGGGCTCTGCTGGCCAATCAAAAATAACGATACTCAGATGCAGACGAGACCCAGTAGACAGCTGTAATTTGAGCAGCAGATTGCTGACATAACGGCACAATACAGTGATATTTGCCTTGATCTGTATCTTTGACCTCCTTAAAGGGGTCAGGCCTGGGTTAAATGTCACACTTCTTCACGGTGTACTTGACAATACTTCCTCTTTTGAATTTCATCTTTTCTGTTTGGATTGTCCTCTGCCACATTTCTACCCTCCTCTTTCTTTCTTTTTCTTCTTCCCCTCTCTTTTTATCTGTACCTTATGCACCCAGATGTCATGTTTCTTTCCACTTACTCTTTCCAGTCTTCCCCCTCAAAGCTTTTTGTTCACTTCCTTTCATCCTGTAAACTGATTGCAAGTGAACATGGAAGTTATGCCGGGCCCTGCGCTGCCCAGCCAGCCTGATAATAACGGGCTGAGTGTGAGAGAGAGACAGCCCCTCTGCCTTATCCCCCACTAGACAGGCCAACAGGAGGCACAGCCAAATCAGAATAATGAGAGGCACACTGGCATGGACCGACTGGAATGACACACATACTGGCGCATGATCACACACTCACTCACTCACGCACACACACACATACACTTACTCAGTCATGGCCTTTCAACAGTCTGCCTATTTGTTTGTTTGTCTGTACGTGTTTGTGTCTGCTCATTCATCTGTATTTTCCTGTTCTGGCATGATGATTTCAACTTGAGAAATCTTCCTCCTCTCTTTCTCTCTCTCCTTCTCTCTTTCTCCGCCTCTTTGTCTAAATGTTGGTTTCAGGAAATAGCCAGCTCCCTGACAGTTTGCTGCTTTCACCGCTGTTGAAACCCCACAGCTGTGTGTGTCTCTCTTGCTTGTGGTTACTATCAAAGCTAGGCTGTCACCTGAAGACTTATGATCTGCCTTATAGGGGCAAAGTGTTTACATTTTTGTGTTTTGTTGGGTTTGTTTGTCTATAGGAGTGCATTTTTGCGTCTGTGTGTATCACAGTGTGTGTATCTGGGCTCTGTATCTGATCAGATTCTGACTGCAGTGAAGTGTTAGACACATGATATTGGGCATTTTCTTATCCTGGTAGATAGAGATCATCAGTTACGTAGTTGCAAGATTAGTATGTATATAATACCGCTCCAGAGGGACAAACAAAGAACTTCATAACTACTTATTTTATTATCAAGTCAACTAAAAACCATAGACATATCATGCAACACAAGGCTTAATATCAACTGGACGGGTTTTCAAAGCTGTTTTTAGCTCCTTCTCTTTATAACTTTAGTTCTCAGTCCTACCAGTTGCTTCCCAATGAGCCTGTACTTCTATTTATAAATACACTGTAACCCAATTTATTATCATGCTTAATTTAATACCATCAGATAGCATCCGTCAGTATCTTGTTCTCTTTTGAAACAGATCATCAGCTAACTAAATATATCACATTGGTTCTTGCATGATTAAGTAATTACACAGGCTGGTGTGTAATTACATAATCACGCAAGCCTCTATGTGATATTTCCCAATGAATGATTGTTGTTTTGCAGTTAGGCTCCCATCCATCATTTATATAAACATCTGCATGTGAGCATATCTCTTTATTTCTCTGTATCCTCCGCCTGAGGTTCAATTTGTGCAGGGTGGGGGGGTGTGGGGGTATGTAGGGGGGGCTTGTCATCACTCTCTGGCTGTGCAACAGTGTGGAGCCGAGCAGATCTGCCACTCCGAGCCAAAAATACATCTGGCGAGAGGGGACAAGAGAGGGAGAGGGAAAGATGGAGACGTGAGGAAGGGAAAGGGAGAACGAGGGAGGATGAGGGGAGATTGTGGAAGGATGGAGAGATGGAGTGGAGAGTGTAGTGTTGCGTAGTGTACTGTACTGCGCTCTCCTTTCCCCCTCTTCTCGGCATCATCCAGAGCATGAACATTTCTTTAATCACAGCAGAGAAAGCAGAGCGAAGCTGAGTGGAGGACGCGTGTCACACTGCTCCGTCTGCTCGCATCACCCCCTCCCTTCGACATTGCCACACCACACAGCTTTATGACTCCAGCTCCTCGTACCATTTTTCCTGTTACCCCCCCTTTCTCCAACTCACCTTAGCGGTCCCTTTTTTTTCCTTCCTCACCTTTGTTCTCCTCCCCTTCCTTTCACCCTTGTCTCCATCATTCCTTTTGCTTGTCTGTGTCACTGTGTCATTTGTTTCTTTCCCTTCATTGCGCCTCCCTCCCTCCCTCCCTTCCTCCCTCCTCCCTCTCCCCATCTTGCTCTGGATGGATAGAGACTTTTTGTTTACTACGGGGAATGCTGTTCCTGCCTTATTGACCAACCAACAGGAAGAAATCTCAGCCAGAGATGAGCCTGGGATGCTTGTTTTTCTGACTGCCAGCCATGTCAGCCTGTCAGGCGTGTTTTTGTGTGAGTGTGCGAGCTTGTGTGTGTTTGTGTCACACATGGGTTGTTGTCATCACAGACAGAGGGGTTGTTGTGACATATCACCCAGCTTTGTCACACTGGAGGACAAAACCATCTCATTAGGTCCACACTTACCAAATGTGGATTCAGATATTTTTTTTAATTGGTGGTGAAAGTATAGGGGATTGCACGACTAATGACATGAATTTCTGCTATTATCAGCCAAAAAGGTTGTATATATTAATTATTTTTTTTAACAAGTTTCTTTCTTTGTGGAGCTTCTGTAAGGAATTAGGCAGTGTGACCATGGAGGGTCTCAATGTGACAAGTGCCACCAGCATGTCCTCTGTTTGCTTCTCTCTCTGTGACATGTCTGTTTTTTTTCCCTCCCACAGCAATTGAACCACCCCAACGTGATAAAATACCACGCATCTTTTATCGAGGACAATGAGCTAAACATAGTCCTGGAGCTGGCAGATGCGGGGGACCTCTCACGTATGATCAAGGTAAGGAGCTCTCCACAACAGCAGACACTGTCAGCCGGTGGTGTTGTCCAAGCTGCTGAATGTGCACTTTATTTGTTTATATGGTCAAGAAGTTTTCTGAAAACATGTCAACCAAAACAGCCTTTAAAGGACGGACTAGAAAACAGAAAAATACAGAGTCTCCAGCCTCTTCACACGCTTTAACTCCTGACCTTTCTACGTCAATTCAAGATATTCAGGTCCTGAAGATCTTGGGGATCTTTCTGGTCACATATGCACCACATGAGAGATTTTCTCTATCACTACAATCTCACAACTTGAAATAGTTTACTTAAGTGCAGGAGAGAGACTAGGCTACCCATGAGTAGGAGTTTAACAGTGTACAAAAATGAAGTTTGGTTGCTGTTCTCCGTTTTGGAGTCATTTTTATTTTCTTTGAGTAGGAATTTGAAGAACTTTGACACATAGTTGAAAGTGCAGCACCTACACTTCAGTTTATTTCTGAATGAAACCAATTTAAAAATCATTTGGCCTGCAAAAATAAATAACTAAATTAATAACAGGGTCTGAAATTAACACCCACTAGAGTTTCAGAGGGCAATTCATCATATAATGGGCAAGTATTATTTCCAAAGTAGTAATGTTATTAAAATGAACGATGATAAATTTTTGTTACATATGGCTGCAGCTTCTCTCTTTTCAGTTCCTCTGCTGTCTGCATGCCAGGGCTTCACAGGGACAGGCTGACATACAAACATAAGAGCTCACAGAAACACTGAATGGCACTGTCTACTGCACTGCACATTAGCTTCTCTGCTGGAACAGGGTTTTTGGGATAACACCTGTATAGCATGGTGACTAACTAAGGGCACATTTTAGCTTTAATATCCATGTCCAGACAAGATATGTAGTTTTCCCCAAGAAATGATGAGTGTACTCACTGTATCAGGCACAGACCTACAATCACAGGTAACCACTGTTTGTGTTCACAGCACAAAACTCATCACAGATCTAAAAGCCCTCCAACAACTCAGTTTGTTTTCAGGTGATTTGTGCTAAAAGTTCATGTACTGAAAGTGACCTACTGTACATGACTGGCTAAGTAGCTGTGTGTGATGTGTTCCCATTTTCTGTTCTTTGTGGGGACCTTGGATTTGAATTACCTCTAGTTCTTAGCCGAGCTGTTTGGGTCTGCACCAAAATCAAAGTGTGTTTTGAGAGAGTTCAGTATAAATACATGAACCTTTGCACTCCTGTCTGTTAGAGTGAAGGAGTCATCTTCTGTAAAGTTTCTGTGTTTGTGTCACTTCAGTATTTAAAAGGATGTTTCTGCAAGACAAACACAGCTGTCCAGTCCAGAGAAACTCTGCAGAATATAAAAGACCTGCTCAGCCTCTGGCTGTGAATTATCCTGACTTTTACCTGCTGTAGTCACACATCTGCTCACCCCAGCTTCTTGTGGGTATTTTATTTGGAGAATGGAAAGAAAGAAAATCATCATTTTTTGTGGGGTGAATTTTTGGAACAGGAAAAAAAGCACGAAAAAAAGTTGACATTTGTTTAGCCTACTTAGACAATGTCTGGGAATTTTCAGGAGTGTAGCGCATGTGTAAAAGGGGCTTTATCAGATACTCTTGATACAGTATCAGTATAAGTTAGTTCAAAACCATACCTCACACTTGTTACCACAGGAATGCTATCATGGAGCAGCAAAGTGCTGACGTCGTCTCTTATAACTGAAGGAATGGTGGGCAGGAGGTCTGTGGTTTGTGGCTGTGACTACCTGGACACTGAGTCAGTCTGAATCACCCATCCCTCACTGAAACCAAAAACCCACCAATATAAGTCCTCCTGCAAACTTCCTTTAATCCCAATGGTCTGTGTTGACATGCCTGGACTGTGAAAAGGGAAGTTGTAAAAAATGAAGCAATGATTAATGGTCATAAAGCTGCAGCATGTGTTGCATGCAGGGGGTATGTGAAGCAGACACTGAGCACAATTTTTCTGGCTTTTCTCTTGTCGTCTGGATATCAAAAACTTGAGGTGAGCTATTTCAACAGACACTGTTATCTTTTGGTTAATTTAATGAAGGATTTTGGTAATCATGGGGTTCATTTAGACTTATTCTCTTTCTGCAGTGCTAGTTTGGCCTCAGTAGTAGTACAATCACTCCTAAAGAAAGTCTTCCCAGCTTTAACATCTCAACTAGATCTCCCTCAGAGAGGAGCTGTAAGATTTCTGCAGCTCTTCCTCGAAAAAAAATCAACACAGAGGCAAAAGAAAGCAAATGTATTTTTGAATGAAGTACTTAATGCATGGCTGCGCAAGCTCAGGGATGTGTAAAGTTGACCATGTCTTAAACCTAGATCAACTGTGTGTTTTTGTGGGTGGATGTTGTTGAGATTAGAGCAGAAGAAAGAACAGGATTGTTCAAAAGTGAGAGCGAGTACATCCCAGACTCGCCCTGTTATCCAGCTTTGAGTCAGACCGAACCAGCAGTTATTATAAAAACCTGCCAGTATATCAAATTAGTGGTGTGTATGTAAAAAGCCCGGTCCTCTCCCATGCATAAATGATGCTGCAGCGTTGTATCGGCACAGCTCGACAAGCTGTTTGCAGTCATACTCAGCAGCTCCACATCTGCACAGTTCAACACAGCAAATTAGGAGAGGCGAGGATTAGTGGTACAAGAGAGTGAACATGGCAGGCTCAGCACACACACGTACACTGGTGTGATGTATACCCACACATACACATGCACACACAGACTCTGGATTTTTACATAGGGTTTAACCATGTAAGCCGTCACACACAAACACACACACAGACACACAAATGTTGAAGGATGCACTTTACAAAAACGCATCCTGGCAGCCTAAAGAGGTAAAATAACAAACCACAGAGCGTCACTGCTATCTTTGCTAAGCTGCAGAGGACGCTGGGGGCATTCAGACTGTGTCGTCTCCCTATGGCTACTGACAACATCCAGTCTTACACCCGAGTCCACGCCCCTCCTCTGCATCATTTGTCTCTTGCACGGTTTTAAATGAATTGTTTTTCAAATGTAACGGTAGCAGTCCAGAGGTGCGTGCCATGGATTAGCACTCCCCCTTTCCTCCTCCTCCTCAGGCCGTAATGTGAAGTAAACACATTCGTACAGTGTGCCATATGTAAAACAGAAACCCCCCGATGCATGAATTTAACATTTTTTATTCTTTTTGATTTCTCGTCCTCCACGCCGCTCTTTTCCTTTCTCTCTCCCTCTCCCTCATTCTCCTTTACTCTCTCTCTCTCTCTCTCTCTCTCTGACCATCTCAGAATTCAAATGAAATCAAATGGTCCTTGATTTGCATGCACTTACAGAATATTGCATGTGCGGTGTTTGCTGTAAAAGGCATGGAGGAGAGGGTGGTGGTGGTGTTGGTGGGCGTCTATGTGCTCCCCCATTGACATCAAACGGTCCTCTGATATGGAAATGGGAGGGCACGGGAAGAATGGCTTCTCAATAAGGCTTTGTTTGGATGTAGGCCAAGGTCTACCCCTCCCTCTCTCAATCTATTCCTCTTTTTTGTCTCTCATACCTTCCATCATTTAACACATCTCTCACCTTTCTTTCTCTTTACTTCCCTCCAATATTTGCAGTCTCCTCATCCAACCCGCTTTCCTTGTATTCGCTCTTTTTCTGACTCTCGAGGCTGTGGACCAGGAACTTTTACAGTCCTGTCATTTATCCTGCTTGACTCCTGACCTGACACAACAGGTTACTCTTTTTTTTTACATTGCAAAAAATACACCACCTTCATAGTTGTGCGATAAACAGGGTAGCCCCTTTAAGAGAGGAAACCTAAAAGAGAGAGGACAGAAAAGTAGATTTCCAACGAACACACTCACACGCTCAGACCGATAGTGTTACCCTTTTTTTCAGAGTCTTTAATGGCCTGATTTAAAGACTTTATTTTACTTTAGTGTTGATATTAAAGCTGTGAGATTGTCATGTATCATAGTAGTTAAATATTAATATTCATTACAACAGACAGCACCACTAATCTGTAAACTGAGTGTACCTCTTATGACTGAGGCCAGATGTGACTCAGTGATTCAGGGCTAGAGGGATGAAAGATGGGAGGCAAGGTGAACAAAGTTACACTGAAGTAGGACAGGTCAGATTGTATTCTATTTGAATGTGACAATTTAATTTTAAAAGACACCCTGTGTGTTTGTTTAATTTTTATCACCATTTAGAATAGTTTTCTTTAAAAAAATCAAGTTTCTGTCTTTAAAAAGTCTTTCTTGAAAATTGTCTTAAAATCAGGGTCGTTCTGTGTTAAGACCAGTGTTGTCATCAGCAGCTCAGACTAGCTGTTCAAACAGATTGTAAGCTGATACATAAATATGAATGTACAGATGGTACACAAGTGTAATACATACAGTGCAAACATGTGCGTGTGCATTGTTTGTTTAGGCTGACATCCTGAAATACCCTTTAGATTACCGTCAAACATCGTGATTACAGATTTGTTGTTCCCTTTCTGTTCTGCTGCTCGTTACACAACTTGGCCCTTTTAAGACTGGACTGTAATGCTCTGCTGTTGTGCATCCTCATGTAACACTCTGTAAAATCAAATGCTGGGATATTGTAAGGTTTAATAGGAGGTACAAAGGGGCAGTGATGGTGCTGCTGTAGAATCTCAATGTCTCCTCGCTACAAATGTAATTTGTACTTCTTATGTTAAAGTTTAGATTCATCAGGGTACCTGCAGAATCTTGCTGATTACCAGTCTTAGTCTGTCTTTCAATCTCACACACTGCTATTTTAAAAGGAGTTTCAGATCGTCTTAGTTTTAGTTGAGCTGGATCAAAAGGCTTTTCTGCCCAGTTTAGGGCTCTGTCATCAGTGTGACTCTTCTGGTTTTGGACCACCTTTGTTATGACCTATAATAACTTATTCAGTACTACTCAGTGGATAAACAAACAAAAAACAACTGGAAGGCCTGCGCTACTGAAAGCTGTATCGAAGAAAAGAGGTGCGTGCCAGATGGGAGAGTTTTGGAAGGTACCACAGATTTCTTCTCTCTGTTCCTGAGAATGCATGTGCTTTCCATTGTAGGCCATTGAGAAAATGAGACGGAGTTTGGTTAGGAAGGGGACAGACTGAAAGCAGAAGGGTCTGGCTTGCATTAACAGTGGAGTCAGGGGCTGGAGACTCAGTCTGGAGATGGATGCCATATAAACAGACAGACAAACATTTTGCTACCATCTTAGAAAATGTGTTTTGTGCCAAACAAGACCGTTTCCATTTACTGTGAGACATTTTATTTGTTACTTCATTCGGACATTTTAAATTGTTTTGATTTTCTGTGTGTGTTTGTGTGTTTGTCTGTTGGTGCTTGTGTGGACGTTTGTGTTTTCTTCACAGCACTTTAAGAAGCAGAGGAGGCTTATCCCAGAGAGAACAGTGTGGAAGTACTTTGTCCAGCTCTGCAGTGCGCTTGAACACATGCACTCTCGAAGAGTCATGCACAGAGGTAATATTGCTGAATGTACTCACGCACTGACACCTTGACATAAACAAACAACTTCAGTTATATCCTGCTTATGTCTGCAGTCAAATTAAAAAAAGACCCACTGAGTCCCTTTAATGTGAGTATGTCGGTGATTTATAATATGATTGGCAAAATTTGGCAATGCTGCGTTTATTCAACAGTGGAAACTCATGTTTAACTACTTTTGTTGGTATGTAAATCACTCACTAGTCCACATGAAAACAGTAAAATATCATAAATTCTGTAATGTAGGTGCCAGTTTGTTTTGATGCAAAATTTACACTGTGTTATGGCAAGAAGATTTCTATTGCGTTCAGCAATGTGCAGTTTCCATGCGGATGTGTAGCTCTTTTAATTACCATGTGTGTTTACCATCCTGCAACTGACCTGTAGAATATTCAAGTTTAACCTGTATGAGGGGTGATGGTTGTGGGTAATGGACAGACTCACTGCCTGCGATCAACTTTCCTCCCTCACCCCCACTCTTTGCTGATCATGTGGAGTCTTATCATTGAAACCAGTAGTCCACAAGGTTTATGTACCTAATGGTATCACTCCATTTTAATGTAATGTGGAGGAAAAGCAGCCAGACTGTCCTGCCTTGCTATATAACCAGCATACTTTGTACGACAAAGTGGCCACTTGCTTTTATGAGTGCCATCTTCAGGCTAAAATACTATAACACAATGAATAGTATCACCAGGTAGACCAATTTTCTCAAGACTGATACTTTCCCAGCTTGCTATTTTTGTTTTGTCTATTTTATCAATGTGTAAATATTGGCTTGAAGAGATTTTCAACTACATGATAACATGTCAAATAACTTAAAATGGACTTTGTTTTATATTTTAAGCTTTTTTTACTGTGTCAAAAAGGTCCACAGATTTGAGACCAGGGAGGTGTCCTTGATATGTTGTGACACACTCTCCTAACCCTAACAGCTAAAGAAATTATGGATGGAGCTGTTTGCTGCTGTAATTTATGAGTCTCATACGAGTTTCGTTTCTGTAGTGGAAAGCAGACTGGAACAAAAAGACTGGCTGGAAGAGGAGAATATACTCTTTACATATCTTCTCCGAGCATGTAACACACAACACTGCTCCTATCACCTCTCAAGCGGGGGAAAAAAAAAGACAAAAACAGAACGAGAAGTCGGTAAATTTTCTTCAATGTGAACAACCGTGTTGCATTTGACAGAAAGCTTAAGTGTGGGTGTTAAAGAACATACAGACCAGAGAACACAGTGTTTATGGGCACATATGCTTTGAGTATGGCCGAGTCAAATCAAGACCTGGATTCATGTGTAAAGGCTCTTATACTAATACACACACACACACACACACACGCACATGCACGGCTACAGGTGGTGTACTTCCGTTGGCTGACTCTGATTATGGCAGAAGGACACTAATGAACCCTGAGCTCTGGGCTTTAATGACCACTTAACAGAGACCGCCTATTTAAAAGCTGCTCACAATTATATCGGAGCAGTATATTTCAAAGGCTGACGCGGGTCATATTAACATTACTTTAGAAAAAGCAACAGAACCAGTTTGCTAACACCCACGTTCTCTAAAAACAAAAATAGTTTCATGCATTTCATACGGTCATGTTTGCAGAAGAAAGGACAAAAAAACTCAACTGCATAATTCCCCATCACAGAGGAAAAAAACAGGTTTTAATCTTTCTCTGATAATGTCTTTGCACCAGAAACACTGTTGACACTGAATGCCACATTCAGGCGCTCTTCTCTCTCCTCTTCCTCTCCAGATATCAAGCCAGCTAATGTATTCATCACAGCTACAGGAGTAGTCAAACTAGGAGACCTCGGACTGGGACGATTCTTCAGCTCCAAAACAACTGCCGCTCACTCACTAGGTAATTCACTACAAGTCTATACATCAGCGGATATACACACTTAAACACACACTCTTCCTTTATGAACACACAAATACTTGGACGCACAGCAGCCCCCCTGTAATCACCCTGAGCTGGATGTGTTTCATTATGCATTGTGAGTCCAGAGCCATGTGTCATACAGTCATACTGCCTGGCTGCGGCTGTGCCCAGCCCCTTCATTGGCCACTTAGCCACTTCCTGTTGCCTTGACCTTTAAACCTAACACAGATGAAGACTGGGCCGAGAACTTCGACACACAGCTCTCGATTGTGACCGTGTGTCATAAAACAAGCCAGCCAACTTTACAATCAGGGTTATTGTTGGCATTGATTGGTGCCTTTGTCACTGGTAGGAAATGAAATCATATAACACTTTTTTTTTCTCTGAGAAGTGAAGATTGGACTTAAAATTATTACAAAAATGTAGACGTTTCCGCCTGGCTCAGATTGGATCAAAAATCAAAGACGAGAGTAAAAAATGGACAAACATATAGCTCCACATGCTAAAATGCAAATCTTTAATAAAAAGGTGTTTAAGGACTTTGCCATCATCTTTCAGAGTGAGTCTGATGACTTTAAGAAAAGAGTGAAACTACAGTATGCTGATCACTTTTAACAGACAAGGACATATGCACCACTTCAAGTCTGTTGCAAACTTTGCTTTGTCTGACTTTGCAGAAGCATAAAAAGAAAAAAAGAGAGAGGGGAACTCAAACACACCCATCAACAACTTCTTTCTGGGATGTCTTAAATTAAAACACAAGCAAACCTGCGAACCTTTTTATTTCTGCTCACATATCAGAACATAACACTGTGAAATAAAGGAGGGGGATCTGCTTTATTAGTTAGTTTATTTATTAGTTAAAAATGAATCCACAAAATCTTTCCTGAAAAGTGTGTTTGGTTATTAGAAGAGATTTGGTGATTACTTTATTGGAGTGATCAAATATTAGAGAAATTAAATAAGGCATTTCACAGAGCAGAGTATGGAATATTTGCATCACAGAAAAGCAGACTTCACATGTGCTCTACCGTCTTTACTTAAAAAAAAAAACTTGTGAGACCAACAAACATGATTTTGGTGGCAGACTTATCGAGGAACGAGTACAAAGAAGCAGCGAGAGTCATGTAATGGTTGAAGACATGCTTTGAAGCATTAAACAAATTACATCTCCTCTTATGAGCTTTGGGAAGCATCACAAACAATGGACAGTACTGATTCCGTGTCATGTTCTCATTAATAGATTTGGATTTTACAAAATAGAATTACCCAAATATGGACAAATTTAAAAGCGTATTCTGATCGTATGAGTTGCTCCTCTTTTGTCTCCATTTCTTAATCTTGAGTTGTATTTGTGTTTAATGTTAAAAAATTCTCTCCTAATGTGCCCAAGCGGCTGAATTTACAGTCTAATACAGAAACTGTGATTCAGGACAAGGTCGTGGAAATGGTCTAGTGTCGCTTTCTAGGACATCTGAATGTGACATCCACCCCCCCTTCTGCCGTTTTAGCTGCTTCATGATGAAAAATACAGAAAAATGAATCCCATGGACAAATATAAACGCTGCCATTCGCGCTGTCTCACTTCCCCGTGTCAAACTGTTTTTTACCACAAACAGAGCGCTATTCTCAGCCCCTGTACAGCAGCAGCCCAGCCTTTGAGAAAAGTGTGAATCACATGATCAACTCAGCAGAAGCCTTATCAACTGAACAGCCCGCGGTGCCAGGAGAGCTGGGTGAGAGCGTCTGTGATTGCTCATTAAATGTTGAGTCCACAGCACCCTCTTTAGGCTGACAGAGGACAGGCAGCCCCTCGTGCACACAGGGGTCATCTGGAAGACTGTCCTCATTGATCTGAAGCAAGCAAGACTGCTTTGTTAAAAGAAAAAAAAAACAACCGAATCACTATATTTTCATTCTGCAAGTGTCGAGTCAACAGTTAACTTCAATGTAGAAACTGAAACGGAGAAATTAACCCCTAAAAAAAGAGCGAGTGGGTTTCTCTAAAATACTGTGGTTGGTTTTAAGAGCAGACCTCCTGACTGTCTGTCTTTGTTCCCTGTCCTTCACTTCTGTTACTATTTTTCTTTCAGACTTGTCTTCTTTTTTTTATTTCTTTCTGCTTTCTAGCCCTCTGGTTCCCCGACTTTTACAAGAGAGAAACAGAAAGGTAGAGGTGAATGAGAAAACGGGTGAGAGCTTAAAGGTGTGAGAAAACTAGTGTTGGAAAAAGGAAAAAAAAAACTCATAGAGAGAGGAGGGGGTGAAAACAATATGTCAGGTAAAGAAGGAAGCATAACTGGTGACAAAAAAAACAAAACAAAAAGGAAGAATGTTGAGAAGATGACAAAACAAAAAAATCGAAGGAAGAGAGTATCAGACTGTCTCCGTAAAAAATGAAGGGGGAAACAGAAAAGCGATTGAGAGGGATAGAAAGAGAGAATGTTAGGAAGGAGAGGGGTGTGTGTGCGTGCGTGTGTGTGTGTGTGTGTGTGTGTGTGTGTGTACGTGCAATTGCGTGTCAGCATGGGTCTGTAATGAGCTCAGCCACCCAGCTGAACAGTGGAGCAGGGTGGTGAAGATGAGATGGAGGTCCAGGCATACAGCCTGTCAGCTCCCAGGCTTTCAACTCAGCCGCTCAGCAGCCTGCAGTCACATTTGCACACACACACACATACACACACACATACATATACACACACCTTTTTGTCTCTTACACACTGCTCTGCACTCTGAGTCACTCAGACTCTTTGTCTCCTATACAGATGTATATATGCATTGTGACCCATGTGCTCATCCATACGTGCTTAAATTTATGCTCAGAAACACTCGCATACACTCCTGTAAGTGACACATATATGTACATCCACACTCTGGGACCTGGGACCGACATAAGTACACACAGGCATGAAAGAGGCACACCCTATGTAATCTGTGTTTTTCTATGCCAGGATGATTATGCAGGGTTATAGAAGAAGTTACATTAGACAGAAAAAAGAAAAAAAAACTTGGTTGTAAGTGAAAAACTGATGCAATCATTAGAGGAATGAGAGACTAGCCAATTGGCAGAAATAAGTAGTATAATATACCTGCAATTAACACCTGTAATGAGAGAGGTGTTAACGATGAGCACAGGGGGAAAAGGAAAGAAGAGAGGAAGAGGGAGAACAAGAAACAGAACAACTTCAGGGAGGGTGATGTTGGAAATAATTATGAGGACTTCGACATGTATTTAAAGACTTGCTTATCTTATAAAGGAGAGGAAGCGAGTCGTGAAACAGAGAGGGGTAGGCGGGGAGCCAAATAGAGGGCGAGGACTCAGCAGGACATATAGAAAACCATGAAAACATAATGGGACTATAAGGGAATCCAAAGAGCGCCTTCTGACTACGAGTTGAAGTCCGTTCTGGCTCTGCTGCTGCTGCGGCTGCCAGTTTTACAATTTATCGTCTAATTTGTTCGAGAATGATGGAGAAAGGGGTTCCCAAACTTTCTGCCCAGGGTGTGCATGGGAAATTGACTCATGGTATTTGAGCTTTAAAACGTGGTGTAAAACAGGTGACTGAGAACAGATTAGAAGAGGATTACACCATTAATTAAACTCCCTGTTAAAGGCTTCACAGTGTTTAAATGGTCCTGTAAAGCAAGTCTGTGCAATCAAATCAACAAATGTATTTAACAGAACTAATAAAGGTTGATGTAACAAAACATCCAGCAAAGGGTTAGAAGTGTAGAGTCTTTATTCTGGTTGGCATCTCACCTCCTATACAACAACGATTAGCCTGTTTCACAGAGAACACAGTGTTGTCACAGCCATTCACAATAATGGAAATCAATCCCAACATGACTCTCAATTTATTTGCATGAATAAGTAATGTGCCCTTAATTTAGCATGCTGACGGAGCCTGAGCCTGCCGCCGCTGCCTTTTTTTAAAACAACTATTAGCATAAGAGAGGCTGATTCTTTTTAATCAACTAATAATGAATGTTAGGGGAGCTTGTTCAGACCTCACCAAGAGACCTCACACACACACACACACACACACACACACACACACACACACACACACACACACACACACACACACACACACACACACACACACACTACACACACACACACACACACAAACCACCATACCAACCTGATGACCAATTAAAACAGCAATCCCCAGTCTTCTCTCTCTCTTTCTCTCTCTCTCTCTCTCTCTCTTGCTTCTTGGCTGCCCGGGCAGATGCTGATTATTTTTGGAATGACAGGTAACACTTCATTATTCAAAACAGCACATTTAAGATTAAAGTGTGTTTCCTCGACCCAATTAGATCTGCAACAAAATTAAAACCTGCGAGCTTTTATTTCAGTTCCCATACACTTCAATTATAATAGCTCCCTCTCTAATAGTTTCTTTAATTGCAATTACATTAGTTGAGTTTCCTCCAACCTGCGTGCGTATGTGTGTACATGTGTGAGTACTGATAGCGAGTGTGTAGTTACGACTTTTTTTTTCTCCTGCAGGCTTTCTTTGCCTCTGAGTTTTTTCTATTTAAAAGCTATTCTCACTTATCAAGCAAACTCTTTTTACTTTGTGTGTTGATTTTAAACTCATTGACTATAATCTACCTTGAAGATAAAAACTCCTTTTCTCCTCTAAACCATCTTCTTTTTGGAAAAAAAAAGAAAACCTTGAAAATTACAATGAATTTTATTTTCTGTATTTACATGAATTTATTTGTTTTCTGCAAGTCCAGATTTTAGATAATCATTCGAATAAAGTCACTTCTTGGGGTAAAGCAACATATTAGAGTGCTTTATGTATTACATTCAAAGCATCAGGACAAAGGGTAAATTACATTTATTTTAAGAGGGTGGAAACATTAAAGCTCCTGTGTGCAGTTTTTGATCAGTCATCGCAACAATGACTGAAATTGGCAGTTATGCCTCTAAATGACCTAAAAAGGCAAAGTAGATCATCAACTACAAGACTGTGAAAATAAAAAAAATAAAAAGTATAATCTGTAACCACTCTGAGGGTGTTAGACAAAACACATGAAGAAGCGGTCTTTTTTTAATGTTTCCACTGCAAATTTTCACAGTAAATACATTTAAAGGTTGGGTGAGATTTTTCTAAAATCAGAAAACACAAGTTACACATTTACATGTCAAAAACCTGCAAAGATGTGAGGTATGGCTTTGTCCACAGGGGGCACCAAAATCAACAGGAATGGAAAGTTCTTTATAGGAATTTTAAAACAAGTCAGTTAATTTGTGAAGCAGCTATAAACGTGGTTCTCTAAACATGGAATTTTCTGGATGTTTGTTTTGGCTTTAGGAGCATAAAAACTGAACACTGAATCTCCATGTTGGAATCTGTGGACCCGTCCTACGTCACGTTAGCAGTCCTGATAGTTCTAAGTGTATCTCAGTCTTGTATTTTGGCCTAATACCATTCAGTGCTTGAGGACAGGAGCAACATGGAGCACTTTTTAGTTTGATTCAACTGAAAACCTGAGAAGCTCTTTTTTTGATTAGTACTGCACACCAAAGGCTTAGGGGAACAAAAGTAGTTCATCTGTCTAATATTGTGGTCAAGCTTGGCTATTCAGCTAGTGTTTCTGAAACTGTCGAAATAAAAGACACATGATGAGTAATCAAGGTCAAATATCGTAGCGTAGCAAATCAGTTTTCAGGTTTATAATCTGGATGGATCCCAAGACAACTGCAAGAGGGTGTTGATTATTTTGACATGTAAAGCAGATGCTCTGCGGTGAGGCCTTCCCACATTGTCATGTGCTCATATGCAGCGATCCTGCTGATGGATGTTGTACGCCAACTCAGCAGAGGCTGGGTATAGCTGTCATCTTTATATTCCAGTAAGTCTCCGTTTGTCTGTTTGCCACAGAGAACGTGGACTGAGCAGAGCCTTAGAGCGGCTCAGCACAGGTTAGGGGCCTGCTAAAGTTTCCCTCCTGTAACCATATGTGATTAATATAAAACCTCTGCTGGATGTGCTTGATAGACTTTTATATGGGAAATCACAGCAAACAGAGAGCGAATGAAAAAAACAGCCAGTCAGACTCAGTTAAGAAGGCAGCAAATATCCAAAGCTTCCTGCAGAGTCGATGTTGAGCTGCGGTTCGTCTTTGCGTCCAGTTGGGTGAAGGTTTGATTCTCTGGAGCTCTGCCAGTCGCCATGGCAGTGTGGGGATTCTTGAGTTTCCAAACCAGAACCAGAACGGGCCAACTTTTAAGGCTCCACGGCTGCTCCCTGGGCGTATTCTCCGACTACTGTTTCAGATCATTACCGAGCTCCAGTAATCAGAACTGATTCATGTATATTTTGTGTGTGAGACTAGGTCTGCTGTACATGTGCATGCAACTTTGTGGTACTTGAAGAATCGCATGCACTGTATCAGTCTACATGATGATATCTGATTTAATTAAATATCAGCCAACTTGAGGCAATCTAATTTAAAATCTTCCTTGAGATTTTTCTTCAACATGGAGCATCCCAACCTGCATCCAGTTCCAAGAGTGCACTATTATTTTCTGAAGTGTGCACGGTTTTGATGAACTGCATGGTTTGCAATCTTAGATATAAAAGCTCACTGTCTCTTTGTCTCCCCTCTACCTCTGTCTTTCCTTTTCTCTCACCCCCTCCCCTCCCTCACCCTCTCTATTCCAGTGGGTACTCCTTACTACATGTCACCAGAGAGGATACATGAAAACGGATACAACTTCAAATCTGACATCTGGTCGCTAGGATGCCTGCTGTACGAGGTAAACTACAGGAATATGTGCACACGGTGTCACCTTAGCAGTCGACTGTGGGAGTGACGTTCACACACATCTGCTCACCAAACACACACACACACAAACTCCCCTCAATCCCACTTATAATAATGTAATATACAGCACTGCTTTTGCATTTACAGAGACTTCTCGTCATGATTTGCAAAATAAAAGAACAACACACACTTTTATAATCATATTTCAATGATGTGTAATGTTGGATGTCTCTACCTGTTACCTCTCATGTTTCTGTCTGTATTTTCTGCTGAGCTGCAAGCCTTCAGACTCTTTCAGTTGAAGTTACTTTACCGGAGAACCTGCTTAGCGTTGAGAAGCAGGGGAGTGAAGGGAACTGACATGGCCATGTGTTTTAGATAAGGCCGCCCAGTGACACTGACTAGTTTGATTAGTCAGGAGCGAGACACCACAGGGCTCTGCTGCAGACCACACTGAGTGGAAACAAACCCAGAAGGAGGGAACAAAGAGAGGGGAAAAAAGTGAGGAGTAGAGCAGTGATAGACATGGATGATAGCAGTCAATCTGATGTTTCACCTTGCCAACCTTCACATGCACACAGACACACATTTTCACTGAGACACACAGTCGGCTGAGGAAACACCCACATTTTCCTCCCCTCCCCTTCACCCAGCTCCCCTGAGCTGCTGATCACTTGGGCTGCATTTCAACGCACCAGCGACTACAGCTTCTCCACAGCGCCTCAGGCATAGAGGTGGAGAATGCGTGAGGAAGAAGTTTTAGCTCAGCTTGCAGGTCATGGTTGCTCAGAGACCACTGTCCATCATGCTAATTAGTTTCCCACAATGCACTGCGGCAAAGCACGACTGTGGTTGGCTGAAAGCGCCGAGTGCTGTAGGTCATATTCAGTTTTCATGTCTTTATTTTAAATGTCTGCTGCATGTGTGTTTTTCACAGGGTGGATGCTACTTTAACAGTCGATTTCTCTAGTTTGTTGCTCTTTTTGCAGAGTTTCTGCAGGTATCATGCCTTTTTATCACAGCTGCAGCGCAAATTTCTATTTGATCAGAATGTTTAATTTTCTTTGAATCAGATTTTTTTTTTTTAATTTCATTTCAAGGTAAAAGTAATTGTTTGATCAGTTACTAAAGATTTGGATGACATGCCCCACTGTACAGAAGTGATGCCAAATTTACTGATCAATAAAATGTCAGCTTATTAAAGCTTGTGCCAGTTTAAGCGGACACTCACAGCTAAGCACATGGACTCTTTTGGTCATCTAAATTTTATTTTCATTCATTTTTTCACTTTAACTCTTCACAGATGTTTGTCCACAGATGTTTTAATAATACATTTACACCTCATTTTTAGCTAAACCTAAATATTAAAAAAAAAAAATCAACAGACAAATAACATTCCTATCATCTAAAAAAAACTGTAACAGAACTGTAAAAAATTGTTTTTTTAAATTGCCAACATATTTTGTTGAGGCGACCTGATTGTAACAAACTAAAAGGAGGCATGTCGCCACCTACTGTAGCAAAGTGGACATGCTTCTGTCTATAATTCACTTTTTACCAGGTGCTTGTAAACTTGGAGAAGGACAGTAGTCAAGTTAAATCTCCTAAGTGAGCTATGAACATAGCCTGCCTTAACTGTTGATGTCAATGCACCAAATGTTAAGCCTCTGATCTGTAAAGCCTCTTTTGTCGTGCTTACTCTATTCCTCAGCTTTTTTAGACACACAGACACACACTCCTGCTCCTCTCCCTGCTCTCCTCTCTCCACCTGTGGCTGCATGATAGTTTTTTTTCTGCTATAGCACAACATTTTAATAAACTTTTTTCAGCATGCACAGCTTTATCACATGCTTGCGCATCGATCTGAGTTCTTAATGATAAACTGAAAGTAAGAGCTGTTTGAAGGGAGGGGCAGAGGACACACTCAGCTGTATTGAAAGAAAGGGAGGGTGCACTCCATTTACTCAATAGGACACATGAAGTGCAACAAGGCAGGGGGCATATTTTCATGGTTGTGGGTAGCCGTAATCATATTTGAAAGTGAGATTGGATTAATCACCAGGTCCTACTATTTATCCTAAAGTTGTCAGTGTTTCATGTGCAGCCTTGTCTGTTTTCCAGTGTAAGAAGGAGAGCAGCCCATTGATCTTTTATGACCATCACCCTTCAGGGAAACTGCAGGGGTGGGTCAGACTCTGGACTGAATACTCAGAAAGCAAGATGGAGGCCAGAGGTGAGGAAAGAGAGTGACAGAAAGAGAGAGAGCCGGAGTGGATAAAAAAAAGAGGAAGACTTGCTGCTGAGGAAGCAGGAAATAAAGATGTGAGGTGAAAAAGTTAAGGAATCTATATAGGAACGATATAGGAAGCTGGAGAAGGGGAAGGGGATATGCGGTAAAGGTCTTCAGAGGGAATGAAAAGAAATCTCTGATAGAAGGTTAGAGAGAAAGCAGAGGGGAAGGAGTGGAAAGGGAAAATAACAAAAAGTCAGAGCAGGGTTATAGATTGCTGGAGAGAAGAGGAAGATTGGGAGGAGGGGGGCAGGGGTGTGTGTGTTCATTCAGAGAGAAAGTACTGCAGGTACAAGAGCAGATACAGAACTCCAGCCATCAGGTCAAGGTGAGCCATGCAATGAGCCTGTGGAGATAAAGATTTTACAACCTCATTGTTACCAGAGCCGTGCTCACCACGCCATGCATATTCTCTTTGAAGAGCTGACTCTCAGTTTCCACTCTTCTTGTGGTGAGAGGGCTCCACGGTGCATTCTGTGTCAGGAAACTTACCTGCTTCTCACACAAACTCGCTCCACTTTCTCCTCCCCTCTGCTATGTTTCCCTCTATATGCCTCCCTTTTCCTCACTTAACCTTCAGGCAGAAGGAATTCACATAGAAATCCACGCCTGATCCCTGTGGTACTCATTGATTTCACTCTGAACATACAGTAGGCGCTGAGGATTGTGCTGCGGTATGTTTTTGTGTGTGTTCATCATTGTGTGTGTGCGTGTCTGCATCCCAGGGAGGCTGGTTCCTTGTGAGAGAAACGGCTCCATTTGAGAGAGCCTGCCTTTTTTTATTCTAGTGCCGGGGGGTTGGGAAAGGGTCCGAAGGGTCCTCCCGTCAATACCTGGTCATTGTATCTGCGTCTATCTTTATCTCTCATTCCGTTTGATCCCTTTCTCTACATGTCCAAATTCATTACATCACCTGACCCTGCCCGGTGCCCCTCACACAAACCCCCTACACTGCGGTAAACAGAGATGCTGCGAGTCGCTGATGTTGTCTCCCAGGGTGACCAAGAAGGAAAGGATGAGGTTTGGTTACATGTCAGTCGATGAGATCACGGTCTCTTAGCACTCGGAGGCAAAACCGAAACATATTTGCATTCCCTCACTAACTTGGTATTTAAAATAAAGGCATTTTACGCACACTGCAGGTCCCCAGCTTGTGCAGATGTTTTCAGAAGGTTAGCAGCAGAGGGGTTTATCCTGAAAAACTTTACTGGAAAGTGTCTCCTTCCTGCTGGAGCTCAGTCATCCATACCTCTGACTGTGCCCATGTCTCATGCCTCCTGTTTTATGCCTCTCCCTCCTCTCTTGTTTTGCTGTTAGTTTTATGGGACCTGAAAATGCTTGGCTTCTAGCAGCTGGTGTTTGCATGTGATGAGTTGGCCCTTTGGCTGGCTCTCTGAACATTCTTGAAGAAGTGAGCAAGGCTTTTGGAAACAAAGAGTGCTGCTTTGTATCTTTTCTGTCTTTCATGCAGTAGGTTTAAGTTTTTAATGTTTGAACATAAGATACATGTTCTTGTTACTACCGTCTGAATCACAATGTTCCAGATCTAGCGAGTTATTAAAAGTAAGGATTCTCAAACTTTTCAGCTCATGACAACTCCAAGAACAACAATGCTAGAGAGCGGTGACCCCTCTGACCCTGAAGTGAGAAAAACATTTCTCATAGCCACGTAGAAGTATAAACAAGACGATTCAAAATTAAATATTACAGCAACACGAAGGAACACAACAGCCAAACCACAGTACTATAATTTTACGAAACAAGTCATCTTCAAGCAAAGCCTTTAATTACGTGAAACTCATAACTGAAATATCTAAAAAACTAATAACAAGCAGCAACCTCATGTCTTGAGAAATGCAGGCAACCAAAAAGTGTTGATAACTGCAGTTCTTTAAGCGTCCACTTGGTGCTGACTGCAGAAGCTCCTGAAACCACATATACACCCGATTAAAAAAGTCTATCTTTAAGAGGCAAGTAGTCATGTTTTTTTAGACCATTATGGAAATAAATTTGGTCTTCATTTTTCTTTCTGCGCACACTTTACCGGGGGAATTTTTCTGTAAGATGTTTGTTTTGAGTTTTTCTTAATTAACAGCTGTCCTGCCTGACAGGTTAGCATGCTGTTAGCAAGGAGGCTCAAGACTGGCCTCAATTCTGCCTCTTTGCCTGTTGTTAGGTCGACTTAAAGTTGGGTTGAGTAACATTTTCAGCTTGGCGTCTACCATGTATAGGATTCAAAAACCAATAGGTGATTTGACATCCATGTATTACACAGTCTATGGTCCCCTTCCACCAGGAACTGCTCATATGAACCATTTGTATACACTGTTAGTTTTAAATCCACCACCTTCAATACTCATGTCATCCTTTCTTAAGTTTCACAGTAACTGGTCTTTTTGAAATCTGCTGCCATGGTAGTTCAGCACAGTCACATAAAACTTAAATATTTTTTCCTCAAAAACTCAACCCACCAGAACAATCTGCCACTTTGATTTGATCCATTCTTCATCTCAGTGCCTTTCTTCCCTCCCTCTCCTCTTTTTCGAGCCTTGAAGTGGAGCAGTCATGACTCCACTGGGTGTAGGTATATTTTTAATGACTGTCCCTCTTCTTTGACTTATTGCCTTGATTAATATATCATCATAAAACCACATGAAGAAGGACCAGCGAGCGCATAAAAAAGTCATGCTTTCCTTACTTTCAGAGTATATGTGTTTGGGTGTGTGTGTGAGGGAGAGAGAGGGGGAGACAGGGTGTAAGGAGGACAATATACAATCTTTTTACATGTGTGTGTTAGCATTTAGGTGTTTATTTTGATGTAGCCATAATTCAGTGTGTGCTTAAAGAGAGTGAGAAGCCCTGTGGTCCCGGGGTGTAGGAGCCCTGGGGAGGAGGGGGTAAGGGACACTGGATCCTCTCGCAGCTCCTTTAATTGGCGTACAGGGAGGGAAGCTGGAGAGAGAGAGCGAGATCAGTTTTAATTAAGCTGGAAGGCCAAACCCAGACCTTTTACACGGACAGGAGCGCTAGCTTTACATGCCTGAGCCGGGGAGAGAGTGCAGCCGGGCCAGCTGAAGAGGAGCCCAGGAACAAAGGAGGGAGTGTGTGTGTGTGTGTGTGTGTGTGTGTGTGTGTGTGTGTGTGTGTGTGTGTGTAAGTGTGTGTAAGTGTGTGTGCTGGACTCTGTGTTTGCAGGGCTGTGTGTGTGTGTGTATGTGTATGTGTATGTTCTGCCACCAGCAGCTCACACCCCTCAGACAGACAGCAGGCATGCGTGTGCATTGTATGTCTCTCGAATATCAATGAACCATACGCACACACACATACACAGTCTCATGCTCGCACACCGGGGCCTCAGAGGTCAGAGAGTGAGTCAATCATCTAACCCATTGCGACGACACACTCTGAAAAAAAAAAAAGAGGAGTAAGTGTGTGTGTGTGTGTGTGTGTGTGTGTGTGTTTGAGAGAGCAGGGGGCCGGCAGCTGTCAGGGGCTGGGAGCAGCAGGCACTAATGAAGCAGATGAATAGTGCAAAAACTCCCAAATACAAACAGGACAGTTGACATTTTTCATCTGTCAAAAGCAGAAGATGCATGAAAATACGAGGGGGTCTTGTTTAACCCTTTACCTCCTGGCGTCTGTATTTTGGCTGCCTCCTTCTCCTTCTTTTTTTCTCACTTATTGAGAGATTTTTAGTTTTTGGAGCACCCAAAGGGGGCCTACACCTCCTGTCAGTATTTGTTGTCGAGTAAAAAAACAGTGCTCTTCAGCCTTTCCTGTTTTTAGTCATTGAAACTAAACTTTGGTAGACGTCAGCACTTTGAAGTCAGCTGAGTGCTCTCTTTTCTTTCTTGTGTTTCCAAAATTAAAGTACAAGATGACTATCACCTTTGTGATAAATGGGCTGATGAAGTTTTCGTGTATTGTAAAGCTGGTAATGTTATAAAAACAGTCAAGTCAGGAACTGTAATAGAAATGGAAGCTTTGGACTGTTTAAAGGTGACGTCCTGCATTTTCTGTGTTTATTTCTTGGCATCTTGATTTTTTAAAATTCAATTGGAGCGGGACAGTCCAGATAGAGCCAGCAGGAGTCCAGCCTAGTTCGTTACACATAATCAGTGGCATGAATAATCACCTTTCTGTTTGTAAAACTAAAATGAGTATTTCATATCATTGCCATGTTTTTGCGGTTCCCCTGAACAGGCAAACTAGCTCTGTTTGCTGTTTGTATTTTGTGAGCGGAGGTTCAGAATGCACCAGGAAGAAGAGAGTGGTTGTTGTGCACAAAAGAATTTATATTGGTACAAGTTTTTGAGAGTAAAACTCGACAAATGGAGGATTGTTAAGAATCACAGCAGCTTCTTGTCCTCTAAGCCGCTGTCTCTTGAGGAATTTTACTAGCGAGGGGTGAGGAAGAGGGTGTTTTGATCTAGAATCTGACTGCGAGATATTGCAGTCAGATATTTCAATTTTTACATACTGTACCTTTAACTGCTGGATTTCAATATTAAATTTCAATTAATGGTATTTGTAATAGAATATTCACTAATTATGCGATCAGCAAGGAAGAACAGAAAACAAACGCCAAAAGCAAAAGTGATGACAGAGACCGACGTGCCGCCCAGACCTCCCCTTTAAATTTTCTGTTACTTACATCGTAGATTTCATGATATTATTTTTTTTTGTTTTTCTCCCTAATACCCTGCCCTATCAAATAATCAACACTCGGGGAAAACAGATCTTCTTTGCTAGCTCTGGCAGACTCTTCCTATTTGGTATCCAAGAAATGAGACATAAGGGCCTACATGTTAACTATGATGCATGAAGTTAGCTATGAAACGCTGAGTCAGTCTCCCTCAGGAGAATCTTCCTGCGCTCATCCTGAGTATGAATTATTAAAGATTTCTCTGCGTGTGTTTGTCCGTGCATCTGTGTTTGTTTTTGTTAGCGAAAATCCTCCTGAAATCATCAGCTACAGATATGAGTTTGTGTTGCCGGCGGAGGTACATCATTACTGACACACACAAGGATGCACATTTCCTCACCGCCTCATCACTGTCGGCCACCTGCTGTGTCATTCTCAGTAGTCACTGTTGGAGCAGAAAGAAGAGAGGTGTCCAAGGAAACACAGAGAGGGAGATCCTCTTTTCTGTTTATTTTTTATCACGTATTTTTGATTTCTGAGGTTATCCTGCACAGTTTTAGTCATTTGATTGTGCTAGTTAATGCGCCACCAATGCTTGACACAGTTAAAGTTGAATTAAAGGAGCAGTCTAAAAGATACAATAAGTGTAATTTTCCCCAATTTACCTATTTTTTTTTTGCTATCAGTTTATCTCGATCACATTATAGTTGGAAATGCTCCACAGAAATTTGTGACTTTCTATTTATGGCCCTCTACCCTGTTTAGCATGTATTATAACTTCCTCCCCTCTTAAAGTCATTGAGATGTACAGCATCATTTCAAGGTGCTTAGAGATGCACTCTGCCCTGAAGCAAGTCCAGCGGATGAACTTGGAATATAGATCACGCGTACTGTATAATATTTGAATTTTACATAAGAGGAGGCCTTTTTCTGCCTGGAAAGAAACTTCTATGATATCATTTATTTACAACTGTACTAGAGCTGACCTCTTCCTGTGTGCTTTTTATATGTTTATGAAGGAAACAAAGTCAACAATCTACAACATCTCAGAGCAGCCCTCTCATCATCAACCCAGACAACAACTCAGACCATGTTTATTTATTAGTTTTCATGTTATTTCGCTCCACACTCGAGCCAAGCAATTTATTATTTTGAAAGCACCAAACAAGGCAAAAAAATAAGTATGTTTGTCATGCAAGGATGCTGCAGGCTTCATGTTTGGTATGCACATTAATGGGAAGTGAGTCAGTCACTAATATTGTCTATTCTTAGAAAAGCAGGAGGGTTTCTTCACCTTTTCCTGCTCAGCAAAAGTCTGCGTATCCTTTCCACTCTTCCTTACCTTCCCATCTGCTCTGCTCGCTTGTATTTATTTTCCAGAGGATACAGTTTTCTCGCAGCACCAGCGAACTGAAAAATCCTCTCCCCTCACTAGCTTGCACTGCAGCCGCTCTCCCTTCAACATCTCCTCTTCCTTTCCTCAACTCTGCATTTCCTTTTATTTTCACCTCTAAGTTTGCTGAGAAGGGCCGGCATACTGAAGGGAATCACACTTATACAGGGAAGCTTTCATGGATTATTTCACTTAAAAGTTTAACCAACACTCATCCTAAAAAAAACCTACTTTTCAAAGGTTTATTGGTATTTTTTTTTCATTGCACCAAATTTAAAACATATTGATTTGTTGTTTGGCTCAGCTCATCTTTTACAATGAAATAGCAGCAGCATAGCAGTTCTACTTCCTAATAAAGTACAGTTCTGATAGTAGGACCTGTTGAAACTCGAAGTGTGTGTTTCCAGTTTTTAACTGGAGTCCATTTTCTTCTACATTTCTTTGACCTGTGTCCTCGCTTCTTCCCTTCCCAGATGGCAGCCTTACAGAGTCCGTTCTACGGGGATAAGATGAACCTTTATTCCCTTTGTAAGAAGATAGAACAGTGTGACTACCCCCCTCTTCCTTCAGATCACTACTCAGAGGAGGTAAGTACTTTCCTTCTACTCTTAAAGTAGAAGTTATAAAATTATGGACTTGCTCTGTGTTTTAAAGGAGGACTCTTCTCCAGAACTTCTAAAAAACTTTGCAAAAGCATTCACTTTTTCCTAGGTACACTCCCTTTTTTAAGCAGTGGTAGACACTTTCTCTTTCTCTGTGCCAGTTTGCTGATTTCTCCTTGTATTTCCCGTTGAATTAAAAAATTTTCATACGCAAGTGAAATCTGCCCAACTGTCTGAGCCACAGTACAACCAAATCTTTCTCTGTGATCAAAAGGCTGACTATGATTTTTAACCGTTTGAAAATTAAATGCACATATCAAAAGCATCTGGCCGTGCTACAAAGTGGTCTGAAAGTAAATTGGCTGGAGTGTCATGTTTCTCTTACTAAATGTTAAATCATCCGCTGTAATTTCTGCGTAGACTTACCCCTTGCACAAAAATGAAATGAAGTCGGGCTGTGGTTAGAGATCGCCTTGTCGCTGATTGGCGGTGATGTGTGTATGAATGTACATGGCTTTGTGTTTGCATGCCCTTTTTGTGTGGGTGGCTACTTTCCCCCCCCTAACATTTCTGCTCTTGTAAACATATTAAGTCAATGTACAGATATGCAAAATGTAGAGATGCTGAGGATGTGCATGCACTGCAGGTATTGATCCACTTATAAGGTAATTATAAAAAAAAAAAACAGCCTGAACTTACAAGATAGCTGATGTTATCTATTTATAACAAACGTATACAGCATGCATTATGATGCATTTATGGTTTTTAAACATGGAAACATGCTAGTATAGAAAAACACTTAACATATCCTGTCCCTTCTTTCTATATTCTTCGCTGTATGATCAGTGTATCTGCACACACAAGTCCACAGTGGCTTATATGGAGTGGCTCTCTTTATTTATCCCTCTTAAATCAAACAGTAAACCCAGAGGGGGGGCTTTATTCTTCAGGGGTGTTTACTTCGTTAGGTCTACAAGGGCTAATTGCAGGCTGTATCAAGAATATGAAGTGTGTGTGCGTGTGTTTGTATGTGTGTGTGTGTGTGTGTGTGTTTCTGAGTTTATGGGTGCAGAGGCAATCATGCAAGTGTATATTTTGTTACAACAGCTCCCTTTCACCACACATACACACTCAGACACACACACACACCACACCGAGCTTCTGCGTTGCCCCACATGTCACCCCCATCCTGGAGAAAGGGAGACAAAGTGAAAGAGAGAGGGAATGATAGAGCGAGAGACAGGGCGATGGAGAGATGGAGATGAGGGGGGTGCCTGCAGCGCCTGTCTGGATGTAAACAATGCTCCTGAAGGATCGGCAGCAAACTGTCAGCTGCTCATCTTTGTTGTGTCATTTAACCATCTCCGTCTATGCTCCCCCCTCTCTGCCTCCCTTCACTAACTCCTACCCCCCCCCCCCCCCCACCCTCCTCCACCTGACACCCCCACCCCACTCGCCATGCAAAGAAGCGCATGAATATTTTACATATCTGCATCTCCCCCCCTCCATCTCTATTCTGTGGGACTAATTCTCAGACTGTCTGAATTTGCATCTTTCTCCCACTTTCTCTCTCACTCAGGCACACACACATACACACACACACATACACACACACACACATACACGCACACACACATACATACACATAAGCACAGCGGCTGACGAGAACTCGTCCAAGCCGGTGCCATGCAACAGCGGCCATGAAGTCGGCAGTCGGTTACCATAGCGACCTCGCGTAGATGTTCGTTTTTTTCTTTCCTCTCCATCTTTTATTCTCTTCCTTTTTTTTAATGATGGTAGTGGCTGTTCCGCCTGCGAGCCCATCTATCTATCTGCTCCAATCAGCCGCTCCGCTCGGCTTCAAGTGTAAGCGCTGTCTGTGGATGGCAGTAGAGTGGCAGCAGTGTGTGCTTGCAGCTTGGTGTGCGAGTGTGTGTGTGGGCCTTCGACCATAAATTGATTAGCGCACTAACTCAGCCTTGTGTCCTCACTTTAGCTCCATTTAAAGAGCGTTTACTTAGCAGGTCTGTTCGCCCGATCATTGTTTTTCATTTCATTGACTGTATTTAAAGATGGACAACACACCTCTACCTACTTCTCTTACTAAAGTGGAGCCAAAACACCTGTGGGGCAGGTACTAATATATAATGCTGGTGACCTTTTCGAAGGCAAACTGCAATGGAGAGTGCTGGAGACACTCACATTCATGAAAAGTTTAATGACCCTTATATTGGTGTTTGTTGAGGTTCCTCTCACTGTCTCTCCTATCCTATGCACTCAATCGTGGCGTTGTAGCCCCTTTTAAAGCAACCAAGAGCTAAATAAACTCTTCAAAGTCTTAAACTTGATTTTATTTAAGTGTGGAGGAGCCTGGTTTGAAGTTTGATTCATGTCCCATCTGTTATCATGGAGGATGTGAGCTCTGTGACGTATCAGTAGGAGGGCTTTGCTTCACTTTTAGGAAGCAGTCGTGTCGTCCTTTCTGTACAGTCCATGCCTCATTTTTTGAACTTCCTTTTTATTTTTAAATACACTGTTAATTTTTTCTGTACTGACTCTGGTATTTTTCTCTCCACTTTTCAACCAACACCCTTGTCCGTTCCCATCCCTCCCCATTTTTTCCTGTTCCTCCCCATCCTTCCACATCCCTCCCCCATCCCTCTCACCAGCTGAGGAACTTGGTAGATATGTGCATCAACCCTGACCCAGAGAAGAGGCCGGACATCACCTACGTGTACGACATTGCCAAACACATGCAGAGCCTGACACAGGGCAGCTAAGCCTGGAGTTACACACACTTTAGCTCGCAGAACTTCTCCCCGATTCCCCACTTTGCTTTTCATGCTGGACTTGTACACATCTATCAGCTTTTGTACAATAACTTACTCCAGAGTTTCCCCCCCTGTGTTGAAGGTGTTACAAATTTGTATTTCTGAGGTGACGGTACTGTCTGTAACACGACTCAGACACCAAACCTCCTTTGCCCAAGAATAAAGATTAAAGAGATTCACTAATTTGTCAGACAGACCGCCCATTCCTAGATTTTAATCATAGTACAGCACTGAAAATCCATGTTTTATAACTTATCAGTGTGAGTTTTTAAGGAGTGAAATAAATCCAGACCTAGTAGCTATCTTGAGCAGATTAGACACATGGTCTGGAAAACTGTAAAATTATTCAGAAAAGAAAGCAAAGTTAGAGGTCACCTATCTAGAGACAGGACAAACATCCACTAAATTTACCTTGCAGGTCTTTGGTGGGTCTTATTAGACCTATGGACAGTAGATGACACAAGAAGAGCTTGAAAACTTTGAACACAACTGTTAAGAGAGAGAAGAAATTTCACTCAAAGGCAGGAAATCTTAGAGATACAACAGAGTGTTTGATGGTTGAAGCTTTGTTGTGCTGCACTTTTTACCCTGGTACTGGAAGGCTGGCAGGGTGTTAATGTCTAATGAATGTATAAGGAGAGGAAGGATTATTTAGAGGGTATACTCGAAACGTGCTGGGGGGAGAACATGGGCAAATGTCTCCACAACACTTTGAATGTAAGTCATTTTGACACCTATGTTAGGATTACTCTTCTTTGACAGCCTCAGAGGGGAGTAGACGCTTGAAGAAAAGCAAGTTTACATCTGCTGTTTACCTTCATCACTGACACCAAAACGTTCCTCCATGGTTTGACTCTGGGGTTTTTTTTAGAGGCGTAAAAATCACAATAAAGACATGAGTAAAATCTAAGTTCTTATCATGGTCCAGTGGATGCATTTGACCCACCAGAGAGGAAGAAAATATTGTTTGTGTGTTGCTGTGTAAGTTTGCAGTCCAGTTGTCGTATTAACAGATATGTCGGTGAGTGAGCAGATCCTTTCCTTGTGTAGCCGTCCATATTATAAATAAATCGCAGCTTAACTACCTACCTTTTGTCCACAGCTGAGATACCAAAGAGGAAATTCACGTAAAGAGCAGTTTAAAGTTAGACTCTTGACGTAAGTAAACCAGAGACTGTTCTTATGAAAGAGAACAAGCGACACTGGGACTAACTTTGTTTTACTGTACATAGCAAAAAAAAAAGTTCCTGTAGTAGTCAGACTGCAGCGGCCTTTGATTCATTTGGAGAAGGAAATCACGGCTTTAACTTCAGTGTACAAACATACATATATTTGTGCAATTTTCGGTTATGACTAGGTTTACTCCAGGGGGGTCACAGATGACCGGCACTGACTACCACTGGTTTACATTATTGAAAAAGTACCACATGAGTGGTAAAGTAAGAGAGCAGTGATTGAAAAGTCGGTATTTCAGTGCCTTATGAACTATCTTCTATATATCAGATCGTGTGTTAACTGTTCAATCCAAGTATTGTACACGTATGCCCATTTTTCTTGTTTTATTTTTTTTATTATTAACATACAACATCATGTGTTATATAGAGAAAAATCAAAGCTTTTAGGTGCAAGAAAATGTAAGTTATTTTGTTTTGGTCAACAGAATATTTTCATAGTGTGTTAAAAGTAGTTCTTTGTCTGAGACTTGCAAATACATTGTTTGCAATTTTTGTTTGCAATTGTGCACCTTGTCCTTGTTGTTTGTTTAATATAGCTTTTCTCTGCCTTTGTATTAGCCTTTTTTCTATTGCAGCAATTATCTGTTTGATATTATTTCCCTGCGCTCTCTTAACAATACGGTCCTTTACCAATGAAACTTGGTATAGCTTCACAGCACTATTTAGATGTAGTTTTGATGCTACATAGAGGTAGCATTTAACCCCATAATAAAAAATGGTGTAAAAGTTATACTGATATCTTTTTACAAGACCAAAGAATTTTGAGATGTTAGGAAAATGTTTCAGAACAGATGTAATATGAAACAGTTTTAAACGTATCATAGGACGTCAAGAGGCCTTGCTTTTTAAAATAATACCTCATCTGCTTTTAAAGGCAAATATACTTCTAGTTTACATCCTTCCCCTTGTTAAGAACATTGAACACGCAGCGTAAAGTCAGGTGGTCTCGCCTTAAAGATGTCTGTGTTACAATGTTGATAGTTTGTCTTTATGCAAATGTGGATAATTTCCACATTTTTCAAATCCTCACAGTGAGGTTGTTTTAAACACAGTCACTTTATTCCTCATTGCAGTTCCCTGATCTGTTTTTGGTCTTTGCTCAGTTTACATTTTTCCTCGGCTATCCGAGGATGGGATGTAATTGTCCACTTTTCCCCCTACAGAAAATGAGAACCTGAAATAGATATTTTTTGATTTAGTATTTTGGGTGTTTTCTTTCCCAACATTTCATGTGGAAATTAAAACCTGCGTCACAAATGTCTTGTATGCTAAGCATTGCAATAAAGCTTTCAAGTTTTTGTTTGGACATTAAAGTGAGTGCCTGAAGCTTTTGACAGCTTTTCACATCATTTTTTTTATTTTTTACTGGAACAGGCTGTTTGTTGCCTGCATTACAAGAAGTCGCCTTCACAGTGATGGAAAACTAGTTATGATACCAGCTGAGAGTATAATTATAACAACTAACAACATTTCAGCCTTCCTGTTATTTTCATTATTTGATATCATTATTCTCACCCCATTTACTGTCATCAAAAACGCACGATAGACCCGTTGACCTTCATAGGGACTTTAGGTCATTGGCACGCTGTCATTTAGCTGTGACTTTTGTTGCATAACTTCATCATGGCATTATTGAACAGCACATTTACTGTAACAGACTGAGAGGGACGATGTTCTGAAACAAAATGTGAACATGCTAAAAATTAAAGATTTGTGCCTGTCAATCAGAAAATTTATAGTCGACAAGTAAACAAAAAGTTGTCTGTGTTTTAAAAGTTTCAGAGAAAGACATGAAGCAGTCTCTTTGAAAGTAGCCTATATATGATAGAGACGTAAACTCTGGAAATTGTACGTTTTTAACAAGACTGCATGCAGCACATTGTCATAACAAAATTTGATAGCATCAAATTAAGTTTTTTTTTCTCTTTTTTAACTTATTAAACAACAAAGTCGCACACAAGCCTGCAGTGTTTATTGCGCTTTTCACATCTGTGCCAAAAATAAGCTCATATATCATATCAGATCTTATGTATTCGTACACACAATGATTTTAAAGATGAAATTATTAAAATTCACAAACAAAATAGGAGTATTATGTTACAAAATAAAAAGCCAAATATTTGGATTACCTTTTTTAATAAGGTAACACAGTTACTGAACAAAAGACTCTGTTTTCCTTTTGTAACCACAAAGCAGAAAATCCCTGAATCATCTTCACTGAATCTGTTTTCTCCTTCTTCATATCAGGTGGTTGTGAACCAGCAAAAAGTAAACCTACAGCCGGATCAGGGCATATGGAAAGCTAGCTAGTTAAACAAGAAATTGAGTGAGATGGCAGACAGCGTTTACTTGGATTACCCTATCACAGATTATATGCCAGAGCAAACATTCATATGAAGAACAAATGAATGGGAATCAAGGGTTTGGTCCTTCCATGCTCCATCAGGCCTTTTTCCATCAGAGATTTTTTACCGATGCATGTGAAATCGAGGCACGTTCATGTAAACTACAAAAAAAAACAACAGGAAATGGTGCAGATTAAAGCAGGTAACTTTTGTTAGAGATTAGCGCAGAGCCAACAAAAAGAAAGGTAAACAGACTCACTTGCAGTTGACTGGAGCATCTCGTCTCCGTTGACATCACTGTGGAAAAAAAGGGGAAATCTGAGTCATGTAAGATAATGTTAAGAAATATGACTCATGACCATGTATCATTTTGTTTATGTGACCTGACCAATCAGATTTATATAGGATTGAGTTCAGCTGCAGTAAAGTTTAAAAGTCCCTAACTAACTGTACTGAAAACCAGCAGCGATGTCACAGTCAAACTAACACAGGAAAGGATGTAAAGAAGTCATAACTTTTTAAGCCCTCTCCCCCTCACAACATGGACCACCATAGGTAAGACAAGCACCAACAAGACGATGATGAAGACAAGACTCATGATAACAGTATGGTTATTGTCTGTTAAATGATGGTTAAAACAAAAATGATAAAGTCGGGACATTTTTATCAAAGACATATTATCTGTGTTTAATAAGGGATGAGATAAAGAGATGATCAGCGCATTCACCGATAATAATGTCACTTTGATGGACTGTAGATGAAGGTGTCATCACAGAAGAACTCTAAAACCAGGATTAAGATGATGTAAGAGAAGATTAGACTGAAGGATTCTTACCGGGACATTCTGCATTTCAGTATGACAACCAACACCAGGGCCACAGGCAGCAGGGTGATGAGGGAAATGAGGAACCCGATCAGAGCTTTGTCATTGTCTGTGAAGTGACAGGATTTTTTTTTTTTTTTTTAAGGTTTATGTTTGAAATTAAAATGTACATAAGATTACACTTGTATAAAATTAAAAGCGCCCATACAGAAAGTGTCCACATCTTTTATCTTTGAGTTGCCAGTAAGTTCCCCGTTGTAAGGAGACACCTGGAAAAACAGAAACTCTTGATCAGGAATTATAGAATTTAAGAAATAAGAGAAGTTCGATTAAAAGATAGTCTTGTAAAAAAAAATAATCAGGATTAAACAAACCTGCAGACGGTATGTTGTGGAGTAGCTCAGGTCTCTGAACTCAAACTTGCACTTTCTGTTTTCTTGTGTTATCACAGTGGCACCATTTTTAAGAGTTGCTTTGAATATCTCTTCAGGTCCCTTGATATCTCCATGATAGTCACAGGATACTTTTATCACATTATTCTCTGGAACAGTCACCACCATGGAACTGATATCATCTGGTTCTGCAAAGAAAAGAAAAAAACTTCATTTACATCTCAGTGTCACACAGTTTCAGAGAATAACTCGGATCATGACCCCACAGTCGAGTCAGAAGATTATACTCATAATATCCTCTTATTCTGAAAATGGCCTCCACAGATCATTAGAGCTTCACTTTTATTGATCATTGCTAAAGATAAAAAAGCATCAACAGCAATCCTGTTTCATTCATTAAATAACTGACCGTAAAGAGTCGGTAATAAAGTTTGTTCTCTTACACAGATACTGACTTTCAAACAGACATTCACGTCATCAGATGCAGAGTTGTTGTAACTTCTCAAACTTGAAGAGTCTTTACACTGAACAGTCTGTTTTTGTTTTTATTCATGTTGACTGCTGACGGTTTTTAGACACTTACTGCCAGCTTTAGTCTTTATTGGTCGAACAGGGGTTGGTTGATTTGGTAGACGAAGATTCCTGCCATCATAGAGGGGTCGAACTTGACATGTATAGTCTGTGTACGGGCTCAGGTCACGGACGTTACATGATGCTCCAGAACATTTCAGAGTCGAGCCTGCAACACAGTTTCATTGAATAAAGCTTTAGCAAAAGTTCAGTCAGGAAAACTATTTTCTTCTGTTTTTTGTTGTGTTCACTTCTTTACAAACTCTCTGATATCACCTGTGGTCTTCAGCTGTTCTGGTCACATCTATCTGATGACCCTCATCAACTGCTGCTCTTTTCTACATACGTCTTTTTCTTCCTCCAGTAAATTCATCCTATCATTATGTACAGTCATCCACTTCCCATCTCTCTCAGTCTTTACAGTTTGATCGGCTTCATCATCTCATCAGTATCAGGTGACAACATCAACCATCACCTCCAACTCCACAGAGACAGACGTCACTAAAGCTCAGGGCAGACACCTTCAGTCACCCCATCTCTATGATCAGCTCAAAGGTTAAAGACCCTGAAAATAATTCAATATCACATTAACTCTGTAAAATTAACCCCAATCTGTGATTCATTCACTTCTCTCGCCTGATTGAACTTTTTTATGTTTGGCTAAAAAAAAATAACTGAGATGAAATAAAGGAATATTCTGCAGTAAATTGGTTTCTTAGTTAAGTAGGAAGAAATATATCAATCAATCAACAAATCAGTCACTGATAGTTTACCTGCTCCGGCCCTGCACTTATTCTGATGCATGTGTTCATGTGAAATAATTGTGCACCAGTTTTCAGCTGCAAATATATTTTTTCAAATGTTTACTTTTTTCAGCAGAGAGGACAACTAAATCAAAATGTTTCTAGTGACAACAGCGGTGAGAAACTTAAAATGTCCAAACTTTATTTCACTCTTCAGGTAAACGGACCAGAAACCAGAGTTGTCAAATTTTCACAAAAATGAATTCAGTGTGAAAATGTATGAGTGAATTTCTGAGACACTTAAAATCATCTTTACTTACTGTAATATCCAGAGACACAACTGCAGTCGAAGCTGAGCTTTGGATACTGGAGGACATTTTCACATCTCTGACTGTCTGTGGTCCAGCTCAGCTGAATGGAAGTGTTGGTCACCTCTGTGACTTTGACTCTTAGTTTAAGATCTGTAAGAACACATCAGATTTCTGTGACTGAACTCATTACCTGCTGTAGTCTTTGTATCCTGACTTCTCTCTAAATACAAGAGGATTGTTGAAGTTAAACTGAAGTAGAGTGAAGGTCAACATACCACAGTCAACGCTGAACGTGGTGGTAGGAACTGCTGTCGTGATGAGCTGAAATAAGGAGTTGCCAGCTGAACTGGTGTCTGGAGGGAAAGCATTGATTGTGATGGAGGGTGAAGGTGTAGGTAAGGAAGTAGGAACATCTGCAATACAAGAAAATGTTAGTCATGCCAACAAAAGAGCGCTACAGTGTTTTTTTTAGCATTGCTTCTCTACACAAAGATGGCTGCTGTAGATCGTATTCACACAGATTATATTTCCTACTCTCAGCTTGGGATGTTTGAGACACCATTATAAGTTTATTCTCACTATTTCCCAATCAGTCTTATAGGTGGACTCAGCTCTGGCTTGTACAGTGAGAACTTGTGACTCCACTTGGACTCAAAGTTCGGTGACTCGACTACAACGCTGGCTACAGGTTGAAAACATCTAAGATACAAAAGAGCACACAGCTGATAACTTGAGAAGTCACCTATAACCCTGTATGTAATGCCAGGAGATAATGTGAGGTCAATGCTACAATACAAGGATTTATCTCCTGCTCCTTTTTTACAGAGGCCAGTGTCATAGAAACACATTGAAGAGTAGAGAAGTATCGATCTGTGCTATAAGTTGTAAACAGGGTAAGAATATATACTGGATTCGGGATCGGTTTTTGAGGTGCTGGGAGACATGACAGGAGCAGCTGTCATGTTGCTTGGAGGTGTGGATTTGCCAGGTGAAGTGGTGACTGGAGGTGAGGTTGGGTTTGAGTCGTGTGAGGGTGAGGGAGCTGAAACATTCACATTATGAGGAAACATGAGTCTAGCCAAACACAATGTCATTATCATATTCCCTGAGTGGCATCAATGTTTGACTGGGGGCCAGTGGTCTTGTTGGTTTCGGGTGCGGGCAAAGTGTTTGCAGGAGTGACTGCAAGATGGAGAGCAGGGAGAGTCACCGTCACCTCTAGTATTTGAGGATCTAGATCACATTAAAAAGACCAGATGATAATTTTATGCCTCACCTCACCAAAGAATAGATTGTTTGATAGGAGGAAAAACCACAAACTGCAAAATTACAAATTAGATATGGTTACAGCGCACTTCATGGAGGCTGGACCTCCGCACAGACACTGCTCCATAATCATCCTGTCTCATCACACTGCATGGCAGCTGCAGGCATCTTTTATCTTCACTTTTATCTGTGTTTTTAACCTGCTGAAACTGCGCAGTAACCAATTTGACAATAGTTTCAAAGTATAAATTTGTGATTACTGTTATTTTTATTTTGTATTTTTCTATTTTCACCTTTTAATGGTGTCCTATTCAAACTTTGTGAGTGCATTTTCACACTCCCCTTGTCCCTTGCTTTTGAGCTGCTGTACCAAGATAATAAAGGTCTATTTTCTTACACCTTCACGGTGTAATTACACTGATTTTGTAAGGAACTGTTAGCACCACTTGTATTTATAGATTAGGGTGGCGTTCTGTAACTGCACATACTTTATATTAAAGACGTCTGACTCTTTCCTGTTTCTCACATAGCTGAACTGTGGTTTATTTGATAAGCAGAACTGTGGTCAACAGCGGAACATGTAAACTGAAAAGTGTTTCCTTAGATGTGCAGATGGTTCACTTAAATGAGACGTTCCCTCATGATTTTAACAGTAAAAATGCTAATATTTTATAGGTATCTCATGTGAATTCTTACTGAACATAATTGGCGTACTGGACTTCTTAAAACCATTTTCTTTCCTCTTAGCTTCATTTGAACTAAAGTCAGACTAAAGCCGTCCATCCCCGAATAGGTTACCATCATTGTTTTTGAAGGGGATGCTGGTATCTTTACGGCTCGATAACATTTGAAATTTCAGATTGATTACTGAGCTACAGAAGCACAATGAGCACGATGTGTTCACCCGTAACAAAAAAGCTCTTTTTTTGAAAGTAACTTTTTTTTTGTATTTCAACTTTTTTTTTTTTTTTTTTTTATGTTTTCAGACTGGTATTTTTTCCCTTTCTTCTTCTGGCCTACTTTTTCTCCTGTTTTTCAAACCTTTTTCTCCCCTTTTTTTTCAGACTGTTAATTTTTTCAAAATTATTTAGGAGCTGGAGAATCTGCCGATTTCGAGCAGTGGCGGTAGGTTAATGTCATATGAAGTAGGAGATTCTTGCAGGATTTTAAAGTATCTCGTTGGGTCCAAAAAAAAGTCTAAAAATAAAGAAGAAAAATAATAACTAAAAAAAAAAAAAAAAAGAAAGAAAACAAACAAACAAAAAAAAATTCTAAGAAAAACAGAGCTTCTTCTTTTTTTGTTTTTGGTAAATAAATATGCTTTGGTACGGAACAGGCTCGAACACAGTAGCATATGTCTCTTGATAAATTTGGTTATAATTGAGGTTTGTCATTGAAGGTGTTGATCTTTCTTCAAGAGTCATATTCAAAATACAGCAGGTTACAGGAATGAATTTGTAAAATCATAAAAAAAAAAAGAAGTGCCAAAGTTATGTATTAAAAGAAGTAAATGATTCTCAAATTTTGTAGGATTCTGAGCTAGAAAGCAATCACAGTTTAGAGGTTAGAAAACAAAAAAACAAGGCAGAATCGTTTTCATATGTCATTAAATTTAAGCTATATGAGTTTCGCAATTTGCTAAAAATCAATCAGAACGTTAATCCACTCTAAAGCTCACAGCATAACTCCTAGAGAAAAACTGAAGTAAAAAACACTGAAGGTTTTTTTTATTTATAGGATTTTTTTGAATGCTATTGATTTATTATCATTAATCTCAACATTACGACTTAGTTCACAAAATTTCATCTTTATTGCGTTAACTTTTATCTTGTAATTTTGACTTTAATCTCGAAATTTCGACCTTAATAACAAATTGTAATTTTCTTTAAATCTCGAAATTTTGTGATTTAAGTCGAAATTTTGATTTTTAATCTCAAAATGTCGACTTTAATCTTTTTCCTGTAATTATTTTTTTATCTCGTCATGTGGCCCTAATCCTCTTTCATACAAACATTTCGTTACTTAAATTATTCTTTATTTTCTGGAAAAAAAGATTTTGTTTTGTTTAGCAGAGCAGAAAATCACTTTTTAGATCAAATTGCTGTGGTTCATGCAGGTTTTTTAAAATATTTTAAAGGTTTTTTTTTTGTATTCTTTACATTTGATTTATTCTGTATTTTCCCCATTGAGACGGATTATTATCAATTCACAATGAAGATTTCTGTATTATTACGTACTAAAACAACTTAAAGGTTTCTACTTGAGTGTCTTGGAAATAGTAGAGAAGGATTTAAATGTAATAATTTAATGTCAGGAATGAGAAATTAGTAAATACTGTATATTCATATGACATGAGAAACCCCTTCATTAAAAATCAAAAATACATTTTTTCTTTAAGCTTCAAACTAAGTCCTGATGTCTCACTGATCCACTTCAGTCTTTTTAATGGCTTGTGTTCATGCAACTCCTGAAATAATCTTTGGGTGCGGCACACTTACTTTTTTTTTAATGAGAATTAAAAAGCAATTTAAATATTTTAAATTCATTTGCATAAGCTGTATGATTTCTGATTTATTTTGCTTCTTATTTTTAATTGAATGGATTCTCTTCAAAAGCTGATTTGGATTTTTTTTACACCCGTAAATCAGTCACTGGTGAAGTAGAAGTGCAGTTGGGGAAATTCAGAATTTCCCCAATATTTCAAAATGTGGTTAAAGCCTTAGATTCTGGAGAGCCTCTTCAGATTTAGAAAGGAGGATCGGACTTGTGTTGGACATAGTTTGGATATTTGGCTACAGAAAGCACCAGATGTTTTAATCTTCATTAAAAATGTGAATGAAAAAAAAAGAACGCGAAAACTGTATTGATCCTGAGTAATGTTTTTATAATTCTAGTACCTGACGATGGATGGCTTAAAAAATATTTTAGTCTATTCTTGGATCAAATTTAATTTTTCACTTGATTTAGTGCTACAATTAGACGCACTTATCTAATTTCATATTACAGGTTAAAAGCTGTCAGCAGACTTATGGACGTAGCTTTAAAGAAATCATCTTTTCATTTTGCACAGACTTTGTCAGAGAAAGACCATGAAACTGATATTAAGGATGGTTACTTACAGTCCACTGAAGCGATGATTCCACTACATAGCAGCAGGAACCCGAGAACACACACACCTGCCATATCTGAGACTGTTCAGCTATGTGCAGGATGTGATGGGAGATTCATGCACACCACACAGCTTTTCTGATACTGCAAACAGGAAATCCTGAATTGTCAAAGCCACACATATTTTGTCTTTCTGTCTAATAGCTACTCTGTATATGTCTCCTGATGTTCAGAAGAGTCAGGTACCATATTAGTCACATACCTGTGGTAAAAAAGAGGTGATTGCTTCCATTTCAGTGTGCCCTTATGTCTTTTGTACTAGTTTTTGTGTTGATATTCAGCAAACAGTCCACCTGCCACCCAAAAAACCATGGCCCATTACTTCAAGGAGGATCACATAGTTGAAACAGAAAGTTAAATATAAATTGGTCAGTATCACTGATACCAAAATGTTCCTCCATGGTTCGACTCTGGGGTTTTTTAGGGGCGTAAAAATCACAATAAAGGCATGAGTAAAATCTAAGTTCTTATCATGGTCCAGTGGATGCATTTGACCCACCAGAGAGGAAGAAAATATTGTTCTTGTGTTGCTGTGTAAGTTTGCAGTCCAGTTGTCGTATTAAGTAACAGATATGTCGGTGAGTGAGCAGATCCTTTCCTTGTGTAACCATCCATATTATAGACAAATCGCAGCTTAACTACCTACCTTCTGTCCACAGCTGAGATACCAAAGAGGAAATTCATGTAAAGAGCAGTTTAAAGTTAGACTCTTGACGGAAGTAAACCAGAGACTGTTCTTATGAAAGAGAACAAGCGACACTGGGACTAACTTTGTTTTACTGTACATAGCAAAAGAGCCTTAAAGATTTCTGTGTTACAATGTGGATAGTTTGTCTTTATGCACAGAAATGTGGATAGTTTCCACATTTTTCAAATCCTCACAGTGAGGTTGTTTTAAACACAGTCACTTTATTCCTCATTGCAGTTCCCTGATCTGTTTTTGGTCTTTGCTCAGTTTACATTTTTCCACGGCTATCCGAGGATGGGATGTAATCGTCCACTTTTTCCCCTACAGAAAATGAGAACCTGAAATAGATATTTTTTGATTTAGTATTTTGGGTGTTTTCTTTCCCAACATTTAATGTGGAAATTAAAACCTGCGTCACAAATGTCTTGTATGCTAAGCATTGCAATAAAGCTTTCAAGTTTTTGTTTGGACATTAAAGTGAGTGCCTGAAGCTTTTGACAGCTTTTCACATCATTTTTTTAATTTTTACTGGAACAGGCTGTTTGTTGCCTGCATTACAGGAAGTTTCTGGATCCAGGAATTTTTTGAAGGATTCTTTATCATTGTGAGAGAGGGCAAATTTTGGATTTTTTGCATTTAACTCTATAAAAATGTCCAGAGTCTTTAGTAAAAAAAATACACAAAAGGATCTCAATGAGTTTTATGAGGTGCCAAAGGTTGATCCTGATCCAGACAAAATTCCGGATACTGTGATCCAGAACACACAAAAATAAGGGTGTCGTTGGAATTTTCAATGCTGAAAGATAACCAATGGGTGGCACAGTGGTGTAGTGGTTAGCACTGTCGCCTCACAACCAGAAGGTCCTGGGCATTTCTTGTTTTAGGAACATTATGAACAGTGAACATACCAGTTTAAACACAAATAAAAGTTAATAAAAGACACATAACAGTAAAAGTTTTGGTGTGAATCACAATATAAGGGGGACATGAGCTGCTTGGTGGAGGTCTGCGCTCTCCGAGTGCTTTCTAGTTATAATATCTAACAACATTTCAGCCTTCCTGTTATTCTCATTATTTGATATCATCATTCTCACCCCATTTACCGTCATCAAAAGCGCACGATAGACCCGTTGACCTTCATATGGACATTTAGCTGTCCCTCCTGTTGCATAACTTCATCATGGCATTATTGAACAGCACATTTACTGTACCAGACTGAGAGTGACGATGTCCTGAAACAAAATGTGAACATGCTAAAATTGAAAGATTTGTGCTTTCTGTGCCTGTCAATCAGAAAATTTATAGTCGGCAAGTAAACAAAAAGTTGTCTCGGTGTTTTAAAAGTTTCAGAGAAAGACATGAAGCAGTCTCTTTGAAAGTAGCCTATATACGATAGAGACGTAAACTCTGGAAATTTGAACGTTTTCAACAAAACTGCATGCAGCACGTTGTCATAACAAAATTTGATAGCATCAAATTAAGCTTTTTTTAAAATGTATTTATTAAACAACAAAGTCGCACACAAGCCTGCAGTGTTTATTACGCTTATCACATTTGTGCCAAAAATAAGCTCATATATCATATCAGATCTTATGTATTCGTACACACAATGATTTTAAAGATGAAATTATTAAAATTCACAAACAAAATAGGAGTAATGTTTTACAAAATAATAAGCCAAAGTAATTGGATTACTTTTTTTCCTCATAAAAGTAATCCTGAACACAGTTACTGAACAAAAGACTCTATTTTCCTTTTGTCATCACAAAGCAGAAAATCCCTGAAGCATCTTCACTAATTCTGTTTTCTCTTACTTCATATCAGGTGGTTGTGAACCAGCAAAAAAGTAAACATTTGGAAAGCTAGCTAATCAAACAAGAATTTGAGTGAGACGGCAGACAGCGTTGACTTGGATTGCACTATCACAGATTATATGACAGAGCAAACAATCACACAAAGAACAAATGAATGGGAATCAAGGGTTTGGTCCTTCCATGCTCCATCAGGCCTTTTTCCATCAGAGATTTTTTACCGATGCATGTGAAATCGAGGCACGTTCATGTAAACTACAAAAAAGACAACAGGAAATGGCAGGTAACCTTTGTTAGAGATTAGTGCAGAGCCAACAAAAAGAAAAGGAAAACAGACTCACTTGTGGTTGACTGGAGCATCTCGTCTCTGTTGACATTACTGTGGAAAAAAAGGGGAGATCTGATTTATGTAAGATAATGTTAAGAAATATGACTCATGACCATGTTTCATTTCTTTATGTGACCTGACTAATCAGATTTATATAGGATTGAGTTCAGCTGAAGTAAAGTTTAAAGTCCCTAACTAACTGTACTGAAAACCAGCAGCGATGTCATAGTCAAACTAACACAGGAAAGGATGTAAAGGGGTCATAACTTTTTAAGCCCTCTCCCCCTCACAACATGGACCACCATAGGTAAGACAAGCACCAACAAGACGATGATGAAGACAAGATTCATGATAACAGCATGGTTATTGTCTGTTAAATGATGGTTAAAACAAAAATGACAAAGTCAGGACATTTTTATCAAAGACATATTATCTGTGTTTAATAAGGGATGAGATAAAGAGATGATCAGCGCATTCACCGATAATAATGTCACTTTGATGGACTGTAGATGAAGATGTCATCACAGAAAAACTCTAAAACCAGGATTAAGATGATGTAAGAGAAGATTAGACTGAAGGATTCTTACCGGGACTTTCTGCGTTTTATTATGACAGCCAGCAACAGGGCCACAAGCATCAGGGTGATGAGGAAAATGAGGAACCCGGTCAGAGCTTTGTCATTATCTGTGAAGTGACAGGATTTTTGTTTTTTTAACGGTTTATGTTTGAGATTAAAATGTAGATAAGATTACACTTGTATAAAATGTAAAGAGCTCATACAGAGAGTGTCCACATCTTTTATCTTTGAGTTGCCTGTAAGTTCCCCGTTGAAAGGAAACACCTGGAAAAACAGAAACTCCTGATCAGGAATTATAGAATTTAAGAAATAAGAGAAGTTAGATTAAAAGATAGTCTTGTAAAAAAAAAAATTAGGATTAAACAAACCTGCAGACCGTATGTTGTGGAGTAGCTCAAGTCTCTGAACTCAAACTTGCAGTCTTTTTTTTCAAATGTTTTTACCACAGTGGCACCATTTTTAAGACTTGCTTTGAATATCCTGTCAGGTCCCTTGAAATCTCCATGATGCTTACAGGATACTTTTATCACATTATTCTCTGGAACAGTCACCACCATGGAACTGATATCTTCTGGTTCTGCAAAGAAAAGAAAAAAACAGTTTCAGAGAATAACTCGGATCATGACCCCACAGTCGAGTCAGAAGATTATAATCATAATATCCTCTTATTCTGAAAATGGCCTCTACTCCACAGATCATTAGAGCTTCACTTTTATTGATCATTGCTAAAGATAAAAAAGCATCAACAGCAATCCTGTTTCATTCATTAAATAACTGACCGTAAAGAGTCGGTAATAAAGTTTGTTCTCTTACACAGATACTGACTTTCAAACAGACATTCACGTCATCAGATGCAGAGTTGTTGTAACTTCTCAAACTTTGAAGAGTCTTTACACTGAACAGTCTGTTTTTGTTTTTATTCATGTTGACTGTTACTGTCACTAAAAGAGAAGGTTTTTAGACACTTACTGCCAGCTTTAGTCTTTTGTTTTCCAACAGAGGTTGGTTGATGAATATCCCTGCCACCATAGAAGGGTCGAACTTGACATGTATACTCTGTGAACGGTCTCAGGCCACCGACGTTACATGATGTTCTTCCAGGATATTTCAGAGTCGAGCCTGCAACACAGTTTCATTGAATAAAGCTTTAGCAAAAGTTCAGTCAGGAAAACTATTTTCTTCTGTTTTTTTGTTGTGTTCACTTCTTTACAATCTCTCTGATATCACCTGTGGTCTTCAGCTGTTCTGGTCACATCTATCTGATGACCCTCATCAACTGCTGCTCTTTTCTAAATACGTCTTTTTCTTCCTACAGTAAATTCATCCTATCATTATGTACAGTCATCCTCTTCCCATCTCTCTCAGTCTTTACAGTTTGATCGGCTTCATCACCTCATCAGTATCAGGTGACAACATCAACCATCACCTCCAACTCCACAGAGACAGACGTCACTAAAGCTCAGGGCAGACACCTTCAGTCACCCCATCTCTATGATCAGCTCAAAGGTTAAAGACCCTGAAAATAATTCAGTATCACATCAACTCTGTAAAATTAACCCCAATCTGTGATTCATTAACTTCTCTCACCTGACTGAACTTTTTTTGTTTGACTAAAAAAAGCAGGGCTGACATATAGAGACAAATCAGTCACTGATAGTTTACCTGCTCTGGCCCTGCACTTATTCTGATGCATGTGTTCATGTGAAATAATTGTGCACCAGTTTTCAGCTGCAAATATATTTTTTCAAATGTTTACTTTTTTCAGCAGAGAGGACAACTAAATCAAAATGTCTCTAGTGACAACAGCGGTGAGAAACTTCAAATGTCTAAACTTTATTTCACTCTTCAGGTAAACGGACCAGAAACCAGAGTTGTCAAAGTTTCACAAAAATGAATTCAGTGTGAAAATGTATGAGTGAATTTCTGAGACACTTAAAATCATCTTTACTTACTATCATATCGAGAGACACAACTGCAGTCGAAGCCAAGCTTTGGATACTGGAGGACATTTTTACATCTCTGACTGTCTGTGGTCCAGCTCAGCTGAATGGAAGTGTCGGTCACCTCTGTGACTTTGACTGTTAGATGAAGATCTGTAAGAACACATCAGATTTCTGAGACTGAACTCATTACCTGCTGTAGTCTCTGTATCCTGACTTCTCTCTACATACAAGAGGATTGTTGTTATTACACTGAAGTAGAGTGAAGGTCAACATACCACAGTCGACGCTGAACGTGATGGTAGATGTGTTTTTGGTGGCGTAGCCTTTGTTGATCTGACCCGTGCAGCTGTACTCTGTGAAGGGCTCCAGCTCAGGCGGACTCTTTGGCTCGTTGGGTTTGCCGTTTTCTGTGGCCACAAAAAAAAACATTTCTTCATCAACTGGTGTTTGTGTGTGTGACTGAGAGTGTTTATCTCTGGATTTAAAACATGATAAAACACAAACACGGCACGATTAAAAAATCATCACAGAGATTAAAACGATACCTTCATTCCCTCTTATACCATCAGATTAAAGTCATGTGACTTCTGCTTCTAGTGAAGTGACTTTTGTACTTTTACCAACATTTCTAAAGTCGACATCTCTGTTAGCTTCACTGCTGGATGAATGAGGGTCTTAGTGGGACTCACAGATCCTTTTTCTCATCTATAGACTTAAATTAAATCATACTGCTGTTGAGACAGAGTTTTTCTTTTTCGTATCACTCACCCTGACAGATGTATTTAACGGTGAGATCACAGTTTGGAGGTAATTCTTCTTCTATTGTTGCAGGAAGTTTAGTTGGGACTTTTGGTTTTATGTCATTACCATCCAAAAAATCTGTAACAGAAAATCAAACAATATTTAACATGGCACAAAAAGATTTATGCATCGTTGTTGAATATATTGGACAGCTGAACCGTACATACCAAAAGGGACCTCTTTGGTGAGTTTTAAGGGAGAGCCCGTACAGTTTTCTGAAGTGAAGTTTGTGGTCACATTTGTGCAAATATCGTTGACAGCAGGTTTGAAACAGAACTGAGTAGAGTCATTTTGGCACTCTTTAACTTGATGTGACACTGACAACAAAGAGCTGATGTCCCAATCGCTCCTGTAACAAACATATCCTGGGATGCAGCTTCCTTCTTCAACGTCGCCGCTCTCTGAAACAAAAAAATGATGCACAGACATCTTTACTCAGTCCACCAATAACAAAGAAAGCAAGAAACATTTAGACAACAGTTGTTATTTAGACTCACTGGTTCCAGTAGTTCGTTCAGCAGTTTCATTTCTAGAGTGGATACAGGTTTTACTGCCATCCTTATGAATCAATGCCACAGCATGCTGGTACTCAGTGCAGGGCTTCAGGTGTTTGATGTCATGTGATGAGTTTTGGTTGGAGGCCAGAAAGGTCTCTTCAGTCGGAGGTCCAGACTCATCAGTGATGGTTACATCGTAGTTACCACGGATAAAGCTTGTCATGTCAATCCTTATTCCAAACTGGATGGCTGAGACGGTGTAAGAGCCTGCACACAAGAAAATCAGGGTTATATAATAAATGCCAAAAACTTTGTAAGCTCAATGAACAAACCTAATTTGATCATAATCCAATCACAGAAACCAGCATCAGTGGTACACAGCAGAACGGCCTGATCCGTCTCTCCACTGTGCACCAAACACTGACCCCTGAGAAGGTTGTGAGGATCAAGGTCACAGTAAAAAGACCAGGTGATGATTTTATGCTCCCCTCAAAAAAGAATAGATTGTTTGATCAGAGGAAAAAACACCAACTTCAAAATTACCACCAAAAATGACAGATTAGATATGATTACAGCGCACTTCATGGAGGCTGGATAAAACCATTCCTTATTTGAACAATTTCACAATGAACTCTGTGTAAGCCTCACAGGAACGTCTGCACATCTCGCTGGATTGCAGTTGTAAATCTGAGAGTGTGGAGTTTTGGATTAGGTCAAACTTTGGGGGAGAAAATTTGTGGTGGCTTGTGTTGGTGCTATCTGTTAGCCATGAAACACTGAAGTGGAGAAAAAACCCACTCAACCCCCAAATTGTTTTTTTTAAAGTAAAGTAAATAACACTCATGTATATGCCTTCTTTTACATCTTTTAACTCCTAAGTTTCCTCATTCTTTAATTTCCTTTTAATATTTACCTTTTCAGCCTGTATCAGACAGTATTCTCATGGTTTCTGGTGGGACTAATCGTACATCTCCATGACAGTACTGGGATTGACTGGTGCTTGTTATGGACATTTATAAAGATTGAGAACACTGCTCCTTTTCACTTTTTTTTTTTCAGCCTTAAAAAGTTTCCCACCAAGAATTTACTTTCTGTTAATTTCTGTTGTTTACAGTCAGACTAGAAATGAGTGTTTGGAGACGTATGAGCAGATCCTCAGCTGTATTTGCTTACAGATTTCTGCTCAAAGAGGTTATTAAAAGCTAAACAGTCATCAGTTAATGCCAGTGAGATTCAGGACTGCATTATAGCAAAATGTGTTTCAGGAACAGTTTTTTGCCGACAACCCAATCCTACTGGAACACTTATGGAAAAAATTAATCTGAGATCATCGTTAACAAGAACACTTTCACATCCCAAATCACTTTAAGTGCTGTTAGACTCTGCAGACCTTAAACACTGAGTACAGATTCAGTTGATGAAGATAGTTATAATCAAACAGAGATAAAGACTGTACAGCAATAGATTAAACATTGTTTTATATCTGGAAAAAAGCACCAGTACTCGCATTGTGGAGATGGTTGGTGGTGGTTGTGTTATGTTGGTGGCTGGAGAAGATTACAGAAAAACAGAAACAAAATATGATTTCATGGTTGTACAACATTGAAGATCCTGCAAAACAAGTTGAGAAAAACAAAACAAGCAACAGGACTTGTTTTTGTCTTCAGTGTTGGTCACTTTGTCTAAACCTACGGGTTGAATATAATCTTACTGCAGTCCTACAAGAACAAACAGCAGGCTTTGAAATGAGAAAATCCCAACCTGGGGTGACAGGAGCCACTTGGGTGCTGGACTCAGTGCTTGGAAGTGAGGTCTCAGTGGAAGTGATTTGTATTTGTATTTATTTATTGAGCACAGATTAAAAACAGTGCAAGGAGGGAACAAAGCCGATAGGCTTATACAATGTTCCGCTCCCGTCAGGGCAGAGAAAGCTTTTTTGACTGAGGACCAGTGGTCTTGTTGGTTTTGGGTGCGGGCAAAGTGTCTGTAGGAGTGACTGCAAAATGGAGAGCAGGGAGAGTCCCTGTCACCTTTAGTGTTTGAGGATCTAGATCATAATTTTATGCCTCGCCTCACCAAAGAATAGATTGTTTGATAGGAGGAAAAACCACAAACTTCAAAATTACAAATTAGATATGGTTACAGCGCACTTCATCATCACACTGCATGGCAGCTGCTTTGTGACTTTTGCACTATCTTTCATCTTATCTTTTATCTGTGTTTTTAACAACCTGCTGAAACTCTGTGTAGTCATCAATTTGACAATAATTTCAAAGTATACATTTGTGATTACTGTTATTTTTATTTTTCTATTTTCACCTTTTAATTTTGTCCTATTCAAACTTTGTGAGTGTATTTTCACACTCCCCTTGTCCTTTGCTTTTGAGCTGCTGTACCAAGATAATAAAGGTCTATTTTCTTACACCTTCACAGTGTAATTACACTGATTTTGTAAGGAACTGTTAGCACTGCCTGTATTTATAGATTAGGGTGGCGTTCTGTAACTGCACATACTTTATATTAAAGACGTCTGACTCTTTCCTGTTTCTCACATAGCTGAAATGTGGTTTATTTGATAAACAGAACTGTGGTCAACAGCGGAACATGTAAACTGAAAAATGTTTCCTTAGATGTGCAGATCCCTCATGATTTTAACAGTAAAAATGCTAATATTTTATAGATATCTCATGTGAATTCTTAGTGAAGATAATTGGTGTACTGGACTTCTTAAAACCATTTTCTTTTCTCTTAGCTTCTTAGCTTTTAGTCTTCAAGTCAGACTAAAGCCGTCCATCCCCCAATAGGTTACCATCATTGTTTTTGAAGGGGATGCAGGTATCTTTACGGCCCCAATAACATTTGAAATTTCAGATTGATTACTGAACTACAGAAGCACAATGTGTTCACCCGTAACAAAAAAAGCTCTTTTTTTGAAAGTAACTTTTTTTTTTGTTTTCAGACTTTCTTTTTTTTAAATATATTTTCAGATTGGTATTTTTTCCCTTTTCTTCTTTTGGCCTACTTTTCCCCCCATTTTTCAAACCTTTTCCCCCTTTTTTTCAGACTATTAATTTTTTCAAAATTATTTAGGAGCTGGAGAATCTGCCGATTTGGAGCAGTGGCGGTAGGTTAATGTCATATGAAGTAGGAGATTCTCGCAGGATTTTGAAGTATCTCGTTGGGTCTGAAAAAAAAGTCTAAAATAGAGAAGAAAAATAATTAAAAACAAAAAAAAGAAGAAAAAAAAAAGAAAAAAAAACAAAAAAAAAATTCTAAGAAAAACAGAGCTTCTTCTTTTTTTGTTTTTGGTAAATAAATATGCTTTGGTACGGAACAGGCTCGAACACGGGAGCATATGTCTCTTGATAAATTTGGTTGTAATTGAGGTTTGTCATTGAAGGTGTTGATCTTTCATCAAGAGTCATATTCAAAATACAGCAGGTTACAGGAATGAATTTGTAAAATCATAAAAAAAAAAAAAGAAGTGCCAAAGTTATGTATTAAAAGAAGTAAAGAGATACTCACAGTATGTAGGATTCTGAGCTAGAAAGCAATCACAGTTTAGAGGTTAGAAAACAAAAAAACAAGGTAGAATTGTTTTCATATGTCATTAAATTTAAGCTTTTTTGCATGCTATTGATTTATTATCATTAATCTCAACATTACGACTTAGTTCACAAAATTTCATCTTTATTGCGTTAACTTATGTCTTGTAATCTTGACTTTAATCTCGAAATTTTGTGATTAAGGGCGAAATTTTGATTTTTAATCTCAAAATTTCGACTTTAATCATTTTCCTGTAATTATTTTTTTATCTCGTCATGTGGCCCTAATCCTCTTTCGTACAAACATGTTGTTACTTAAATTATTCTTTATCTTTTGGAATAAAATGATTTTGTTTAGCAGAGCAGAAAATCACTTTTTAGATCAAATTGCTGTGGTACATGGAGGTTTTTTGAAATATTTTAAAGGGTTTTTGAAATTCAGAATTTCCCCAATATTTCAAAATTTGGTTAAAGCCTTAGATTCTGGAGAGCCTCTTCAGATTTAGAAAGGAGGATAGGACTTGTGTTGGACATAGTTTGGATATTTGGCTACAGAAAGCACCAGATGTTTTAATCTTCATTAAAAATGTGAATGAAAAAAAAAGAAAGAGAAAACTGTATTGATCCTGAGTAATGTTTTTATAATTCTAGTACCTGACGATGGATTGCTTAAAAAATATTTCAGTCTATTCTTGGATCAAATTTAATTTTTCACTTGATTTAGTGCTACAATTAGACGCACTTGTCTAATTTCATATTACAGGTTAAAAGCTGTCAGCAGACTTATGGACGTAGCTCTAAAGAAATCACCTTTTCATCTTTGCACAGACTTTGACAGAGAAAGACCATGAAACTGGTATTAAGGATGGGTACTTACAGTCCTCTAAAGCGATGATTCCACTACAGAGCAGCAGGAACCCGAGAACACACACACCTGCCATATCTGAGACTGTTCAGCTATGTGCAGGATGTGATGGGAGATTCATGCACACCACACAGCTTTTCTGATACTGCAAACAGGAAATCCTGAATTGTCAAAGTCACACATATTTTATCTTTCTGTCTAATAACCACTCTGTATATGTCTCCTGATGTTCAGAAGAGTCAGGTACCATATTAGTCACATACCTGTGGTAAAAAAGAGGTGATTGCTTCCATTTCAGTGTGCCCTTATGTCTTTTGTACTAGTTTTTGTGTTGATATTGAGCAAACAGTCCACCTGCCACCCAAAAAACCATGGCCCATTACTTCAAGGAGGATCACATAGTTGAAACAGAAAGTTAAATAGAAATTGGTCAGTATCCACAAAAAGAGATATGAGCTGCAGGGACCCAACTTTTTTTGAACTGGGCAGTTAAAGAGTTTATTTTGGAGCAATCTCAAATTGACAATCAAGGAGCTGGAGTTTTGCGCTCTCACACTCTGGTTTCATTTTTTAATCCACAGGTTCCTGCTTGGTTCAGTGTCAACCATAGGGGAGAGTGGGGTAAGTTGAGCCACCCCCTGTTGCTTGGAAATGGTAAAAGAAATTGATCATGTGATCAAATATTTAGGAGATGGGCATCAATTCATGGAGTCTGTGAAGGTTAGAAGCACATGGGTGAAGGGGTTAGACATTTATTTCCAAAAAACATTTCTCACTCTTGAAAGTGAATTTAGTCTGTCATCAGTTTTATTAGAATTGGGTTCACGCCAAAAAAGATCATTTTAAATTTGTTTTAAACGTCAATTGTGGTATCTATGAGCTACAACATGAGGTCAAAAGCCTTGAATAAAAGTCCACCATTTTAGCTTGAATGACTAATGAAGTCATCACAGTCGTTCTGGGGTAAACTGAGCCAGTGACTCAACTGAGAAAGTAAAGAAGTCTGGTGAGAGGATCAGAGTTTCAGTTCAGATTGTTGAAATGTGTTACTTTTTCTAACAGTTATATGCAATAATAATAAAGAGAATATTGTACCAGTTGAATAGCGTATAATAGATAAAAATACACATGAATGTGAAGAAGTGACTGTTATTTAGGGAGAGAGAAGGTGAGGGAGGACTGGAGTGGAGAGTGCTGGTGGTGGGAGGGTAGTAGGGATACGGCTCAACTTACCCTGCTCCTATGGTCAACTTACCCCATACATGGGGTAAATTGACCATAGGAGACCCCTTTTTTTGGCATGCGATATTATCAAGCCAGTTATGTTTACACTCATTCTATTGGTTTGCAGGGTTGCACAAGATCTTGAAATAAATGCAGATAAACTAGTTAGAGACAAGACTATGATTGCCTTGATGTAGTGATCCAAAATATGAAAAATGGCTCATCTTACCCCACTCTCTCCTATTTGTTTAAAAATCTGTCACAATAGTGACACTTAACAGATAACCTGTCTTTCAAAGCACTGTGCTCCTGTAAACCTTCAAACAGGTGTGTGTTGGTGAAACCAAAACCATATTTTTAATCAGGCTGGAATATATTTATATCATAAATATATATTCTTATATCAAGCTGAGCATCTTCACATGGGGCCTAATGGGAACTGAATCCCTTTGGAGCCAGCCTCTAGTGGCCGCTAAGGGAACTGCAGTATCATGAAGTCTGGCTTCTTTTCTCTGTCCTGCAGATTTTCACTTGTTTGGGTGACATGGTATTGTACACATACGTGGCAAATAAGTGTCTGTTTACAGTATATTTCTATGCTATTTATTCAGCTGTTGTAAATATACCAGCAGTTCATGCAGAGACCAAGAGAAGATTTATTCACTGATAGAGAAGTTGAATTCCTCTTTTCACAGTTCAAGCTTTAAACAGCTTTGACAAAAGGCAGGCGTCCTCGTATAATCTCATGATCAGTGAGACTCAGTGAAACTCGTCTTTAGAAAGAGGAAGACTGTAGTTTTTATTTAGTGTATGTTATTTTTGGTTGAGCTCTTTTGTGTGGCTTCTCGATGTTCTGCACACTGCTGGATGATAACTGAGTAAATGAAACTGAAAGAAGTGCAAGTTCTGGTGATCTCACCACACTCCTCTCTTCCTCTCTCCCCACTTCAAGACAGAAAACATTCAGCTCTTTGCTCCAGGAGGGAATCTCCTCATTTGTGGAGTTACATTAATTTCTGCTGTGTTGTTAGTGTGTTTCAGGTCATTAGCTGAGTGTTTATGGCCTTCTTCCCCTGAGCACCCCCCTCCCCTCTCCCCCACTACACCCTTACTCCATTCTGTAGGTTCCCTTTACTCCACCCACCAAACTAAGCCATCCCTCTGGGTCCTCCAAATCCCTGTTGGCCGGGGAGCAGAGGGGGTGGGCACTGGCTTTCTCCCTGTAATGAACTCCTCTGGGACTGCTGTTCAGTTTCATCACAGCTAAAATTGCTCCCATGGAGCCCCGAACACAGTGAAAACAAACAAAAGTAAATATCTGGAATTAATATACAACTTGTTTGGCTAGAGCCCCACCTCTCGTACTGACTCCTCTGTGTGAGGGTGCAGAGATTTTTACACATGCCTCAAACAGGCTCTGCAATTTGGATTTTATAGTAAAACTTGTAATCTGAGAGAGTTAGAGTGCATGCAGCTTTTCCCTTTTGTTTGCTTTACATCCCAAATCCATGCATCCCTAAGTCCATCTTGTGGTAGAAAGTCTTCACTGCAGTTTGCTTTCCCTTAGCAGTCCCTCAAAATGTAAAAACATGCTCTGTAGCAGATATGAGCATTTTTAGATATGTGTATAAATGATTCAGCAGGTGGTGATAATGCATAGAATCATGTACATAATGAATACATACCTGCATAAAGTCAGAGTTTACACGGTTTAATATTTAATGCAGAGATTAAAGAATAAAAAGGACCTTGGACAAACATATTTGAAAAAGCTTGTGCAAGTCTTTGTGCACATAATTCATTGAGTTGTTGATATCATCTCAAGTCCACTTGTAAAACCAAATTCTGTTGCAGAGCTTTTCTGTGAGCGAGCATTGCTTTAGTTTCTTTTGAGAAAGACAGAAAGCGGAAGGCCCTCTCTTGTTTCCTTAATATAGTTTGAGCTGGTAGACTCTACGACTTTTAGGTTTCATGTTTGTGTGTGCATGTGTGTGTGTGTGTGGAGATTAAAGACAGAGTATGAAGGCACAGCAGAATAATCTCTCAGCTCATCATCTGTCCCAGGTGATCTCGAGGCGTTGAGAGGCAGAAAAATAGGGCCGTTCCAGAGGACATTGACTTGGATATTTTTTTCCTTCTCAGTTTGTTTGTTTTGTTTTTAGAAGCCTGGAATATCAATATTTTTTGCACATTTGAAATAGCTTGTGGCGCATGTTTGGCAGTGGCAGCCTGAGCTTCAAACATATTAGTTTGCTGGGAGAAAAGAATCACCAGGGACGGTCTCCAAACACAAGCGGGAACAGCAGCACAGTCCTGTTCATCATTTGAAAGCTGCTATTGTTTGAACCTGAGAAACTTTAAACAGGTTAAACTCATATTTAGAATGAAACAGTGTCTTGTAGGCCTGCTCGCTTTTCAGGTTAGCATATTTGTCAGCTGCTGCTCTCCGGGGAGACTGTTGTGAGGCTCAGGTAAAGAAAGACAGTCCCTGCAGTCATTTATCAGCTGGAAGCTGCACCCAGCAGGCCGCAACTGGCGTCACTCATCAGCACAGCTCCTGACACACTAACATATGTGACGGCAGGCTCACACACACACACACAGTAAACACCACACATAATAAGCATGTGTATTCTGGTGTAATGAGTGACTCTCGCTCTGCATGTCCTTAATCTGCAACCACCAGGCCAGCACAGAGGGGGCACAGTAAAGTACAAGCAGCCTGCAGCGAGCTGAGCCAAAATAAAAAGCCAAGTGGCTCACTAAAGCCGTCAGGGGCTCTTAAAAAGGCACGCACTGCTTCTCTTTCGTCTGTCCAGCAGGCCTTCAGGAGGTTTGTAAAACGCCGGCCCGCAAAACTAAACTGGGAAGCGTCGCTCCAGCCTTCCGGAACGGGCGTTTTCACAAACTGTAAACTATTGGAAACAAATGTCGTCTTAAACGTGTTCAAAAGAAACCTGATCCTCAGAGACACTTTACAGGTGGGGGGGCGGGGGTGTCACACAGAGGCAGCCCTCCCCAACACACACAAACACATACACACACACACTACTGCTGGTTTTTGCTTCCTGCTGTTTATAAAACTGCACGTCTAATCTGTAAATAATATCAGTGTCTCAAGCGATGGTGTGATATAAACATCCTAGTGACAAAGTTTCTTTACCTCCTTTCACACAAATATGATTAAATACAAAAGTGCAAAGTTCATAGAGTCGTATTTGCTGTGACATTTGGTGTGTAAGACACTTAATATCCCAGCTGTCAGGTAAAAACTGAACACACCAATGTGACAAATGTATTTGTATAAAATGCAGACTAGCATTTTGTTGTCTTGTGGTATTTTACCTAGAAGGTGGCGCTTAGAGACGCAAGCAACTGCTTTGCTTTTGCTGCATCTGGATACACAGCAAGGCCAAAAAGTCTGGCACCGCAACCTCTGCCACATTAGATGTTGTTCTTCCTTATTAGATCATTTTTATGCATTCAAAGAAAATTGTGGTTGATTATTAGATAGATATACATCCATCAATTAGTCAATCTAGCTTTATTTACACAGTGACTTGAATTCAGATCAAATGCAGTTCAAAGTGCTTTTACATAAAAAAAGACAGAATAAGGATTTCAAAAAGTTATCAAAAGGTGCATACCAGTAAAAACAATCAGAGATAGAGAGTTAAAGTAAAAAATGAAGCTTCAGGAATTACGAGTGATGAGAATGAGTTGATTTTAAAAAATGTGAATAAACATTTATAAACCTCGTGTTTGTTTGTTTAGTTAGAAAGACTCAAATTTAAGACAAGTGACTAGCAGGTGATGATGCAAGTCTGGGCCAGTCAGCCTGGGGTAGTGGAT